TCCGAAGGCTTACCTCAAACTTTAGCCAACCTTTGTTCCCACCAACCGGTTCCACAATCAATCAACTTTGGTTTCAAGCTATGGTTTACACAACACACACCTACATCCAGGTGTCATAGCATCAATCATGCAATTCAATGAATATCTACATATATTCATCATCAACACAACAATACCACACCACAATTGGCATGGACTTACCTATCCCAAAGAGCTAATCAAGCTCCATTGCTTGCTCCAATGGTTGATCACTTACGGTTGGTCCAAATGCCTCAATCCTAGACATCATTACGACACAATCATCAATCAACCAAACCAAACCATTTATCATTACTGCAAGGAAATCCAATATCAAGCATTAAATCCTGCCATTTTCAAAGTATAGTCATATAACTATCTAAGTTCATTTCCACCGATTAAATGTCATTCCTAGCATTTTTCACAACATACACTAAGCTCCATTCTTCCTAGAACATAACTAATTTAACCACATTTCATCAAAACCCCAATTTACTATTCATTGAACCCTAACTCATGCAATTTTCCATGAAAATAAGGTTCAAGGGGTAGAATCTTACCACCAATGGTTGCACAACCAAGGGTTGATGGCTCCTCAAGCTTCAATGGAGGTTGAAGCTCTCAAACACCTCAATTTCTCCAAAGGGTCGAATTTTTGAGGGGCAATATCTCACCACGCAAAGCTCCCCACTAAGAACCTAGCTTGGATTAATGATGAGGGCGAGATTCTAAGCGATTTAGGCTTTTGAATCACTCAAATTGGTTGAGATTTGCAATCTCAAGGTTTTCCCCTCACCTTCCTATCTTCTCCCTCTCTTCTCTTCTCCTCCTTTCTGTTTGCTGTTCGGCGGGTCAACGGGGGGAATTGGATTTTCTATTTGCTTTCTAAGTCACTTACTTAGTTAAGTGGCTTATGTGGGTATTGGTTCATCTATCTATTTAACTCCATTAATTACCAAACTTTACCCAAAAGTCTGAAATATTTTTCTAGGAATATTTCCATTTTTATTTTTATATTTTGGGCACTTTCGTCAGTATCCATTTATACTCCTTAGTTTTCACTGAGTACACTTTTTAACTTCAAAGTGATTCAGATTCATTTAATTAAACCTTATACTTAATTTTACTCACTAAAACATGCTTAATTATTTAATTACATATAATTTGCTAATTAAATAGGTTAGGACTATTATAATATCAAATTATCAATAGTTTAGAATGTCATTCAAATTAAAAATTCGTAATTATAAAAAATAATAAAATAAAATATATATTATATTGATATAAAGACAAGGTAAATAATAATTATTAAATTATGCTAAATCAAAATATATACATAGTTTTAGGAATTCTTTTACGTTTTACTCCATATACCAAATGAGTCAGAAATCACGTTGGAAAAGTTTCAGAGTCAATTCTTTTATAGGTTTTATAAGAGTTATGTTGTAGGAAATGTGATTGTGTAATGTTATAGAGATTCGTTTTGCGTGCTATAATTTTCTTTTTTTCTTCAAAAAGTGTGGGCTCCACAAAATATTGTGTGTGTAGGAAAATTTGTTGTGTCATGTTAAATGACAAATGCAAACCCCTTCTTTTATGTTCCATCATTTTATAAATTATAGTATTATTGATGTAAGTTTAAGATCCTTCCGTACATAGATGTAGCTCCAAATGTAATAGCATAGATGTAGTTTAAAGTCATAGTTTCATATTGATCATAAATAATCAGAATTATATTAAACTCAAATTTATCTGTGTTAAAAAATATATATAAAAAACTCATTTTTAAAATACATAGCCTTTCTTCAAGTGAAAAGAAATCTGTTATAGTTTCAAAACAAAATGTGAAACCAAATAAGAAAAAACATACCGTCACAGGTTTTTTGTTTGAATATAAATGTTTTCCTTAGCTTTGTTTTCTCAAGATCCTCCTTTTGGCAATTCTCATTTTTTCTTCTATGCCCATAGAGCGGCCTCAGGCCAACTCTCTTCTTTCTCCGTTTTCTTTTAAATCTTAAATTGATGAATATTTAGACTCCTCTTTTTTTATTTATGGAAAATTTATAATAATACAATATTATAATAATAAATATAATAGTATAATATTATTAAAATATAAAATAATACAAAAATCCCTAAGAGATTTATTTTTATTTTTATTTTTTCGCATAGATAATTATGCTCAAACTATGCATTATGAGTATTTATATTTTTCGAGATTGTGGACTGCCTATTTCGTCACCTGTTTCTAATTTCTATCTTTCTTTACTTTTCTTTTTTTTGGTAAATTCTTGTTTCTTATTTCTACCTGTAAATTATTCTTCCCTAATACTGTAAGGCTTTGTTTGAGAGTTAGTTTTAGGAGGGGAAGAAAAGGAAATGGAGGTTTTTAGTAAGTCATTTCCTTGTTTGTGAGTTTAAAAAAAAAAAGGAGGGGAATAGTTTGAAGATTTTTACTAAACCTTCCAAAACCCTCATTCTTCTTAAAATTAAAGTTCCCCCAATTTAGAGGATTTGAGAGAAAAAATATTTAAAATTACTTATCTACCCTTAGCATTAAAATGTTAAAACTACATAATTGTGAATCATTTTTAAATGTGATATTATTAGAAAAGTCTCAAATACCGACAGAATTTATTGACAAAAAATATTTCGTCAAAAATAGTGATGAAATTTTTGATGAAAATCATATATGTCAAAATATTTCTGTAAAAACTAAAGACAAGATTAAAGATAGAACCAAATTTTGCCATAATCACTAACATAAATTTTGTACGAAAAAAAAAAATTCAGTTAAAACTATTGATAGAATCTAAATTTCGTCGAAACTTTTAACAAAAATATTTCCATCCAAAATTTTGATGAAACACATTTCCATGAAAAGTTTTGACGTAAAACAATTACGTCAAAATTTTTTATGGAAAACATTTCCCTCAAAATTTTAATGAAAAATATTTCCATCAAAATTTGTGACTACAAATATTTCGGTAAAAAATTTTGACAGGAAATTTTTTTTGTCAAAATTCATTACGGAATCTAAATTTTACAAAAATAATTTACAAAAAAACATATTTATCGAAATTTTTGACGAAAAATATTTTCCTCAAAATTTTCAACGAAATACATTTTTATCGAAAATTGTTGATGAAAAAAAATTTCATTAAAATTCTTAACAGAATTTAAATTCTGCCGAAAGTTTTCGATGGAAATATTTACGTTAAACGTTTTGGCAAAAAAAAATTCTGTCGAAATTTTTAACAAAACACATTTTCATCGAAAATTTTCGACGGAAAATATTTCCGTCAAGTTTTTTGATAAAAAATATTTCCATCAAAATTTTCAACAAAACGCATTTCTCTCAAGAAATTTCGACAGAAAATATTTTCGTAAAATTTTTTGATGGAAAATATTTCGACAAAAATTTTGACAGAAAAAATATTTTGTCAAAATTCTTTACAAAATCTAAATTTCGTCGAAAGTTTAGAATGAAATATTTCTCTCAAAATTTCTAACAGAACAATTTTTGTCGAAATTTTGAATAGAAAACGTTCCGTCAAAATTTTTGACAGAATTCTTTTTTCGTTTAAAATATTTGACGGAAACTAAATTTCGTCGAAAATTTCGTTAAAAATTTTTTTTTGTAAAAATATTCATCGGTTGAAAAATTTCGACGCTTTTCGACGAAAAGTATTTCGATGAAAAAAATATTTTTGTGATGAAATTTTTACGTTGCAAACAAAGGATAGCAACGTAAAAATTTCATCGAAAATATGATCTTTTTTGGTGTTGTGAAAAGTACATACATAATTTTGTTAGAAATTTTAAATTTAATTTAATTTGTAAACTATAATAATTATATTTATTTTATAAAAAGGGTAAAATGATAAAAATATATCATTAATCTTCAATTTGCCTCATTTACCATTTTAACTCCCAAACAAAGGAAGGGAATACCCTTCAATATTCTTCCCTTTCTTCCCCTCCCTCCCCCTTGAATCCCTTTCTTTTCCCTTCCCTCCAAACTTCCAAACAAAGCCTAAATTAATTACGCTCCAACATTTTTAAATTAGTAATAGCATATCGAAACATCAAAAGAAAAAGAAAAAACAGCAGGGAAAGGAGAATTTGTTAAAATTTGGATGCCCCTGGTCTAGTCGTGATTCTCTTTACTGAGTATCATAAGAGGTACTTGTTAATAAAAGAGCACACTACAATAATTTTTACAGCAATATATTCATGAATAAGAACTAAATATCTTTTGTAATGGTAAATATTAATTTTGTTCAATTAGCAATTGAGCTTCCAAAAAAAGGGGTTGAATGGAAATATCTTACAGGTTATACTAAAAAATATTTATATATTAATTTTGTTCCATTCCATTATAATTAGTTAAAGGAAAAAATATCTATTCTTTTAAAGAATATAACCTTATATCATTTTAGATCCTAACCGTTGATTTTCGTCCATCAACGGTTATAATCTATAAATTTATTATTAATTAATTAATAATTTTGATCCAATAAATTATAATCATTAATAGAAAAAAATCAAATGATTGAGATTTAAAATGATATAAGCTTATATCTTTTAAAATTAGTTAAATACATGCTTAGGTTTCAGAACACGGATATATCCCGATGAAATATAGAAGATCGGCAATCAGTAGCGTAGCTTATCCCGGGCTTGACAAGACAATAATAAGGGTATGCACACTCTTAACTTGTTTTGCAATAAACAACGGATCTTCACTCAACATTTTTTGTTCATAACTTCGTAAGGTTAGCGTTAGACATTTACCCTGCTTTTGGAGCACACGATTGGTATACATAAGATTTGCATGTAGAAGCAAAAAGCTAACATCGAACATTATAAAGGAAAAAACCTAAAAACTAAAGAAAAAAATATTACACGAACACAACCAATTGCCCTTAAATGAGTCTTGGCATTCTACATCAGTAACGGGTAAAGAAAACACTGATGTATTATGTTTTCCTATATATAACACGCCTTTCTCGTTTGTATTCTACTTCGTCTCTCTGGTGCATGATTATAAGAGCTCTTCTCACCTGCCAAATATTTGTATGAATAAATACCGACAATAAAAATATAGATAAGCCAGTGTGATAAGACTTGACCCAAGAGAATAAAAGGAACACAAATGATTGCTTCAATCTGTAACTTCGTTTTGAGCAGTGTTATTGTTCAACCAATAAGAAGGCCTGAAGCCTGATTATCCGCTGGACTGGCACTAGCCAGCTGCCACAGTAAGAATATATTCATTGTTGGTAGTCTTTTTATGTTTTTGGTGTTTGTGTGTTTATGATGGAGAAACACCAGCTAAGTCTCTAAAAGACACAACTTAGTCTAATCTAGCATAACACTGTTTGAAACGTTCATCTTTTAACAGTTAGAACTGGTTTAGAAGTCATGACACTCTTTACAGGTAAGTGGCTACTTAGTACTTACAGTAGATTCATTCATTCCCATTCTGCTGAGGTCATCAATCAGCCTTCTTTCTGATATGTGATTTCCAATCCCAATTCTTCTCTTTATCTGAGTTTCTGCTTGCTGCTCACAGTGCAAACAATTAATCCATCAAGATATGAGGCTAGATGGAAAAAGTGAGACGGTCTCATCACAAAACAAACCTTTATCTCATTTGCCATTTCAGGTGTAAGATTTATTTGTTGGTTTATTCCTGACCTAGCTGCATCCATTGTAGACACAGTGAAAAGCCTTATTGCTTCTTGCACATTCTCCTCAGTAGCAAGATGAGATCTGGTACAAGAGTTAATCATCAAGGTACATTTTGTCAAAAGAAAGATGCATGGACTACAAAAGAACAAAACTAAAAAGCAACTCCAAAAAAGAGAAAAACAAAAAAAGGATAATCAGTCTTATAAATTTATTAACTTCGGTTTAGCAAAGCATATTGAAGGGATATCACATACAATGACTGAATAATGGAATTATCTTCCAACCCAAAAACATTGGTCTGTAATGCTTAATTCTATCGGCCCATAATTTCTAAATTGTTGAATTAATTGATACAGCCGCTATATAGAAAATCCAGGAAAGCCATTGAACAAATTTTGAGGCCTATTATTATATAGGTGAACCTTTTCTGGATAGTTCTTACGAAAAATGTGTTCTGACTGCTAGTTGTGCACTAAAAACCACTGATCATGTTGGGATGACATCATGCATTATGAACCTTATCAATGTATTTGAAACTGCTTGCACCAGAATATGTTAATATTTTATATTCTATGTAGGCACCAAGTGTTTTGATATTTTTATGAAATTGCACCAGATAGAATTCTGGAAAAATGTACAAGTGTAATAAAGAATAACAGCAACACTTACAGTTTCATCTTCGCAAGTGCCTCACTCAACCTAACAACAGCTTCCAGCTGCCTTACAGTAATTGGTATTGCAGCAGCTTCTCCAGTTTCATTTGCTTGCTGCCTCATATCCTGTAATTTTATTTTATTTTTTAAAGTGAATTATGTCTCTAAAAGCATATTCATTTCACAAAATCAGCATTCAATGGAAAAAAATGGCAACAAATAGTAATAAATGAATATTCAGGAAGCTTCTGACAGTGACATCCAAAGAAACAAAAGACACAACTGGTCTCCATCTTCATCTTAAACATCTAATAACCAGACGAAAAAAACTACAGGGAAAAATAATTTTCTGTACGCTAATTGATAACATACTCATACCTGTCTGATTTTCACATAATTATTCTGCAGTAAAGTTGCTGCGGATTCTGATAGACGAGGGTGGCATTGAGATCGACAATATTGTAAATACCTATTCAGATAACAGCTCAAAAGTTCATTCTCTCAAATAATTGAAAGAACTGAATGAATAGTCTATGACTAAGTCGACGATGTAGCATACCTCTTCAGCCAGTTCTCCTCTTTAGAAGACCTGCTCTCACCCGTGGTTGCATCAGCTGTTGCATGAACCTTTATGATATGACTAGCTATTACCTGTAAACAAAATCAGCCAACCACTGACTTGAGGAGTAATGAAAATCAAGCCATTGAATATGTAAAACATATTTCCGCATGGTCTAAACACATGGAATACACACACATTTTACTCGGTATAATGTGCATGCTTCAATGTTAATGTCGCAACACAAAGAAAACTCAAATTTGACATACCATTTCTTCCAAGGACAAAGGTGCATTCAAAGGTAGCAAACAAACACACACACACACACACAAGGATAGTTATTCTTGTACTGGTATAAAAATACGAAAATCACACACACACACATAAGGGTAGGTTATTCTTGTACCGGTATAAAAATAAGAAAATCTTACACTTATTCTTGGCCCCACACATACACATATATATAAGGGTAGGTTATTCTTGTACCGGTATAAAAATTTACACTTATTCTTGGCCATTGATCCATTTATATCCAATGGTTCAAATAAATAAAAAATTAGAACCGTTAAATATAAATAAGATTTAAGATCAACATTGAGTGTAACTTACACGTAGGTGTAAAATGATCCTAATATATATATATATAGGGGTAGATTTTTCATAAGAAGTCTTACACTCGTTCTTGGCCACCACTTATATCCAATAGTTCAAATAACTAAAAAAATTAGAACTGTTAAATATAAGTGGGATTTAAGACCAAGATTGATAGTGTAATTTACACACGGGTGTAAAATGATCCTACCATATATATAGACACTAGATAATGTGCATGCTTAAATGTTAATGTCCCTAACACGGGAAAAAAAAAACAAATTTGATATAGCATTTCTTCGTAGGACAAGGTGCACTCAAAGGTTGAAAAAGAAGGTACCACACAGTGAGAACATAAGTACAGAACAGTCAAAGTTACCTTGTCTTGACTGTACATTCTGATGTCTTTCACAATGAAGATTAAATCAAACCTAGAAAGAATTGTTGTCTGCAAATCAATGTTATCCTGTGCAGTCTGGAGGAATATTTAAGGCTCCTGTTAGTCTCTTGTGATGAAGATATGCTTTCTAAGAAACTGAAAAAGATTAGATAAGCAGTAGACCTTAAGATCATCATAACGTCCTGATGGAGGGTTGGCAGCAGCAAGAACAGAAGTCCTTGAATTAAGAACAGTTGTTATTCCTGCTTTGGCTATGGATATAGTTTGCTGTTCCATGGCTTCATGAATAGCAACCCTACACCAAAGAAACTAAAAAATTTCACCATGAACCGACAATGATGTATTACAGAAAAGAAATACCAAACAGTTTACAATACCTATCTTCTGGTCTCATCTTGTCAAACTCATCAATGCAAACAACACCTCCATCTGCCAAGACCATGGCCCCTCCTTCAAGATAAAACTCGCGCTGAATTACACAGAACAAGAATCAGAGGCTTATCAAACAATATAGGTGAAGTACTAGCTTATGGTTATCTCAAAAATAAGCAGTGATGATAGAAATTTACGACCTAAATCTAATACAAACAATGCAAGAGGTGAAGAATTTACAGTGCTGCTATCTTGGATTACAGAAGCTGTAAGGCCAGCAGCTGATGAGCCTTTTCCAGAGGTATAAACAGCAATTGGAGCTGTCTTTTCAACAAACTTCAGAAACTGTAGAAATAATTGTCACCTCATGTAAGGAAATACAAGCTATAACGTGAATGATTAAATGGTCAACATCAACAGCACCTTTAACCCAAAGGTGAATGATTAAATGGTAAGTTAAACAAAAAAAAAGGAAAAAGGATTTAGTATTTCATGTCAAAATAATCAAAACCTAAAGCATATACACTGGCAAAATCCTTTCACTGTTGTATACAAACAAAATATAATGCAAGTGGCACACTAGGGTTTTTAACAACTCAACCACCACATAATAACATAAAGCACTAGTCTACAGAAATAAAAGTAGTAAGAACAAACCTGGGACTTTGCAGTAGATGGATCCCCCAGAAGCAACACATTGATATCGCCTCTTAACTTCACTCCATCTGGCAAATTCTGCTTGCAAAGAAATTGACCATATATTCAGCTCCCACGATGGATTTTTGTTATTCCCCAACAACATGGATGGATACTAAAAGATAATGGGATACCTTTCTTGACCCTCCGAACAGAAGACAGGCTACAGCCTTTTTGACATCATCATGCCCAAATATAGACGGAGCAATCTTGGAGCATATATTTTTATATGCATCAGGTTCAGCAGCAAATTTTTTGAATTCTTCTATCTGCAAACAACACCATTATTTGTGTGCAACCTCTATAGATGGAGACCATGATAATGAGCAGGAGTGAAAAGTCAATCTACTAATCTAGGTTTATAAAATGAGGAAAGATTAATGATATAAATCATAGAAGAACTGAGAAATCACAGCCGGTATCCAAGTATTTGAAGGGAAAAGGTAAAATACTTATAACATTGATAGCCTAAAGTTTCAATGGAACCACAAGCACTTTTAACATTAAACTAAAATATGATATTCATGGAGGCAACCAACAAGGTATAAAGCAAGGAAGAAGTAATCACTTTATAATTGTTTCAAGTTTCAAAGCTGACCTCTTCTGGTGTAAATGCAGAAGGACCTCGAGATTTGGCTTCATTTGTTTCTTCTATTCCTACAACCCTGATATAAGGCTGCCTAACAGCAACTGCTCCTTTGTGGCTGCATAAAATACAAGCAATTTGAAGACATAGACATCAATTCTGGATTGGACAATTAAGAAATTCAAAAATGCAACAAAAAACAAAAAAACAAAACAAAGATGATGAATCTCACGATGCAGAAGAGTTGGAAGCCTGGTAGATACTATAGATTCCCATGATTGTCAATCTTGAGCCAGGTACTACTGTTTGAACAAGATGACGATCAACAGAGAGAAGCAGGTTTCTAGGAAGCTCTCCAGTTGGAACATCCTTCAATAGCCACCACGTGAAAATGCAATTATATGATTATCATTGCAAGTTTCGTTAAAGCTTTTCTTAACTAAATTCATATTACTACCTCCGGGTTTTCTTGCAGTTTCAAGGTTTGTTGATCAACATACTTGCTCTTGTCAGGAACCACAAGCCATGGATCAAGTGGGCAGGGTTCTTCTCCAGGCTACAACAACCTTCTTTTCTTGTAAGAGATATCCACAAAATAAAAGAACAAGTAGACCACGCTACGCAAAAAAATAAAAGATAATATGACATTTTTTATGAACTCAACCTGAGGAACATGATCACAGGAACGAGGAATAATTGCTCCCCCAAGTCCTGGCCGACATGGAACTTGCTTCCCCTTCTTGCAATTCTTACATATTAGGGTGACATAAGTTGCCTTTGCCTTAGTCCTGGATGCGGCAATTGTAATCCCAGCAATTTTAACTAGCTTTGATATGTATTGAGCCTATCAAAATAAAAATAAAAAATAAAATAAAAATCATCACATTCCTCATGCAATTTCCGAATAATCAAACTCCAGATTAGATCAAATCCACTTACCCCGAGCGATCTCATGGAGACTGGATCCTCCTTGGAGGTGAGCAAAACCTGAACATCCCCAGTCACCGGATCCTCCAAAACTCCCGTATCTCCAGCAACCTTCGTCTTCAAACTCACCAAAACCTGAGCTGCGGCCGTCTCGAGCTACAAGGCAAAAAGAATCGTGAAAAAATGAGATGACGATCGATAGTTGTCGGAAGAGTGAGAGAGAAATGGGAAGTACCAGGGGCAAGAAATCGGCGGGGGAAGATCGGAGTTTAGCGGGAAGGTCGGGGTCGAAGGCATCGAGATCTTCCATGTCGACGAGAAGGAGCTTGGGGCTATGGAGGAGGCTCTCTCTGTAAGGGAAGACATTGCTGTCGGTCTCGAAGTTTCGAATGAATTCCTTGAATTTCTGGAGGAGAGAGTGATTGGAGGCTGCAGCTTCGGTGCGGCCACCGGTGCCGTCGTCCAAGGAGTGGGCTTGGTCACTGTAATACACCGCTCCCTCGTCCCAACCTGACATCTTCTCCGATTCCTGACGGTTAGGGTTTTGGTTTTGGTTTTGGTTTTGGAAGGAAGCACAGAAAGGGACTAAGAAGAAGGGTGCTTTTCGCGGGAAAACTATGGCGGGAAAATTATGGCGGGGGATGCGATGGCACGTGACTTTGTGTGTGTTACTGTATTAGTATTAGCAGAGTAAATTCAAAAGTATTGAAAATTCTTTTTTCTTTTTCTTTTTTTGTGTGTATGCTGTGGAATACTGAGCAGAAAGATATTTCCTTCAAAAAATAAATGGAGTTAATGAATATGAATAATGAACTCAGCATTTTAGAATTTTCATTTTTAGTTTTGTTGAACACTAATTTAGCCATTAATTAGGATTGAATTTTCTTTAACTTCCCGTAATGTCGTGATATGTTGAGATTATGCGTGTATCAGAAAAAGTATAACCAAAGCCAATACGAATAGATTAGTGACAAGAGATTTATGTTGTTAGTTAGCACGAGGTCATACTGCATATGTCACTTGATTGACGCTATTATTATTATTATTATTATTATTATTAGGGTTATGTTTATCTCATTTTATATGAGATAAACAACTTTTCTACACACACAAAAAAGGATTGGGGCTCAACACTCTTTTTCCTCTCTTCTCTTATCTGTGGGTTCCACTTATAATTTTATTTCTATAACATGAGATACTTTTTTTCTTACAATATAAGAAACATATTTCCCTTATTATTATTATTATAACTAAATTTATATTTAGCATACAAAGTTATAAACGTCTGCCTTTAAATTAGTGTTTAAAAACTTGCCGACTCGGCCGAGATCAGGGGTCACGGGTTCAACCGGAGGGTCATGGGATCACTTCGCTAACCCGATTATATACATTAAAAAAATTAAATATGTATCCTATATGAAAAATTCAAAAAAAAAAAAAATCAAACCACCAATCATTAAAGATTCAAAACATACTTTAACATAATTCAACCAATTACATCCACAAGTTAATATTCACAAACTAATCAAAGTATAAAACACATATTCCAATTGAGTTAGTGAAAAATTATATCATCAAACTCAGGCCCTTCTTTTCTTTCTCATGCACCTACAACAGTATGTGAAAGGAGACCCTTTACCCAATAGAGAATAGCGGAGTAGAGGTGGAGACACAACAAATTAACGGTGGGAAAAGAAGAACATGCACGATGGAGGAGATCACCGAATCAGGAAGACTGAGCATGATTCTGGGAGAGAAAATCGGAAGAGAATGAGAAGAACGATTCAGATTTCAGTTCTAGTTTTAAATCTAGGCAACAAGTTTTTATTGTTTTTTATTTTTACACATCAAATGATGTTATTACATGTATAATTTATTTTATTTTTTAAAAATACAGTGACCCCTCTAACACGAGAGTCACGGGTTCAACCGGAGGTTAAAGAGATCAACTTGCAAATAGAGTCTAACTACTAAGCTGAATTCTCGAAAAAAGGAGGTCAATGACCCAGCAGGGTAAACCACAAGGTGGAGCGAGATTTTAAAACATTGCTTCAAATCCATCAAATGACAATACTCTACAATAACAACGCCCCTCCCCTTAAAAAGAAAAATAAAAAAAAATAAAAAAATCCAAAGTTCAAATCTATCTTAATATTGTTAAGTTAATTTGCAACGCATCCCTCTCACTATATTACTTTTAATTCAGACTTAAGACCATATGGCCTTAAATACTACAAATAATGAAAATTTATTTAGTAATTTTTTTTTTTATTTAAAACAATTCTTAAGCGCCAAATTATTTCACACAATTCTTACAGTAATTCACTTATTTGGGGGCATCAATGAGTAATCTCATTCTGAATGGGAGTGTGGCTTCAAGAATCTAAACTTGTCCTCGCGCAATACATTATTAAATTTGTCTTGGGCCTTTTTGTTATTATAGTAAAGAACAATTTTCTTTTCCCTTAAAATAAAAAGACCATCAAGTGCAAATATTTGCACTTCAAATGTCACGTGTAGTTCATGGAAAATATACTGTTACAAATTACAAATGACGGACAGTATACACACGGTGATAGATGCCACTTTACAACAAAAGTAATAATACTCTAGAATATATTTCCATTTTTGGACCCTGTGGGGTTATGCTAAAACTCTATTACATGCAACTTCTCTGTGCCATCACGTTATATACTAAACCTATAACGATGAGGGCATTCAGAAATATCAAATTTTCCTATTACTATTGAAGTTAGCAGTATCTTACTTTTGTATGGGTTCATTCAATTCGACCGCAACTAGTTTGGAATAAAGGTGATATTGATATTGAACTTGTCTAATCCCTTGGTCAAAAAAGATTTCTTATACCAAATTGCTTGGGATTAATATGACATGAAAGTTGTTCGGCAGCGCCTTAATTTCCATTAGGCAGGTAACCTTGCTGTTGCAGGTACCAAAATGCACCCTCAGCTGCACTCTCTGCTGCATCTTTCTTCTTTGGTAGAGGTTCCCCAACAAACTCGAAAATCGTATCTGGAGTCTCTTCTATCTCCAAGGTCACCTTGCAAGTGAATCTAAAAATAGAATGGCAAACAGAAAGAGTATAGTCAAATTAGATCCCTATTGTCGTGTAAAATAGAAAAATTAACAAAATAATGAAGGCTCTTTAAAAGTCTTTATGTAGCCTGATATGAACTCAGACATGCTGTATGCTAGATGTTGGCAAAAAATTATGAATTTGAACTTTAATATCATCATCCAGTCACCACAAATCATTTCCAATAAATTCAGAAATGAAAAGAGGGAACCAGTTTCTTTAGTCACAAATTTCAAACATGCAGTGTTACCCAAGCAATCAATCCTAAATTACTAATGCGAAAGCAGACCAACCATATTAAACAAAAAAGATTAATAATTTAGGCAAATACACTGATTTGAATGTCAGAAAATAACCCATTGCAAATTTGAACAAATATGTTCTACTACTATCACTGGCTGAATTGTTTGGCACGAAAATTAAAGATCAAAACATAACAAAACTCGAGGAGAATATCAGCAGATCAGACTACAAAATCTGGGTAGAGATACATATTTTACTAAAGATTAAAAATTTAAAGATAATGACAGACTCACAACTTCAGGTGGTCTGGTCCCTCTTCCTTGCAGCATTCAAATGAAGGTTGTTTCCAGCAATAAGCAGCACAGAATTCATACAATCGTGATCTTGCTGTTCCATTGTACAAAATATATGAAACAAATGTTTAGAAATAACTGCGAGGCAACGTTTCCAATAGTAGGCACTTTAAAACTACTACATCTTTTACATTACCTGTCCTCAACGAGTCAACGCTGCAATCATTACTTGTAAAGGTTTCACTAAGCTCTCCCTTAGCAGAAGATTGAGGCAGTTGGACAACAGGTTTCGCATGTGGGGACAATGTATCAACTACCATTCGGATAGGGCGAATTTCAGGGTCAGACTTGCTGCACAGTTCTCCATTAACCACTAAGCGCGGGATGGTAGTAGTCGCTGTTACATCAATGGGAGTTTCATCATAGCCAATAAGTTTTGCTTCCATCTTAAAGGTTGATTTCAGAACTTCTTCCAAAGTTTTTGACTTTGGTTTCCAGCCTTGAGCCTGCACATGACCCATAACCGCTCAAATCATACTTCAATACAATCAATCTAAGAGAAAGTGACGAGAAAGTAGAAGATATTGAAAGAAATTAGAGAGAGAAAAAAACTGAGTGATTCATTACATTTGGATCAGTTACATAGTGCTCTATTTATAGAGCTGATCATTAGGATTCTATCCATAACAGAAATCTGACTTGCCAAACTAACTATTCTAACAGAACCAGTGATTTGATTCTGTACAACCAGATGTACAGTAAACCAATGCAATAGTCCTACAGCTTATACAACAGACCTGCAACAGTAGCTATAAGTATAACAACACATAAAGGATAGCAAAATATATCTTATATTTTTTTGATTTTAAGCATTTCCTTCAGAAAATCATGAATACAGGAAATAAAGGGAAAACAATGTGGTATTTTTTTAAGTATGAATGAAAACATAAAAACTGAAACTGAAAAAAAAAAAAAAAAAAAAAAAAAAAGGTAACCTAAGCACACTTGCTTTACCTTTAAGTTTGAAAATAGTAGCTGTGAAGCAATTCTAGAAGCCTCTTTTTTATTTTCGCTGGTTGCCGAAGCTGTCTCACATACACCATTCCCAGTCACTTTGGCTTCAACTGAAAACTTTTTATTTTTAGTCAGTTTTGATGGCAGAAACTCCACATCCAAATTATGAGATTGGCAAAGTTCTTGCAAATCCCTAATAGGACTCAGTTGCAAGCTTGATGAGAATTTCATGATTGGGTCCAAGAATGATGTCATAATTTCCCAAACTTTGTTCAAATTGAATCCCGAGTCAAGAAGAATGGCACCCACACAAGATTCCACCAAGTCCCCAAGGGCCTGAAGCAATCATTAATGTCAGTTTAGAGCTCAAATACCTTTTGATGCAAAATTAAGAAGCAATACAAACCTATCACAAACTTTTGAGCTGCTTGCATTGGACATTAAAAGAACTCCTAATGTTCCTATAAGAGTTACTCATGCCCATAACCCAAACCATAGAGCAGAAAATGCAGCGTCATATTCCACTAATTTACTATTATGGCTTCCAAGTAAAAGAATAATGATTGGTACACATCTTGCGGGTGCACATCACCTCACATCAGGCATAGGTGGCAGAATCAAAATGTAGGTATGCAAAAAATGAGGTCGGACCAGCTGTAGTCAAATGATGAAACTTACAGATTGTGAAGTGATGTGTGAGTTTGTGTAGCATAATTCCAAGTAAAATACCCAAATAGAAATTTGAAAAGGATGCAGACGTAATAGTTTGGGAAATTCATCTTCGATTGGTAAATATAATAGACATATAATGAATAATAGTGTAAAGCGTCAATTCAACCTAAAACCTTAATCTGGTAGATGAAGGCCACAATAATGATTATTATATTATATTTCTCTAATACGCCATCTCACACAAAAGCCCATTGGACATGAAGGGTGGAGAATGCATAGGCTCACCTACCTGTACTAAGAAACTCCACAATATTTAATTATTTATTAGTAGAATGGAGGCGATGAGGATCGAACTCAAGACCACTTGATTACAGAGGCTTTGATACCATTTAAAGCGCCAATATAACCTAAAAGATTAAGTTGTTGGGTTGAATTGGTTGCATTACATAATATTAGAGCTTTTGACCAAGCGGTCATGAGTTCAAACATCACCGCCGCCGTTTTCTAATAAAAAAAATTAAAAAGTATGTTAAAATCAACACAAGGTAGCCTAAGGATTCCAGTACGAGGGTGTGTTAGAGATATTAAAATAAAACCATTAATGTGATCATCACTTTTCAGTCACCAGCTTAATTTTTTGGGTTGAAATGATTCTTTACAACCGTTAAATGAGTTGCAACATTATAAAAAGGTCATTACATCTACCTTAGGACATTTTGGCCCTTCAATGATGCCACCATATGATACAACATGTCTTCTAACATAGTCCACATACTTTTTTATTGCCTCAGACAGGCAGCTTGAATCACATAAAAGAAATTTATCAAAGCTGCGATCAACCGCTACACAGGCAAATGCCTTATTGTTAACAGACAATGATCTCAAATCTGTCAATTGACCAGGCTTTAGTTTGGGATAAGCTGAGTACAGATATGAAGTAATCAAATAATCCAATACAGCATCTCCAAGAAACTCCAATCGCTGCAAAGAATTATCAAGTTTCAAAAACTAAAGATCAAATGTTTCAATAGAATTCCAAGAAAAGATACATATATAGCAGGATGTAAAGTAGAGAAAATAGTTCTTATCAGAAGTCAGGACATCGAGAGTCAAAAGAAAAGTAGCACTTGCCTGATAACAGCCTCCTCCATGCTTATTGTAAGAAGGATGTACAAATGCCTGGAGAAGCAGGCCCTTATGAATAAAGTGATATCCTAACTTACCTTCGAGGGAAGAAATGCCAACATCGGCAGAAAGAGGGAGATAGCCCGCACTTCCTGCGCAAATATTAACCACTTGTGAGGCTTCAAATTTGATTTGTATGCCAATCCATGTAAGGAAAGCAATTGCAGCTTTAAAGCCACTGTCAACTATGAATGCTCCGACCAGAGCTTCAACCACATCAGCAATTGTTTTCCTATATAACCAGTGGTGATTTTTATTACATCGGATTTCAGTTGCCCCCCCTTGCTCTTTAACAGAATTGAGACATAAGTGTATGCTTTCTTCAGTTTCCTTGTTACAATCTCTTGGGCAAGGACGCCCTAATGCATAGAACTGGAAGGGATCAAATGCCTGATCGCATATATAGACCTGGCAAAGGAAGCAGAGAGATAGAAACAAGATGAAAGTCAGTAACATTCTAAAGCTTGACATCAGGGTAGAAAAAAGTAATCAAGGTTTTAGCCTTACTAAGTTGTTGTTAAGTTAATTTCTATATTTCAGTGCTAAGGATACTTCAATATTTTCAATCCTTGTTTAAGAAATGTATTTGGGTTTGGGTTTATGTTACCCAAGTGTTATTTGGCCAGCCTAGAGGTCTAAGATTCCAACTTGGGTTAGTAATATAAGTAGGAAGCCAGATGCCTACATCCTTAACAGTATTAGGACCTTGTCCGCCACCCCTGGGGATAAATTAGAGGAGGTCTATTTCCAAAATATGCCAAAAGAAGTGAAATTAATACAAAGTTGGGCTTTGGGTTGCCTGTGCTGCTTTCAGCATGTTTTTCATGTTTTGTCTATTTGTATCCTCGTATGTCATGTCCAGATATAAAAACATACAATTGCCTAACCAGATTGAGTTTGTGCCTACTGAGAATTGTTTTCTTCTCATCTTGTATAAAATCTTAGACTTTCTTTCAGTTTCATTTGAAAATAAATATGTAAGTGTTATCTTGTAAGTTGCTTTCATCTTTATTGCATGATGAGATTGAATTCTAGTTGTGAAGTTGAGGTGAATATTCTTCTCAAATATTGTGTTTTTTTAATTTTAAACCAGCCCAATCCTATTTTTCTTGGAAAATGATATTGAATTTTCTTTACTTTAAACCCCAAATTGATTCTTAATAAGTTCATAGTATTACATTATATGTAAAGAACCATCTCAAATCAAAACCTTAAGGTGGTGGATAAGGCTACATTAATGGTTTTATATATCTCTAATACGCCCCCTCTCACGAGAGCTCATTGGGCTTAAAGGATGGACAATGCACAGGTAAGCTGAGCCTGATGCATCATCCACCTTTCAAGCCCAATGGGCTCTCTTGTGAGGGGGCATATTAGAGAATAATATAAATCATTGAGGCCCTCACCCAACAACTTAAACTTTTGGGTTGAACTGGTTCTTTACATGCTATCAGAGCTTCAGTGACTACAAGGTCACGAGTTCGATCCTCACCGCCCTCACTTTCTAGTGGAATTAAATAAGCACAAGGTAAATAAAAAATTGGGCATATGAAATATTCATGCTTAAAGCCTAAAGGACTCTTGCGTAAGGAGGCGTGTTAGAGATATATAAAAAACTATTAATGTAGCCTCACCCACCAGCTTAAGCTTTTGGGTTGAATTGGTTCTTTACATTATACATAAAAAAATCAATCAACAATATTCGGTGTTAAAATATAGGGTTTTATAATTCTCAAGTTACATGAGAATTGAAATCTTATGTCGTAGAGATAAAAAGCATGCGAGACCCATATGTTAGAAAAAATTATGTGTAGGACCTATATCAGCACGGAAATCGAAGGGTGTGTAGGAAGATTTAAATTCTCATGTTGAATGAGAATTATAAAACCCTAAAATATATGAAAAAATATCTCAAAATATGTTATTTGTATCTCATAATATACCCAGTACCTTACCTAAACCATCTACAGTCAATCAATCAAAGGCTAGTATGTATGCCCAAATTGGTGTAACAAAGGAGGGGAGACCCCAAACTGGTCCAAGTGCAATCAATAATATTCATAATTTCAAATTTCAACTCTAAAGTTTAAGTGCACCCACCTTTACCTATCTACAATAACCCTTCAATATAGCAAATTTCCACCATCAATGCATCCAGGAAACCCTACATCAAATGCATGAATTGATTTTATATTACTGGATTTGGATCCTCTTATTTTAGCTCTCAACATGATCTCATCATTTTAGGATAGACACAATAATGGCTCCCTATGCATGAAATGGGGTTCCCTAGTACAGAGTCATGTGACTATCTATCTCCCAAAATTACAGGGTAGGGTTAGGAATGACCCACAAAAATTTGTTTTTCATTGCCAAGATAATTTTAACATATATATAAATTATCTAACATAGCTAGTTACAGAAATTAGTCCATGTTAAAAATATAACATAAGAGTCATTCATGTGTCTTCACCTAACAACTTAATCTTTTTAGGAGAGTTGATTGCATGACATGATATCAGAGCCTTTATGACTAAGTGGTCTATAGTTCAATCCTTGCCACTCCCATTTTTCTAACAAAAAGTGGAATCTCAATACAAGGTAGATTGTTCTATGTATTGTCCACACTTCAAGCTCAAAGGAATCTTGTGTAAGAGGGCATGTTAAAAATATAACAAAAATATATATGTGTCTTCACCAAATAGCTTAATTAGCTTGTTGAGTTGGTTGCATCACAGTTCACATGTATATCATATAAATCCAATAGAAGATTAAAGAATAATAATAATATTTTCTTATTTAGGTAATGAAGATGGCATTTGAAAGTATAACTTTACCTGCAAATTGCGCTTGATAGCCAACTTAAACAAATTGCAATTATTTACAACATTGGAACGCTTTCTTGTAAGGTCTCCTTCATGAAGGCTGTCATGCATGAGAAAAAAATGGCGAGCAACAACAAATTTAAGGAAAGCATCACCAAGCACTTCAAGTCTTTCAAGGGAAAAGCGCTCTTGACACTTCTCAGTGGTGAGAGCCTCTAGAACCTAGTAGTGGTTCACAATTGTTAGTAATGGAGCAACATTCATCTGTACCATATAAGCATTGCAACAATTGGATGAAAAAGAATATACTACTTACAAAAAAAAAATGCAAATAATATGTTGCATTTAAAAAGGCCTTACTCTATGGGCATTAATTTCAGCTGCCTCTGGGAAGAAAGAAGATAGCATGTGCTTGAGTTCAATAGCAACCAGCAAGTTTCCAAGACGGTGCATAATTGAAGGTAGCAAAGATATGGAACTACCAATGTCCTTCGAAAAGCCTACTATTTTTAGTTCACATAGCTCGGGAGGCAAATATATTAAGTATTCCTCTAGCTCATGTGGTTCTGTTATTTACAATTAAAAGCTACAATCATTTAGTCAAGAGTGTGAAGAATTATCAGAATTCAAGATAAATCCAAAATCAAGATAAAAACCTGAAAGTAATCAATGCACACTTTTTAAATAGCAAATGCAAAAGCATAAAGAAATGTACATACATTGTTACAATATTTTAGATATTAATGATAGCATACATGTATATATGGTAGAATCAATAAGGAGCAATCTTAAGAACTAATTTAGGATTGTATATCTGTATAATTAGGATTGGATCATTGTAATTAATACTAACACCAATATAGATAGAGACCATGTGTGGACTGTTTCAAATACACAATTTTATCCTTAATCAGATTGTTCTTAGAATTCTAAAGTTGATATCAGAGTGAGTTTTGACCCATCTCTCACAAAAAAACCCTAAATCTGTTGTGCCACCTGCTCAACATCAAATCCTTCTTAGCTGCATGTCAAATGTCAATACCCGTGAGCCCTCTCTACTGTGACTCTTTCCGGCAAGTTTCTGTCATTGTTAAAATTTTCAACGACCTCAAAAACTTCAGATCTGATTCTGAAACCCCACGGATCAAAAGCTCCCAGTCCCTACTGCCTAAAATCTGAAGTTTTGCTGTCGTCTGCAGCTCCACATACTGCCTAAAGCATGAGGGAGCATGAGCCACTTTTCCTACGCTGCTCTTCCATAGACTCATGTGAAATCATTTGCACGAGACATCCCAAGCCCTTTTGGCTCCTATCTTGGCCATTTCAATTCAAGGGTGTTTCAGATTGTGGGTCCCACAATTTTGGTGTTCTTTGGACTATTCATTGCATGCCAAGACCTGCACAGTCCTTTTTTGACATCCTCCTGGTGTTTCTGTGATTTTTGGTGATCTACATTTTTCAAAGGCTCCCATCATTTAAGTTACGAAAAAGTGGAAATTCCAAGAAACAATGGAGTCTCAAATACTACAAATTTTTTGGATAGGAGAGTTGTGCAAGAGAGATAAACGAAAAGGACAAGGGAACATCAGACTAAAGAGGAATCTTCTAACCAAGGCCAATAGTCCTCCCAAATCTTGATATGAGAATCAATACCTATCTTCAAGGAAAGCTAAGAGTTTAAAGGTGGGATAACTATGGTCTACGAGAAATAAATTTCCAAGGACTAGAATGAGAAGCGTGGATTATTGTAAGTGCAAAGCCCGTTGACAATCCTATGGATTCGAAGGTCAAACTACTGCCAAGTTAGGGGGAGCCACTCCCCAATCTAGAGAGATACAGAAGATTAGTTAGGAAGGTGAATTATTTCACACTCACTTGTCCAAACATCTCATTTCTAGTAAATGTGGTAAGTCAAGTTCCTAAATTATGAGTACCTACAAAGACAAAGTGTTTGCAGTGTTGCCAACTGTTCAGCCCAATGCAACGATGCCCAAATAGAGCATACGGGTGATGATTCTGGCACGGGATGAGCAGCTAGATGAAGATATTGTAAAAAATCAAAGGCGGAAAGTGAGGTGGGAAGTTGAATAACCGGAAGAATTATGCAAGGGGAATCCCCTATTTCCAAGGTGGAATTTCAAAAGGGTGACAACTGATAGTGTAAAGAACTATTCAACCCAAAAGCTTAAAGCTATTAAGTAAGGGCCACATTAATGGTTTTCTATAACACACCCCCTTACGCAAGAGCCATTTGATCTTGAAGCGTGGATATTGCATGGGCCCATTTTTTTAATACTACCTTGTGCTGACTTATTTCCACTAAAAATGGGAGGCGATGACGATCAAACTTTTGATAAACAATAATTTCACCTAAAACCTCAAGTTGTTAAGTGAAGGCTTTTTTAATGGTTTTCATATTTATCTAACACGCCCACTTACACCGGAACCTATTGGGCTTGAAGGGTGCATGTACAAGTGCTAAGAAACTCCATAATATATAAATATTTATTGACGATAAGAACCGAACTCGTATCCTGGGGTCACGGAGGCAAGGATAGAACTCATTACCTCGTGGTCACAGAGACTTTGATATCATGTAAAGAACTAATTCACCTAAGAGTTTAAGCTGTTAGGTGAGGCTATATTAATTATTTTCTATATTACTTCTCTAACATATAGGACCTAGGAAGTTTATAAATTAGGAGTTATAGAAGGGGAAACCCTTGGAGAAGATTCTCTCCTTTATTCTTTGTGATTCGCTAAATCAATAGAAAAGTGTTCTTTCTCATTCTTTATTATCTACTCGTAGTTCTTTCTCTCTAAAAATTCGGACCGTGTTTTGAGGATCCTAACACAAAAGGAAAACATCATAGCCATTTAGCAGTCAGAGCAAGGATCTTAAACACCAAACTACCAATACCCGAACCCCCTTCCTTCTTTAGGACAACAGTAAACCTCCTATCTCACTAAATGATCATACACCATTTAAAAAACACTAGACCAAGAAGCTTAACTTATTAAGCAAGGCTTCAGAATTTTATTTGGAACTCTTAGCACACCCTTGACAAAAACCTATTGGAACTGAATTGTGGACAAATGATAAGAGTATAGACATTAACTAGTCTGTAAAAAAATAAAATAAAATAAAATAAAAAATTAAATGGTAACAATCAAATTCTAATCACTTAGTCAAATAGGCTCCAACACCAAGAATAACATATCCTACACAGTACCTGTATCCCCAAGCTTTCGGTTGTGTAGCAGGTTGTGCAAATTAAAGAGTGGTTTTGCTTGCAGAAGTGGTTGTTCAGGGTATTTGAGTTGAATGGAAAATCTGACATCCAAGCATGCATTATTTTTTGTCAAAGATCATAAGCACAAATATATGATATTCCAACTTATATGCACACGTTCTCAGCAGCTTTAAAAAATGTCCAATTAATATTCTCAATCTTTTTATAAATAAAAAAAATTATGAATGCAAAACCGAAATGAAACAAGGATGAACTAGTAAACATATACCTACTTTTCAATGAAGTGGTCCATATAGCTTGAAGTGCCCGAATCTTTATTAGGACTCAATCCATTCTTTTGATCGATATTAGTGACAAAATAAAACAGCTTCTTATGAGTTGCATACACTAAACTATTCTCAACATCTCTTACACTTCTGTAACCATTGGCAAGTTGCAGGTGAATATCCAAAGGGAAAACTTTTTTATCCACCATATCTGCTGGATGCCTGAAAATTGCTGAACCAAGGCATCTCCTCACTGTCTTCCAATCTACTGTCATGCTATTTTCATATTCTTGGAATATGACTGGAAGCAAAAGGTAGAAGGTTGAAGTGCTTGTACGTGATTCAGCACCCTTACCCAAGTCTACAAACTCAGAAACAAATTCTGATCTGTCAAGAATAACTTTGAGGAACATTTCTTGAAATTTCTCTGCCATCTTAATCTGCAGGATGGACAAGTCCAAGAATTAACTTAAAATTTTCATTTTGTTTTCCAAAAATAAAAATGTTATTTACCTCATTTTTGTCAAATTCTACAACTCCAAATGGAACAAATTTTGACATCACAGATCTACCACGAGCAAGATGAAGATCGAGTTCGAGTTTCTCAGCCTCCATTGGAAGACGAGTCATGATGAATAGACCAAACTCTTTGTAGACCCTGTCCTCTGGACAGGGACAAAATTTTATGTAGTAAGAGTTAAGATGGACAATTTTCTCCTCGTTTATCCATGACAATCTAAAGGCAGAAGGAACTGGCATCTCATATAATTCTCCTCTTGAAGTGGCATCTGCAAATAAAGGAAAATTAATATAGTACAACAAAATAATGATATTGTTATATCTCTAGAAGTATAAGCTGATTGTAATCAACACAATAATAGTACTACAGCTGAAAACAAAATAAAAACCTTCCCCATGCAAGCTTAGTGTCATGCAATCAACTTTCCCAAAAGGTTAAGCCATTAGGTGAAGGCAGATGGGTGGTTTTATATTCATATTATATTTCTAAGACACCCCCTTACAAAAAAGCCCATTAGGCTTGAAGGGTGGTTAATACACAGGCCCACTTACCTGTACTAAGAAGTTCCGCAATATTTATTAGAAGATTATTAGAATGTGGGCAACAAGGATCAAACTCTGGACCACTTGGTCACAGATGCACTAACACTATGTCCTGCAACCAACTGTTCCAAAAGCTTAAGTTTTTACCCTGAAAGTGGCTCAACATTAAACTGTCCAAAGAAAAGGTATGTTACAATAATAGTTACAAAAAATAGACTATTTGAGTATAAGCGGCATGGCAGCATATAAAACCATGTAGAATCAGTCACTCTCCTTAATACCCTTGTTGACAAGTAAACATGCTCAACACTTTATTTCAAAATATAATTTATACATTACATTTTTGACAACCCAATGACAGACAAAGAGAGCAATTGCTTATCAGAGAGTAGCTGAAGTTTGACCTTCACTCTCATCTGAATCAGAAGAGTCCGAAACCTGCTCCTGAGGCTCTGCATCATCTTGCTTTGGCAAAAGACAATCACTTAAAGAACCTAATTTATACAGTTCTTCAATTGCTTTCAGGCAAGCATCTCTTTTGGAAGCTTCCATAGACAACTGTGGCGTACTGACAATTTGGTGTATTGGAGCATTTGAAGGCAAAATAATGTGACAGACAATTCCCCCTAAATCATCGAAGTAAAAAAAATTTGGCTTGGGGTCAAAGTACCTGCAAAAGATTTGTACTTTATTTCCGTAAACTCCTTAGTTGAGTATAATATATTTTGAAACAAACAAAGGTCCAAGTAAAAATGAGCCCATACTCGTCATGTGGAAGCTTTGAACAATACTGGTGAAGCAATGAGATACTATATCCAGAACTGACACAAGCACCAGATGAATCAACTCTGAATATTTTTTCCTCCGGGATGATGTATATCTCCTTGGATGTTCGTTTAGTGATTTCCTTATTCATTTGGCATTCATCTTTCTCAAAACCAGCAATTATATCTAGTTCCTTCTTATTTCCACTGCAATAAAAAGACAACTCAAATATAACCAAATATATGGATTTGCATAGATTAGTTTTAAATTCGATTAATAGTAAGGGTACCTGTCCACCAAAAATGCATATTCTGACTGAGGCATGCGTGCACGGCCTCTTGACTGTATAAAGCTGGCAACAGTTTCTGGAAGATCAAATCGTATGACAAGGCAACATGTCTGAATGTCAAGTCCTTCTTCACCCACTTTGGTTGCAACCAATAGATTCAACTGTTCACAGCATGAGCCACATAAGCACATTACTAGCACAACTCTTTGACAAGCCAGTAAACATATACACATTTAAGCCATTGTCATAATTATCTTTATCCTCATTTAACTGCCACGCACCACCTTCACACCATTTATGCTTGAAAGCACGTCCACATCAGTAAATATTTTTCACAAAAATTCCCATCAGCTCCCAGCTGTATCATAGTTTTGCAACGTAAAAGACATTTTACATTCTCCCAATACATTTATTGCCACGTCAATGAGGGTAATAGGAAGTTTAATAACATTTTATTTATTTTAGGTTAGCAATTACAAATTTTGCCACACACATTCATTCTTGAATACTATACATAGTTTTAAATAGCGGGTAGCGGCTGACCCCAAAAACGCTATAGCGGTATAGCGGGTAGCGGTAAAGCCGCTACTGTGGAGTCCATATAAATACTTATAATAAATTATATCACATATATAAATGCTATAAGATAAGAAATCACCCAAAATAGGAGGAAATGAGGAATGGAAAGTATGATACTACACATTCAAAACAAGGACTAAAGGAACATAAAGGAAGCAACATACTAGTTCATTGAAGGAAACTAAATTAATAACATTTTAGGAAGAGTCAAATACAAATTTTCAATGGCTCTATCAAATTTATACTTTATTTTATCTTTGGTAATCTGCATATATATTACTTTAAACTGGAAAATATCTTCACTGTATCTTTTATTAAATTTAGTAAAAAGTAATATAATTAATTTTTTAATTTTATTCTCTTGATTATTGATACTTACATTCTAAAACATTTTTTATTTTTAATAAAACAAACTCTTATATAAAAATTATATTCTTTAAACTGATACTTAATATCATGTGATTCTAATTTAAATAGGTGAAATATGTGAAAATTTTATATCTTTTCTACACTTTTTTTAAATTATATATCACATCTAAAAAATTTATCTGATTCTAATTTATATCCTTATTTAAATGATATATTTACACGTTTTCAAAAACTTTTTTTAAAACACATAAAAAATTTAAAATAATTATTAAAATGGAGGAATTGAAAATATATTATTAACAATGAAGAAAGAAAAAAAACGTGCAGAGACAGACTATTATCTAAAAAGGAGATGGAAATGTGACAGCCAAGGAGTGTGGTCCCACAGCGGTAGGGTAGCAGATGTGCATGTGACAGAGTGATGACTGATTTAAATTTAAACTTTTGCTTTTTTCGAAAAAAAAAAAGCTGGCTTTTTAAGTTAAATATCTATTTTACCCTTCATTTATCCTGCCCTTTTCCCATTATACCCTTAAATGATAATCTAATTTAATAAACACTGCCACCCTACTTTCAACGTTTCGTTTTCTCCATTAACGTCTGCAACTCCTCTTCCTTTCCCTGTAGCGGCTCAATAACGCCGCAAGAGTTGTCGTCCGCCACCACCGCTACCGTCCGCTACCAGCCGCTACCGAAAACTGTGGCGTCGCGGTGCGAAAGTTGCGGCTGGGTGCCGCAACCCGCACCAGAACCGTTATTGCGCGCGATAGCGTCGCTATTTCAATCATAGATACTCTAAAATTAGTTTCCTTATTTTATTAGAATTTGAGTTAGGCTTTGGGTTTCTCCTTTAAATCCATCAGTTTCTCTATATATTGTACTCCTTTATACCTATGGAATACAATCTAATAATATATGTCATTCATTTTCTTAATTCTCATTATTATCAAGTTGGTACCAGATCTTGCGTTCTAGGAGACCTTGCTTCCGCACAAAAACCTTGTCGTGCATCATATCGGCAACCCATCTTCCCTCTTTTCACTTGGCAAATACATCTTTTCTTAACCCTAAATTCCTCCACCATCACCGTTCTTCCCTCCTCCGCCAAATTTCGCTACTCTATGCCCCCTTCTCAACTTATCATCTCTTCCAAACCATCCATTGCTCATCATCAATTTGCAGCTGATAGCCTTTAAATTTGATTTGTATGGAGCACTCAAGTACTGCGGTCAAAAGTACTGCCGACATTATCTTTGCTACTGTCCCATCCATTACAACAATGAAACTCATTGGATCTACTGCTTACAAGACTTGGTCTACCTCCGTTACTATCTAGTTTACTGGCCAGGGACACAAGAAACATCTCATGCCTAAGCTTGCTGATGTTCCCAAGGATCAGAAATCTGATTGGGAGAAGATTAATGCCCAGCTCCTGAGTATTCTTTGGCAATCCATTGACCCAGTAGTTATTGATATTTTTATTCCCTTTGAGATCTACTATAAGGCGTAGGAGGAAGCCAAAAGCCTTTACACAAATGACATCCAGTAATTTTATTCAATTGTTTCTTGGATAATGGAATTGTGTAAATCACCAAATACTCAAATGGAGGCTTGTATTGGTAAGATTTGTTCTTTAATGCAGGAGTTCTTAGCTATGCTACCTTATACTGCAGATGCCTCTGAGAACAAGAAACAGGTGGAGCGTTTCTTTATGGTTGTAACCCTTTCCAATCTTCTAGAGGAGTTAGATGGTGTTCGTAAGAATATTTTAATTAGCGTTAGGACTCCTAGCTTGTCACAGACTTTCCAACACCTCTTGAACCTTAAAGATAAAACAACACTCGCGCCTCTTCTTGCTTTTCCTCATGTGCCAGCTACCGATTCCACTGCTCTCATATCTTATGTCAGTGATTCCAACTGGAACAGTGGACACGGTTACGGGCGTCGTCGGGAACAAAGTGGTCATGGACAAAGGCCTCGTTGCAACTATTGCCAAAACCTTGGTCATGTTGAAGAGCGTGCTACATAAGTACCCTGATTTAAAGCTACCAGCTGCCGACCTTGCTTAAACCGACACTGCATCATCCTCTACTAGATCAATAACTATTTCAAGTGCAGATTATGATGCTCTTCTTTCGAAGGTTTCTTCCCAGACTTCTGTTGCAGATAGATACTAGTAATCATGTTGCTTGTCTTTCTCAATCATCTCTTGAACCTTGGATAATTGACTTAGGTGCTACTGATTACCTTTGTGATAATAAGGACCTCTTTACCTCATTCTAATCATCTACATTCTGTTACTCTTGTTGATGGAACCAAGGCTCCTGCTCGTGGTGTTCGACAAGCCTGTCTAGCTCCTTATTTGACTCTGACCTTTGTTTATTATATACATGTCATTTCCTTTCATTTGATATATGTTAGCCAATTGGTCCGTTCACTTTCATCATCATTACCTTCTCTAACCAAACTGTCTTTGTGCAGGATACGAGTACGAGAAAGGCGATTGGAGTGGGTCGTCAGTCACAGGGTCTCTACTATCTGGATATGCCTCGTTCTCCAGTGGCATGTTCTCTAACGGAGTCTCTTAAACTAATCCACAGCCAAATGGGTCATCCAAGTCTCTTCAAACTTCAGTAGATGGTTCCTTTTTCGTCCAGTCTTGAGTCTTTAAATTGTCGGTCATGTCAACAAAGAAAGCACACTCGCTCCTCCTTTATTAGTAGAGCCAATAAAAGAGCTGATGCTCCTTTTTCTATTGCCCATTTTGATATTTGGGGTCCGAGTCAAACTATGTCTGCCTTCAGTTTTCAATATTTTGTTATGATTTTTCTCGTTGCACTTGGGATTTTTTAATGAAAAATCGTTCTAAATAACTTTCTATCTATCAAAAATTGTGTTGAGGTTCATAATCAATTTGGTGCTTCTATTCTGGTTTTGCGGAGTGATAATGCTAAAGAGTACGTGTTTTTTGAATTCTCTAATTTTTTAGAAAAAAAAAAGGAGATTGTACGAAACTACCTGCCCTCACACTCCACAACAAAATGGAGTGGCCTAACGTAAAAATAGACACTTGGTAGAAACCACACGTATTTTTCTATGCTTAACAATGAAGTCCCGCACAATGTTTTATTTCCAAGTACACCGCCCTATCCACTGCCTCCATTTTTTGGGTGTACGTGCTTTGTTTATGACCTTACTCCGGGAAAAGATAAATTAACATCCAAAACCTTCAAATGTCTCTTTCTTGGTTACTCTCGATTTCAAAAGGGGTACCACTGCTACTCTCCTTATCTCAAGCGCTACATTGTGTTTGCTAATGTCATCTTTCTTGATCACCAGCCTTTCTCCCATTCCAAAACTCTTGTGTCACAGATTGATCATATTCTTCTCATTCTTTTTCCTGATTTGTCTTTACCAGTTGTAGGTGTCAGCCCTACTATGGACCTTACTCCGGTTGACTAACCACCTTCACCGATCGTCTCTTCCCCTCCGGCTTGTCCACCAAAGACTACTCTCATTTCCTTCCGCAATGATATTCGATCCACTCGCAACCTTTATCCATTTTATGCTATAACTGACTCTCTTCACAACATTTTACCTTTGTTTCTAGTCTTTCTTTTGTTGTCATTCCTAAGACCACAGGTGAAACATTATTTCATTCGGAATGGCGCCAGGCGATGATTGATGAAATCACAGCTATTCACTCTAACGGCACATGGGATCTTGTTTCTGCTCCTCTCGGGAAATCTATTGTCGGTTTACGATAGGTATTCATAGTCAAAGTTGGTCCTGATGGCACTGTTGACCGCCTCAGCCCATTTGGTAACCAAGGGATACACTCAGATTTTCAAACTGGACTATGTCCATTCGCTCGTTTCTTGCACTTGTTGTCATTCGCCACTGGCCCCTTCTTCAGCTTGACATAAAAAATGCCTTTTTGCATGGTGATTTGCAAGAAGAAGTCTACATGGAGCAACCACCTGGTTTTGCAAGCTCCATAAATCCTTATATGGTCTGAAGCAGTCTCATCGAGCTTGGTTTAGTCATTTCAGTTTCGCTGTTCTGATCACTCTGTTTTCTATAGACATAGCTCTTCTGATCAGTGCATCTACCTCCTAGTCTATGTTGATGACATCATTATTACTAGCAGCGATCAAGCTGGGATTGATCAGTTAAAGCAGTACTTGTTTAGCCAATTTCAGACCAAAAGCCTTCGCAGACTTATGCCCTGGATATCTTAGAAGAGACTGGTATGTTGGGGTGTAAGCCCATCGATATACCCATAGATCCTAATGTAAAGCTCTTACCAGGATAGGGGGAGCCATCGTCAGATCCCGATCGATATCGCTGGCTGAAAAGTGAAATTATCTTACTGTGACAAGACCAAACATCTCTTTGTAGTTAGAGTGGCAAGTCAATTTCTTGATTCTCCTTATGACTCTCATTGGGATGCAGTGGTCAGGATCCTCCTATACATCAACAGAGCACCAAGAAAAGGCTTATTATACACAGATAAAGGGCATACTAAAGTGTGTAGCCATTCAGATGCTAATTGGGTAGGTTCTCCCCAGCAATCATGGCTGTGATGCACACCAATTGCAATGTCAATTTTCATTTTGGGTTTCCTAAGTTTTCTTGTGATTCGTAAGTTGAATTTGAAGAAGTTTTATTTCTTATTGTGTTGTCAATCCAACAATGTTCATCTCTCCTACATGTCCAACATCCCCAAGTCGCCTTTCTAGCCATGTTTTATGGAGCCAAGATATATTTGATTATTGTTCCCTTTTAAAGGGTTTAATTGTAACAAACTTAGAGATTAATAAGCTTTACCTTGATGGGAGCGTTATAATATCCAAAAGATATCGTATAATATCTTAAAATAGTTTAGAGTATACTAGATAATCTCTTAGAATTAGTTTCCGTATTTCCTTATTTTATGATTTGTTTCCTTATTTTAGGAGTTTCCTATTTAGCATATCTAGGGATTAGTGATTGAATCACATTCTTCACAATAGTATCAACATAATTTTATTCATTTTCTTCTCTCCATACCTAAAACCCTATAATTTCAACAAAGACATCAAATTCAACATTAAAAGAATCCAATCAAGTAATCAACAACATTAGTCAAGACCTCCTCACTCTGCGTTTGCTTTCCCAGGGAAATAACCATAAATAATGAAAATTAACTTGCCACTGTGCATAGTTAGGACTTCTATCAACATAGTACCCAGGGCCAGCCATGAGCTATAGAGTGACTATTTCCAGGCCAAGGTACTTAAGTCTGGACAAGAACACTGTTCTCATTATAATTAGAGTTCTGCTAAATTTACAGAATCTTCTACAACAAATAACAAGTCATACATGTATAGCTTAAGTCATTTATCATTAAACTGAACCAAAAACTAGCATATGAATCTTAAAAACTTTTTTTAGTTCTCAATAACATTTAAAAATTAAAAAGTGACATCCAGTCATAACACTTGCCTCTCCAGAGCGAAACTTCTCCACAATGTTGTTCATGGTCTTTCGTGACATACTCTTTAATCCAGCATGGACTCCTACTAGAAAATCACTCTTCCATTTACTTAGAAGCTTCAGCTGCTGTAGTATGTATGACAGGGATCTAGCAGTAACAATTCTATTTACAAAAATTATACATTTCATGTTTTCTTGCAACCTGAAATTGGAACGTGTAATCAGAATTTGTCCATATATATTAGTTTCACAACCAAGCCATGGAAAGTCACAAACAAATGAGGCACGTCCAATATCAAAACATGTTTGGAAGGAATGGTTTAAACAGTATAATTTTGTCTAAGATTGAGACTGTGAAATGATTGCCAACCTAAAGTCGGAAAGCATCCCAATGAGGCGTAAAAGCTTTGCTGAGAAAAAGGGCTCTTTTAATATTTCCACAGAAGATGGATCAGATACACTGTCACCTACATATTTGCAAAACAAAAATCAGCATGTTTATCTGCACTACAATTGAAGCAAACATACTACATGAATTCTGTTTTAAACATATCATAAAAAAAATTACAATAATGAGAAAGACTAACTCATTGCCAGACTAATGGTAACCTAACATCATGCAAAATGGAAGCACATGTATCAGCATATGGATTTAGTGATGATATGCCAGAAGCAACCAGAAGACCTAGCAACAGCAGTGACACAATTAAAAGAACATCAAGCAATGTTAAAATACCTATCATGCATTGTGAAGTAAAGAACTCAGCTGCCTGAGCAAGATATTTATCACACACAGAATCATCACTTGAATTTCCTTCTGCCTCCACTAATTCATGCCTCTCAGAGCGATCACCTCTCAAAAGAATACGACTAGCCTTGGAAAGCGAACATGAATATTAGAGAAGGAAAAAGAACAAAATTTAAAATAAGTTCCCAAGTGAAGAAAATAAAGATCAAGAACAGGTCAGCTAAAATATATTGTAGGAAACCAAAATGAATCTGATGACTAACCATGATTATCACTAAATTAAATAATATAGATAGTAAAAGAAGATATGAGTAATAAATGTCTTTCAATAGCTTATTATCCTTGCTCTTTTTAATGTTACATACTTACGAGTACAGGTAAAGGACTACATGTGATGTTAGATTTATATTTTATATACATGCCATATATAAGTTATATTGCACCGACACTGACACAACACTTCAACACGTTAAATCTAAAAAATGTTAGATTTCGGCACCTTAAGACACGTTTTGATATTAAATAATATTTTTAATTTATGTAGTATATATTATATTTAATATTCAATAATTTAATAAAAAAATGAAGTTAAACTTGTAATACCCATCAATTTTGCAAAGAAACATAAGATATCACAAATATTTATATTAAACTCAATAAAATGGTAATCGTAATCCAACAAATCTAATAGTTGGAACTAAAAACGCAACGCAACCTTTGAACCTCTTTTGAGTCTCTGCAACGCGAGTTGGAGTGTCGGGAAGTGTCGAACACAACACATCAAACAGAAAACAAATACTATTTTCATAATATTATTTCTGAGTTTTGAACTAAACTTCATAAAGTACATCAAGCAAGCAAAAGATACCTACAATCCAATTTAACCATTGTCCACCAAATCCTCAAATTTTCCCTAGTCATTCAGCAATAAATCTGAGAAAGATTAAAACTACAAAAAAAAAAAAAAAAAAAAACTCCCCGTTAAACTGACTAGCGAGTATGGAGTAGAGGCAATCCTTGTATGCAGCTTTACCCTTGCATAATTGCAAAAAAGCTATTTTCTGGATTCGAATCCATGACATTTCAGTCATGAAAAAACAACTTTACCACTACAGAAGAAAAAAAAAGAGGTCCACTATTGCAACCTCACCAAAAATAAAAATAAAAACTTCAAAGCAACCCGCAAAGTGCGGCATTGAAGAGAAGAGTATGCAGCCTGTCTAAAATATAGGTTTATTGTTTGATGAAGATGAACTACATTGCTGATATTGATCCCAAATAAAAAAAAGGTGGGTACCGCTAGTCCATGAACAGCCAACCATTGTATTATAAAAATGGGATAGGTCCTATTTATGATCATTGGAGCCTCCTAAAAAATCTACTAAAATTATCGAGTTGTTCCAAATGATCAAAACGGCCAGTTATTAATGGAATTCCTTGTCAGCTTTCTGTAAATTACTTGTCTTCTTTGTTCGATTTTACCCTTTTTCAGATTTAAAAGAAAAATAAAAAAATCTCCAAAGTATACTTTTTAGCAAATTGAGGTAAGAAATTGGAATCTTTTTTCTATTTACTTTTTTATTTTTGTCTATCTATCAGATTATTTAATATTGTCTGAAATTTATTTATTATAAGAATAAGAGACTGTAAGTATATTATCGCATCTGCCATAACAAAATAATATCGTATGCATCAATATGAAAAGAAAATATTTGATACGCGAAGCTCAAGGGGTCCTGTTGAGTTCTTATTCTTAATAACAAAAAATATTTTTTATTAGTATAAATAGCTCAATGGATAGCTTTTTCTGATGTTTCAAAACACTCCATTTCTTTTCTTTTTTCTTTTGATGTTTTTGCAAAGTGAACTTCATGAATTGATTCAAAACACCCTTTCATAAAGAATATCTGTCAATACCTTCTTTTTATCAGAAGTTGAAAAAGTAAAAGATAGAAGGAATCAAAGAAATCACTTGATTTATATCATCTAGGCAGCACAAATATCGCAAATCAAATGAATTTTATATTGTAATTATCCTGTAAGAATTGTAATGTAAGATATTTTAAAGTTTTCTATCGATCAAATATCGAACCGAACCCCCTCTATATTAATTGAAGGGATGAAGAAGCAGGCAGCATTAAACACTGCAGTTTGTGAATTTGTGTGGCTAAACTTACCAGCTTGTACTTAACCAATACTGGCCCACTACAATGAGTGAACAAGTCATACCCAATAACCCACAAAAAAAAGTAAAGTCATTCCCAATAGCCCAAAAAAAAGTACACTCGGTAAGTACCCAATGCATCAGCCACGGGTACAATCACCATACAGGCATACCCATGCATCCTAAAATGTTGTCTAATACAAAGGCTGAGGATAAGATGTCCTCCCGAAAAAAAAAAAAAAAAAAACCACAAAGATACCATACATATTGCGAAAAAGAGAACAGTTGATCACCACAAGCAGAATTCCACAGAAAACATCTATGGCTGAAAATTTTGAAATTTTTATGATAAAAAACTCTCGCTTAATCCTATATCAAAATAAATTACCATATTTATAAGGATTATCTTTCTCCGCATTAATACACAGACTCTTTGCACCTATTCACAGCTATATAATTTTATATCACATCCATTCATGTCTTTTTCTTTATCTCCCTCTTTTGATTGATTTATTTATACAAAAGAATAAATTTGTTGAAGAAAAGAGAACAAGACCAAAGGACAAACATACCCCAATAAATTTAAAAGAAATCCAAGAATAAAAGTATAAGAAGGGAACACGCCAAAGAACAAGATCATCCAGCTGCCCTGAACATATGCGAATCACCACTTGATTAAATTATTGCATTATAATCAAAATGGATACACCTAATCGCAACAAAAAGTGCACACAAGATTCTTGTTCTCCTAATACTCATTGGTTTTCCAACTACATGTTTTCTCATGGTTTGATACAGTAGCATCCATAACTCTATGTTCAGCATGTCCACAGGATGTATCCAGCAAAATAACGAATTCATGGACATAACCTTAAGAGCTGTTTTGACATTATAAATTACTATTAATAAGCAAGGATGAACATGGTACATGCTGGAATTCATCCCCCAAGACGTACTATATAATGATGATGTACTAAAAGAGTTATTATAGTAATTAGTTAAAGCCTTACTATCTAATCCATTACATGCATAAGGATTAAGTGGGAGCAGAAGCTATACCAAGCATCTTCACGAATCTATGTACTCTCTGGTACTGTGTTTAACTTACGTAACCTTAATTCTATGACCAAAATGCTCCACAGCCTATTCTAAGTATATTTTTCTTCCTGGGTTTTTTTTCTTTGGGTGGGGAGGAGGGCACCAACAAATGATGACAAATTTTTCTTTCTTAGATGTATTATTGATTTATTGTTCATAGATTCTGTTAGAAAACTTATTACCTTAATCATTTTCCAGCCAAATGATTACAGAACTAAGACTTGGAATCAAATACAAGAGTCTTACTTGCAATGCTCCCCAAATGCCGAGTTTCCCCAGACAGAAAACCACATTATCATGCATCCGGTTCAGAAGTTTCTTTGTGTTCATCCGTCTCTGGTGGTCTTCTTTACTCCTACCCAGTGTTGCTATGCACTGCTCATATAAAATAATGCAGTGATCAGTAAACCTTGTTTATCTAATCATCTCAAGACCCATATCGAAAGTGTACCTGATGTTTAATCTCATCAAGTTTGGCATGGTAAATCAAGTACAAGCTAGTTGCCGTTGAATCATAATAACATATATTAATCACAGGAGTGGTCACAAAAGATAGCAATTCCTTGTCCTCAATTGAGTATACCTACAAATGAGATCCAAATCATTAGAGATGAGCAACAAAGCCCAGCATATAACCAGCATAATTACGAAATTATCCACAAGAGCCATAAACTATGCATATAAGGTAAGGATAAGGAATTCACAAAAGCTTTGACACAAATATCATTTTAGTGGAGTTCAAATACCAATTTCAACAAATCCTAATACAGAAGAACAATTGTTCAATATATCAGCTTCACCCATTGTATCAATGATTTCACAGTCAACACTTAATGGAAAGAGCATTTTCTTTCTTGCACAGGACAGGAAGCAAAAGTTTGACAAAAGATCTTTGACACGAGCTAAAAATGCTGTTCTCAAAATTAATTTTAAACAATTTGACGTATTATACTGTATAAACCCTACCTTAGCATCAAGCAGATGTTCAAGACTATTGATGTTTTTTGTTAAATTTTCTTCACTAGAAGCACCTGAAAATTAAAACAGCCCACAAGTTCAAAAAATGGAAAGAGGAATTTACTTATTCAGAATAAACTATACAGCTGGTATTCAGCAAATGTACTATATCTATGTAAGTATGTATACACAATAAGAAAGGAAAGAAATGATACAATACCAACAATATAGGCAAATTTTATATAGGGTAACACCCTTGAAGAACTGGCAAAGATGGGATATAAGAAATTAAGAATGACAAAACATTCACATGATGGCACATCAATATCCCAGAAAGCAAAGCAGGGAACAGTTAATCTTTTTCAAGTACAAAATGAAATTATGTACATATATGTATAACAGAACATCAGCCAGTATATTCAAATCTGCACATCCATGTATAACATAAGAATAGCATTTCACAGGATTAGATGGAACTAGAAAAATATAAATGATTGTCAAAGTATTTAAGACTACACTGACATGTTCAAATCTCCATTTTGAACATAAAAAAGGGAATTTCTTGTTAGTACTTCAAAATTTATATAGAACACCAGTAATCTCAGGCTGTCCCACCCACTCCCGTCCTCCACCAAAGTCTACTCCCGGTCCCACCCTAAAGAAAAAGGTTCCCCCAACCCAAATAATTTTTTTTTCTTTAAATGTCTCAATCTTTCAATTTTAAACAATGGTTTCTTCAATTATATGCAAACAAAATCCATGCAGTCAGTCTCTTTCAGCCTCCATGCTGAAATTTATAATCATTTTATTATGATAAAAGAATGTGTTGACCCACATATATGTTACCATATCAATTACAAACTGCACCTAGGCACAACAGTGTTGTGCATAATAATACAACAAACAAAAGGGCAAACCTCCGTGCACAAGGTTTCTCGACTTGTGAGGGTAGAGGTAAAAGTCAATTATGCGCAATCTTACCCTTACAATTTTACAAAGAGGTTGTTTCCCAAGCTCAAACCCGTGACCTTCCGATCACAAGGAGCAACCTTACCACTACTCCAAGGCTCGTCCTCTCATAATATAAAAAATTCTCTGAAAATTTGCTTATTTGGAATGACAGGTTATGTCCTTGGTGAACTTATCAAATAGACTTCTCAAGGCCAGATCTTTAATCCTTTTTGCCAGCCATGTAAACTAATGGACTAACAGACAACACAACCCCATTGACATTCCTCTGTCTGACAACTTCCCTTCCCCCACCTTTAACATTCCTTTTTTGTGTGGATATAATTAACTCTTTTAACAAGAGCTAGCATCAAATTCAGATATCTAGCACAATCCCCTAGAGACTTCACATGAAAGCCATTACACGCCCCTCACTCCATAGCTTAAGGAAAACTTCCCACAAGGGTAGTTTTGGCCCGGATCTTACTAAATGATAACACAAGGGAAAGTATTGTATAGAAGACTTAAGTTTGTATCAATTAGTCAACATCCACAGCACCTTTATCCGAAATTAATTGGGGTAAGCGGTAGATGAACTCAAAGAAAAAGCAAGAAAAGATTGAAGGAAAAGAAGACAAAATAAATAAATAAATATAATAGATAAATAAATCAAAAAATCAAAATACAAAAAATAGAACAAAAATAAAGTGAATGAGGGGAAAAGTAGTGAAGATAAAAATAGATAAATAAAAGGGAAAAATAAATTAGAGAGGAAAATAATTAAATAAATAAATGAATAAATATACAGGAAAAGGGAGATCAAAAAGGGACCGTATGGAACATTGTAAGAAAAATAGGTCTACCCCTCCACAGTATTTATAGTTTTCCTCCAATCCGTTCAAAGACATCATTCGCAAATCTAATTCTCATTCCATTAAGTCTCGCTTTACTACTTTCCCCCATGTTTCGGCAAACCTCTAACTTTTTTCGTGTCAAGTTCTTGGTAACAAACTTTTGTTCTTATCAGAGCATCTAGGGGTCTTTGTATTATATGCTCAAACCATCTCAATCTCTATTTTTTCATATTTTCAGCCAACAGTACTATTCCTACCTTTCTTTGAATATCTTCATTTCTTATCTTGCATTCTCATATGATCAAAAATCTACCTAAAAATCCTAATTTCCACTACTCCCATTTTATGCTTATGTTACCTATGTTCAAGCCAACATTCAACTCTGTATAACATTGCAAGTCTTATTGTTGTTCTATAAAACTTTCCTTTTAGCCTCAGTGGAATTTTGCAATCATACAAAAACCTTGATACACTTCGTCATTTCATACGACCTGCTCTAATTCTATGGTTTATATCCTCATCAATCTCTTCACTTTTTTGCAAAATAGATCCCAAATATCTAAAAGAATATTTCTAGGGTACCTCTTGTCCAAGCAAATGCACGGAATCTTGATCTACATCTCTTACCTGAGCAAACTCACATTTCATATACCCAGTCTACTTTGGCTTAGCATAAATTATTTAGAATTCAACGTAATTCTCCACAATTCTAGTTTTTTATTAACACCCGCCTTAATCTCATCAATAAGCACAATGACGCAAAATATTTGTATCAAATAGTATATCTACAAAATATTTTAGAAGTAGAGAATGATACATAATAGATTAGGATAATTTTGCTACATAATTTTTTGGAATCTTATCTGTTTAGGGATTTTATCCTGTCTTTAGTAAGTTATTGTTCCTTATTTAATTAAGGTTAGGAGTCTAGTACTTAACCTAATTCCTAGTATACATAAGGGTTAGTACTTTGTCTTTTGCATTGCATCATAATACAATGTATAAATTTAATATTCAGAGACTCTATTTTCTCTTTTCCTCCTTCCCTACCTAAACCCTATAGTTCAGCAGTACCAAAAAACAACTGAGGCAGCCAATATCTTGGTTCTTGTTAATACTCAACTTTTTGAAGATAAGGAGTGCTACTTTACCTTTTCCCACAACTGGGGAAGCAGTCATGCCAAATATACGAGGGAACTTTGTGGAATTATTTTTGTAGAATACCTAATCAATTGTCAAATGAAAACTTGTCAAGAAATAAGAAGGCTATGGAAATGTAAAGATTTAATGAATAGCATTTTCCATTATGGGTGTTTGTGAAGTTGAGCAAAACTGCAACATACTTTCATGATTTCAGCATAAGGATGGCTGCTTTTGACTTGAGCATGATGGCATTCATCAAATATCAAAAGCGCAATCATCTCCATCTTTATCAAACAATGGGATAAGTGGTGAAGCAATATTTGTGGGGTCATAACAAGAACCTGAAGGGGAAAAACAAGAACACAAAGCAATTTTAGCAGCAGCAACCTCCAACAATTAAAATTTAACTAAGCAGATTTTGAGATTTCAAAAAAGCTGCTGCCAAATTGAGTTTTGACTTTTTTTCTGCCTGAATAGAATTTAATTGTTGATCACCAACTTACATTCAACAGCCTTTATTTAAAGTTGCTGTAACAAGCCTGGATATAAAAAAAAACCACTCCCCGTTAAACCCGACTAGCGAGTGTGGGGTGGAGGAAATCCTTGTACGCAGCCTTACCCTTGCAGAATTACAAAGAGGCTGTTTCCTGGATTCGAACTCATGACCTTTCAGTTATGAAGGAACAGTTTTACCACTGCTCCGGTTCGCCCCCTTTTTAGAGAACATAATTAATTTCCAAATGATTCAAATAGCATTTTCACCTCATATTGTTCAATCTCCTGCTCCCAATCTTGATGACATTTCAAGCGCTTGTGGCTCCCGTAGAAAACCCCAACCTTAAAATCAGTCGACTCTGCTATAACCTTTGCTTGCTATAGATAAATAAAAAATAGGCTTAAGAAAATACACAATGGAAATGAACAACATGCTCAAATTGGAGAATACTAAATACAAGTACAAAACAAATCACTTCATCATATTTATACATAAAACGACTATACCTCACACAACATTTACATCACATAAGATTCACAATTTTAGCATTCAAGCAATGTTTTATTCAAGATTGGAGAGAAATTAAGACTGTCCAGATTGCAAGGATTACAACCAAAGAAACAATAGGCCAGCTCTTATTGCAAATTTCATGTTCAGTTAAAATATAAATAGAAACCTGAAGACCAAATTACCCAAGCTGAAATGGCCACAGCACGGAGCAGCTCAAAGATAGTAGTAATAATAATAATAATAATAATAATAATAATCATAGTTTCCATTATATTTCTAATTATTGCCAGAAAAATTTTATATTTCCAATATCTCCTAGAAGAAGTAGAAGAACACGTTGAGCAGCTCACCTGATCAACTAAAGCCACAGTAGGGGCAAGAAAGACACATACGCTCTTCTGGGGCTTCCGTATCAAATGACCCATCTCATGCATAAGCAGAACAGCAATGCGGGTCTTCCCACATCCTGTCCCCAAATACACAATTATATTTTCCTCCATAGCTTTTTTGCACAACTCCAACTGATACCTTCCCATCCAAAAGACCAAAACATTCATAAGATTCTTAAAAGAGTTTCAGAAGAAAAGTGAGAAATCAGAAAGATGAGCAGAGCCAACATCACACTTCAGACTTCTGAGCATTATACATTAGGAAAATTTCTATAACTGAATAATCATTTTCTGTAATAAAAACATAGAAATAATAAACGCTCAGTTGAAACGTTCACAAACAACAAAACATGCTGATGTAGTTCAATTCAGCACTGACATTTTCTATAGAATTCTGAAAAACAGATTTTTCTTTACCGTACTCCATTTCTAATCAGCCAAACAAAGAATAACTCAACTAAACAGCCAACATCACGAAGAAATAACCCAACCCAGGTAAATAATAACAAGAACAACAACAATAACCCAAATACCCACATGAAAAATAAAAATGAAGAAAAAAAAAAAAGGAAGGGAGAGTGAGTGAGGGATAAAGTTACTTACTTTCTAGCATTTATCCTGGGGTCTTTCTTAACGGAGTCCTCATGATTTTCTACTTGGGATAGACTCAGGGACTGTAAATGATCGGAGATGCTTAAGGAGGGCTCCATCGGTGGTAGGCCGACACCGGAGGCGGAGGATTCTCCGTCCGGCATTTCTTGAAGAGCAGAAAGTTTGGAGCTTTGGGGTTTATCTTTCCACTCAAAACTTAAAGAGTGAGTGTGAGCTTGATCAAGATGTACGACAATTCGAGGGTTTCAAGGTTTTGTCGTCTTGTACGTGTGAGAAGGAAGAGCAGAGAGAGAGAGAGAAAGAGAGTGACCCTTGTTCTTCTTCTTGTTCTTGTTCTTCTTCTTGACTTCACCTTCAAAACTTCAATTACCAAAGTGTTGTTTATGTAGTAGAGTCTCAGGAGAGAGAGTAAAGGAGGGAACAAGTTCCTTAGTGAGCAAGCACGCTCTCTCTCACTGACTTTTTATTATAATGCGTGACCGTGACCCAACGCTGATTCGATCACTCCACATTAAGTCATTTGTTGTTTTTTGTTTTCGCCTCTGTTTTACTTTTACATCACTCCACACGTTCTTCCTCCGCCTCATATATTTTTTTTATTTCCTACTTTTTTATTTTCCTTAGTTTATACATGCTTTTCTTCTTTTGAAATTTTATCCCCCAATTCTAAAATTATATTATTTTATAATTTGAAAAAAATAATGAATGATATTTTAGGAAATTTTATTTTTTTTATTATATAAATTTTATTAAAATATCTTTCGTTCATTTTCTCATCTCTCAAAAATTGTATAATTTTGGAGTTGTTGAAATAATTTTATCTCGTGTTATAGGAGAAACGATAAATCTTTGATTTAATGAGAGCCTATTCGACATCTCTTTTTTAAATTAAAAACTACTTTTAAGTTAAAACTAAAAAAAAAACTACAATTTTTTATAATTATATAAAAAATTTAGCTTAAAAAATATTTACTTTAAAAAAATCACACATTTCACAAAAAAATTATATAACTTGAAAAAAGCTCCTAAGTTTTTGGCTTTTTCCTTTGTTATAAAAAAAACTTTTTTTTTAAGAGCTTTTGTAAAAATTGTTTACCTCTCTCTCCTATTTATAAGGAGAAAAAAAGTTTAAAAAAAATCCTAAAAAGTTTAAATGAAATTCTTCGTTAGTTGTGACTGCCAATTTACTAAAAGCACTTTTTTTAAAGCACATACAATTACAAATATGCCTTATTTTTAGGACGGAGCATTATATGTGTTTGTGGTTTGGATTTGATCGATTTTGAAAGCAAAAGTCATCTGATTCAATTCCTTTGATTTAATCATATAATTCTTTATTTGGTTTGGATTTTTTTTAAATCCGATCCGATCCAATTTTATTCGGTTTGAACTTTGAATTAGATAGGTTTTCGGTTTTTTGAAAATTTTAAGATTTGTATGATGATTATTTTACAAATAACATATTTTATATGTATTGATTTTGTAAAGTTTGTATGATGATTATTGTGCAATCTATAAGCATTATACAACAAAAAGTTGAATTATCATCTTTTACCTCCAATAAAAAAATTAAAATATGGTTATCTAAGATACGAAGTAACCCAAACTTTCATCATATATAAGAGTTGTTGTACAACAATAACTTATGTAATAAAAATATATTATGTATCTTATAAAAAAAAAGCATAACATATATTAAGCACAACCCACTTTCTCCAACATGATAGGTTAATGGGTCTTGGATTTAGAATTTTGTTATATGATTTTTGGGTTATGATCGGAGAAAGGTCCAAGTAGGTAGATGGTAAGGTTGAGGAATCATTGGATCAGTTTGGATTAAATCGATTTTACCAACCAATCTAAAAATTGATCCAATTCAATTAATTTTTGCGGTTTTTTTTCAATTTTTGACTAATTCGATTTTCGGTTTTTTATTCATTTACCGCCATTTGAATCGATTTAGATCGGTCGATAAACATCGCATTCCTAAATAATGGAATTTTGAATTATACAGGAACATTTTCGTTATTGACTTATATTTGGACCAACCCGAGAGCTGAGGTGTCAATGTTTTCGTTTTGTAGATAGGAAAAGAAAAAGAAACTATAAGGGGTACTTGGTATGAGTATTTTGGTTGGAATAATGGGGAAGTGGAATGGAAAAGTTTTTTTCACCATGTTTGATACGAAGAAATGAAAAAAAATCTGAGGATAAAATTTTCCCCAATATTCCTATTTTCAACTACACACTCTTAAAAAAAAATCCCACTCAATCCATGGTATTTTTTAATTCTATGAATTCAGAATCTACTTTTATCGTTTTGAGACAAAAGTACCCTCATTAGTGGCTGAGGAATTACTAGTTATTAATGATGGGTAGAAGAAAAAATGTATAAAAATAAAGATTTATAAAATACTGAAACATATATTTATGTATGAATTAACCCAACTTTGGTAATTTCGGTTGATGGATAATTTGATAATTTTGGTTTAAATTCCCATCAATATTTTACAATTAACTAAACGTAGTATCAGTAAAATTAACTCAACTTTCTCAGCAAAATTTTGACATATCAAACATATTTTCATTATTTTCTTGGGAAAAGTAATTTCTTACCATATTCTTAGAAAAAAAAATTTCGGTAAAAAAAAAATCTCCTCTGCCAAAATTCCCTTAAAAAAAAAAAAGTATGAGACCTTGATGACTAGCGGAAGAGAAATTTGAAAAGACTAAAAAGAGAGATGAAATTAAGGCATGCTTGAGAGTTGAGAACGAGCAAGGGCAGAAAGGTCTACAGGAAAAGATAGAAAAAGACAAAATATCAAAAGTCACTTTATCTGTTGTTATCCTTCTGTGTTTATTTATATAATAATTCAAGAAAAATAATAATATATATCATTATATGATGTTAGGCATGTTAACTTTGACATAAGGTGGTGTTATAAGAATAGGTATTGATATATTTATATGTTGATATTGGTTGTCATTAATAATTACTAACTTATGATTATAAAATTGTAATGTTAATCTGTAATGTTCGAAAAAAACTTGGCAATATTATTTTTATTACCCTTAATGTTAAGGATTTATGAGTTATATTAGCATTTATTTTTATGATTATTTAATATTTATAACCTTCAAAATATGAATTAATGGTAATTAAAGCAATCATGATTATAATAAATAATTATTTAACCATTTTAATATTAATAGCAATTAATGCACTTTTTTCGTTACAAATGATAGACTATAAATAAGAGCTTAACTAACAAATTAAATTATTTCGATATTCGTATCTCTTCATTTTTATTTATTTTTTTCAACCCTTTCAAATTCCGTTGCTATTATTTTCCCCTCAATTATCAACTACGTTTTCACTTGTGAAAAGTTCAGGTAATTCTAGTAGGTTAGTTTTATATAAATTTGGATAGTGTAATGGTAATCATAGGTTAATTATATTTGAATTTTTTTAAGTGTGATCTTAATATCCAGAAAATCATAGGTTAATTATATATGAATTTTATTGGGTGTAATATTAATATTCAGGAAATCATAGGTTAATTATATATGGATTTTCTTCGGTACTATCCTAATTTATTAATAATAGTAAGTTAATGTGTTAATTTATTATGTGTGTGATATGAATCTTACCTTTGATATATACCTGATAATTTATGTGAAAATTATGAAGCTCTTTGAGAATTTTTTCAAGTATGTGATTTGTGATAAGATTGGATCGGTCTAATTTGTGTGTGACAAAATAATAACGGAAAAATAACTTTTGGGATGATACCTCTTGAAAGTGACAAATACATCCTTGTGGCTTTATGCCTACAATGTTATATGATGTGAAAGTGATGTTTATAGTTCTTCCTAAAGTGGTACATGATAATAGGGTTTAATAGGATTTTTATAGTCTACCATGGTTCTCTTCTCTTGGTTTGAGCTCAAACATTCTTCAAAGCATGGACTAAGTCTTTGATGGTTGGAAAATACATGTACCTATTTATATAATTAATATCTTGATTAAGTTCTTTTGGTAATGAATTGATGGCCTGTTTATTATTTTGATCTGCTAATATGATTGACCTTTTTTAGCAATTTTAATTTTTAAGAATTGATTTATGGAAAGGAGCAATTTCTAGAAACCTAATCCATATCATGTGTTATAATATTTACTCACAAGTCGCTTTAAGAATAGAGGACAACACATATTCAATAGAAAGAATGTTGAACCTAAAAGCGTTCTTACATAGAAATATGTAAGATTAAACTTTGAGGAGCAAAATTAGTACGAGATGAATCTATGTTGAAATTTAAGTAAACCTGAGATACAATCCATTATTGTTGAAGGTGCTTAATTAGTTCATTGATTCTAGGAATAGGAAAACTATGCTCCAACCAGTCTTCTTCAACTTATTTAACTTCATTTTATTTGTGTTGATTTTAATAGAGGGAGTTTATACTTACTACCTTTTTTTCTTACTCTCAAATCTTAACCACCGTTGATTTCCGTCAATCTAACAGTTATAATTTATTGGGTCACACTTATTAATTAATTATTAAATTTCAATAAACTATAACCGATACTAAGAGATAGTAAGGAAAAAAAAAAGTACTAAGTATAACTTTTCTCATTTTAATCTTGTTGTTTAAGTGTATAGTAAAATGGAAAAACTCAAACGTTTATAATTTCGTTGTTTAACAATCAATGCATGTTGTTATAAATTTTGCTCCAAGGTTCTATTCATCTCTTTGTTTTATTAAATTTGTTTAAGCAACAACTTCTAAATATTTTTGAAACTTCTTTTGGGAACAATATCTGAGAATCTAACAAGGGCTCTTTGACCCATTTAGGGTCTTCTCACGCCCAATATACTTCCTCTGCTTTGGAAGAACACCTTAAACCTCCAATGGCACAGCAGATTCAAGTTTTAAACGGTTTAATCGGACAGTTCCAAGAATGTACTCCGGCAGCTCCGACTCTTCTTTTGCCTGCAATTATAGCTTCAGTCAATATCTGGAATACTTTGAGATGCATATATTGATAAATTTTCCCACTTCTAGAAGTGAATGTACTAGCAATTGATAAAAAAAATTCAAGGAATTGATTCCTTCAATATTCCTAGACCACATTCCATTAGAATGCAATAGATATGAACATGAGCTATGCAAGAAATGAAATCAGGCAAGATAAATAAGTGACAATCTTTTTGCACGAGTCATTTATTCTCAGCTAAAATAACTTGCAAAACATGGATCGATAGCCACAGAATATAACAAATTCCAAAGTTGTGTTCGACTGCTTAGTTTTGTTTGGGCTAGAGATGGATGACTAATAAAAAGAAATTTTGTAGAAATTGAAGATTTTCTTCAATTGCTTATACTGATGGAGAATGATGTAATACAATAACTTCACCAATTATTCAGATTTTGCAATCCTCTTTCTATCTGAGTTTTATAGGACGAATAAAAGTAGTATGCATGTGTGGAGCCGTGGAGGTATTAATGTGTGTATCAGCGTATCTATATATGGTGATAAAAGAAGTTTATACTTTAGAAAGAAAGGAGAGAGAACACATTTGAGAGGATTAGAAATACAATCTGCATATCCATAATGGAAATTCCCTTTAAACAACCATGAGTATGACACCAAATAAGTTATCCCATAATGAAAGTAAGGGTAATTTTGTTGGGATAAATTTTAAATATCCGTTTTTTAACAGTTTTGGTTATTTAGTTTCTTATGTCAGTTAGAATATTAATGAGTCAGTTATGTCAGTTATAAAGTAATGAGGGTGTTATGTGTGGGGTTATGTTGGTCAATTTTATAGCTTACAAATAGCCTTTGATAGTTTGTATGAAATGTAGATAAGTAGATCAAGAGAAAAAGAGAAAGAGCAAGAAAGAAAGAATAGAAAAGAAAAGTTTTTTTGTAGATACACAAGTATGGTTGTCTCTTGCATCTGTGTGGATATTCAATTCTAACAAATTGGTATCAGAATTATGGAGAGTGTAAGTAATATGGCGTTGCCTAAATTGACAAAAGGAAATTACGAGAATTGGAGTATCCAGATGAAGGCTCTTCTCGGTTCCCAGGAAGCTTGGGAGGTCGTCCAGGAAGGCTTTGCAGAACCAGCGACCACCGCAGGATACACGGCGGCCCAAACTAGAACGTTGAAAGAGACACGTGCAAAGGACAAGGCGGCGTTGTTCATGCTCTTCCGAGCTGTAGACGAGTCCGGCTTTGAAAAGATAGCGAATGCGGAGACCTCAAAGGAAGCGTGGGACATTCTGGCAAATGTCTATAGAGGAGCCAACCGAGTTAAGCAAGTTCGGCTTCAAACCCTTCGTGCCGAGTTGGAGGGAATGAAGATGAAGGACACAGAAGGAGTATCCGAGTTCATTACTCGTGTTCAAACCATTGTGAATCAATTGAAACGAAATGGAGAAGATGTAGCGGACACCAGAGTGGTGGAGAAAATCTTGAGATCTTTGACCGACTGCTTTGAGAACGTGGTATGTGCTATAGAAGAATTCAAAGATCTAGCTACGCTCACCATTGATGAGCTAGCCGGAAGCGCATGAGCAACGGAAGAAGAAGAAGGAGGAGACTCTTGGACAAGCACTTCAGACCAAAGCAACACTTAAAGATGAGAAGGCTCTCTATTCTCAAAACTTCTGAGGTAGAGGACGTGGTCGCGGTGGACGAGGCACTGGCCGTAGTGGTAGAGGCCGAGGCCGAAGTCAAGAAGGTTGTAATGATGAGGTAGGACAATCAAGTCAACAGAACTGGCGTGGAAGAGGAAGAGGTCGAGGTCGACGAGGAGGACGATCATATTATTCCAACGTCGAGTGTTACAAGTGTGGCAAGTTTGGTCACTTTGCGAAAGATTGTAACTCGGACAAGTGTTACAACTGTGGAAAAGTCGGACATTTTGCAAGAGAATGCAGAGAAGAGAAAAGGGTGGAGGAGACATCCAACCTAGCCACAGAAGGGGAGATGAAGGATGGTGTCTTGTTAATGACACACAATGAAGGAAACTCAGATGATGACATGGAGTGGTATCTTGACACGGGTGCGAGTAACCACATGTGCGGACATAAGCATTTCTTCAAGGAGATGAGAAAGGTGGAGACCGGACATGTTTCGTTCGGGGATGCCTCGAAGGTTGAGGTAAAAGGTCGTGGTACGGTATGCTTCCTGCAAAAGGACGGGTTGATTGGCTCAATCCGAGATGTGTACTATGTACCCGACCTAAAAAGCAATATTTTAAGCATGGGTCAATTGATGGAGAAAGGTTACTCGGTTATGATGAAGGACCGAGTATTGTATTTGAAAGATGAGAGAGGTCGGCTGATAGTCCGAGTTGAAATGGGCAGAAATCGAATGTACAAACTAAACTTGAGATGTGTACAGGTCGACTGCTTACAAGCCGAGGTGGAAGACAAGGCGTCACTTTGGCACCTCCGCTTTGGTCACCTACATTATGGTGGTCTAATCGAGCTGGAAAAGAAGAAGATGGTTGACGGACTGCCTGACATCAACTATGAAGGAAAGTTTTGTGAGAGTTGTGTACTTAGCAAGCATGCTAGGACCACGTTTTAGAAGATGGCGAGATTTCGGGCCAAGCAGCCTCTGGAGTTGATTCATACTGATCTGTGTGGTCCAATCACCCCAGAATCCTTTAGCGGTAAGAAATATTTCATTTCTTTCATTGATGATTTCTCACGAAAAACTTGGGTTTATTTCCTGAAGGAGAAGTCCGAGGTGTTTGAAGTATTCAAAAAGTTTAAAGTAATGATTGAGAAGGCAACAGGAAAATTCATCAAGTCGGTGCGTTCTGACCGAGGTGGGGAATATACCTCGACAGCATTTCTGACATTCTGTGAGGAACATGGGATAAGAAGGTTTCTAACAGCACCATACTCACCACAACAAAACAATTTGTAGGATCGCTCAAATACAAAACCAACAAATAAAACAACTATTCAAGAATGTCGTGAGGACTTGTGGAGAAAGAGAACAAACTTCTGTGAAATATTTTACTAAACTTCGTTGCTTCTCAATTCTATATTTCTCAAACAATATACTAGACTATTTATAGGCTATAGTTTTCCTTTATAAAACTGCAACACTAAATAGCCATAAACCACAATTAAAGTCAAACTTAATAACAAAACATAACGACTGACTCTTAACTTTCAAAACTCCTAAAATTAAATGCTAAACTTATGACTCATAAACTATCCATAACTGACAAATTTAAAACCATTAAAAATTAAACTATCTGCTTAATTAAACCCATTAAAAACTAAACTGACATTTAACGTTTATTCTTAACAAAACTCCCCCGTAAACTTAAATGCTTCTGCCATCTTTCATGCCAACCATTCTTTTGCAGTTTTATAAAGGAAAACTATAGCCTATAAATAGTCTAGTATATTGTTTGAGAAATATAGAATTGAGAAGCAACGAAGTTTAGTAAAATATTTCACAGAAGTTTGTTCTCTTTCTCCACAAGTCCTCACGACATTCTTGAATAGTTGTTTGATTTGTTGGTTTTGTATTTGAGCGATCCTACAAATTGGGATCAGAGCTATGGAGAAAAAGAGCGAGTTAGAGATGCCACTCTTTTATGGAGATAAGGATGAAGCATTGGATTGGCTTCTCTGTTTGAAGGAACATTTTCGGAAAGAAAAAACCTGGAGGGAGGACAAATGGCAGGTGGCCATGAGAAGACTCAGAGGAAGCGCAATCAAATGGTTCCGTACATGGAACTGCCGCGACTTTAATAATATGTGGAAGGATTTTCTAATGGCCTTCATAACAAAATACTTGCCTGGACGTTTTGATCTGATTAATGAAGAAGATGAAATCTTCAATGATGATGAAGATGAGGAGAATGATGCGGATGAAGAAGAGACCGAGATGGCGGAATCCGAGGTTGCCAACTGCAACGCATCCGCGGAGGAGATTGACGTGTCAGAACGCGTAAGAAACGACTCGGAGAAGAAGACGATGGAGATGACTGCGGCCGAAGGAGCCGAGATAGAAGAGAAGGAGAACGAAGGAGCCGAGATCGAAGCGGAGAAGGACGGGAACGACGAGTCCATTGTCAAGGTAGAAGACTTCGTGGAACCTGAGTGTCTGGAGACAGAGTCGAAAATCGGAAAGGAGATTGAGAAGCCGAGGTGCTTGATGGAGACCAGCTTGGAGGAGACCAGCTTGGAGGAGACTGCGAATCCGAGTCTCATGTTGATAACCGGGATGGCGGAGATCCCGGCTAAATCACCGAGTTCATGTTTTGGAAGAGACTTCGACCCCGGCGTGACGAGGTCGACGTCGGCGACCGGCATAGGTCGCTGGTCCAAGATGCCATTGAGGAGGTGCGAGGAAGACGACAATGAAGGAGCAGAGAACGGCGAAAAAATGGAAGGTGCATTTGAAGAAAAGGATGTGGTCTTGAAGAGAAAAAGAGGTTTTGTTGACAATACCAATGATGCAGAAATTGGGATTGGACGAGGAAATAAAATTGTGAAAGCAACTGATGAAGTGGCGAATGAAACTGAGAAGAATTTGGGTGACGAGAAACTTGCAGGTGAAGAAGATACAGCGAATGAAAACAAGAAAAGTCCTGCTAATGAAACTGAAAATATCAAATTGAAGAAGCCACCGGATAAAATAAAATATGTTCAGAAGAATAATTGCAGGGGAGATATTTTTTTTGAGTTAATTAAGTTGGAAGGTGTTAGATGTTTTTTGTCTAGTGATCAAGATTGAAGAAAACAGGCGCGATCAGAAAGTTGAAGAAAAGCAGAAGCAACGCGAAGAAAGAAAGAAGAATTTAAAATTTATGGGGGAGTTTTGTTGGGATAAATTTTAAATGTCCGTTTTTTAGCAGTTTTGGTTATTTAGTTTCTTGTGTCAGTTAGAATATTAATGAGTCAGTTATGTCAGTTAGAATATTAATGAGTCAGTTATGTCAGTTATAAAGTAATGAGGGTGTTATGTGTGGAGTTATGTTGGTCAATTTTATAGCTTATAAATAGCCTTTGATAGTTTGTATGAAATGTAGATCAAGAGAAAAAGAGAAAGAGCAGGAATAGAAAAGAAAAGTTTTTTTTGTAGATACAAGTATGGTTGTCTCTTGCATCTGTGTGGATATTCAATTCTAACAAATTTAAGAGCATCCCTTTCCAACCAAATACAGCCGAGAATTGCATAAATAGCACTGTTCCATAAAATCATAGCTTCCTCATTCTTGCCATATATCAAGCCTATACCAAAAGAAACATGGAAAGAAGACACCATAGGTGGATAGTTTGACCACAAATATTATGACCAGAAAGGCACAAACCTCAATCAAAATTGCAAGGTCAACGACTAGGCTTGTGACATATCCCAGAACAAAACCAATGACACTCCTAGCCACAGAGGATGATCCAATGTCCACATCAATCTGCGTAATACAAAAATTACCAGACAATATGAAAATGCAGGAAAGTAACATGTATACCAACTAGCATATTATTGCACACAATTTCAATAATGTTTAATTGGGAATCTTCAATGACTACCAAAATTCAAATTCAAATTCAGAATGAATGTTAAGTTCCATAAGCAAGAGCCAGTAGTCGGTAGTCAGTGGGGCATGGAATTTACATAGGACGACTAAAATTAAGCTGAGATCATCTATATTTGTATAAACAATGCTATTATCATTTGGGATTGCTTGGTTGCATTCAGGGAGTGGATATGCTACAAAATCCTCAGATCCTATCAAAAGTTTGAGATAGAAATCAGGGATATGAAGAAAATGATTAAAAAATCTAAGAAACTGAGTAAAAACAATAAAAAAAAATGAAGTTTCTTTAAGAAGAGAATATGAGAGAAATGAAACTTACTGAATCTGAAAAATCTGATACAATAGATAGATGACTCAGTGTGTGCGCGTGCGTATAAATATATAACCCTAACCACTAAGTGAACAGTAACTGACTGACTGACTAACCAACTGTACCGTAAAAGAGACTAGACTACTCTATCAGTTTGGTTTTTAGAAAGATTGAGCTTGTGAAGGCTTGTGTTACTACAGTATATATAATATGGAGTGACTAAAAAGATATCATTAATGTGAGCCTTTGTGTGTGTCTCTTCTTAATTCAAAAGAGTTAGCTTCTGAGATGGACATTAGGATTCGAGTAAGGAAATGAGAGAATGTATGTGTTAGAGATATATAAAATCATTAATGTAGCATTACCCACCAACTTAAGCTTTTGGGTTGAATTGGTTCTTTATATGGTATCAGAGCCTTGGTGTCCCGGGTTCGATCCTCGCCGTCCCCCATTTTGTTTGTGGAATTTCTTAGCACAGGTAGGCTGGGCTTGAAGCATCATCCACCTTTCAAGTCCAATGGGCTCTCTTGTGAGAGGGCGTGTTAGAGTATAATATAAACTATTAAAGAGGTCCTTACCCACCAGCTTAAGCTTTTGCGTTGAATTGGTTCTTTACATGGTATCAGAGCCTCAATGTCATGTATTCAATCCTCACCGCCCCCACTTTCTCTTGTGGAATTTCTTAGCACAGGTAAGTGAGCGTATGCATTGTCCACCCTTCAAGCCAAGTGGGCTCTCGTGTAAAGGGTGGACAATGCATAGGCCCACCTACCTGTGCTAAGATCCTCACTGCCCCTAACTTTCTTTCTAGTGGAATTTCTTTCTTAGCATAGGTAGGTGAGCCTGTGCATTGTCCACACTTTAAGCCCAATGGGCTCTCTTGTGAGGGGGTGTGTTAGAGAATAATATAAACCATTAAAAGGGCCCTCACCCAAGCTTTTAGGTTGAATTGGTTCTTTACAATATGCTCACAGCACCATCCTCATAAACAATGCAATAAATTATTTGAGAGTTACAAATTTGGAAAATGAACTCAAATAATATTTTTAAGTGTAAAGTTGTATAAGAACTTCATGAACAAACAATCAGCATGAAAAACACACAATATTCTGAAACTATAGTTAATACAAGAGAACAGGTAATAATATACAGTATACATATGAATAAGGCAAAAACTTTACTTCAAAAGTTCTTCCATTAAAAGAACCAATGCAAACAAGATTTTACTTCTTAACTTTACATTCCAATGACACAACAAAATTATTTATTTTCATCTAACCCGAGTAGTCAAACAGGAGAAAATGCTAAGGTAGCGTTACCTCCAAAAAATTATCTTGTCTAAAGTATTTACAAGTCACAGCTTTTCCTAACAGGCAAGCTTTCGTTCCAACAGCTCTCTTGACCATCCAATATCCCTGTGTCCATTGAAAACTGTTAGCTGCTCAATGCCATCAGGCATCAAACAGGGCATATAATACTTCATTGAGAATCACGCACCTCAACTATACTTGGAATAAGTTTGAATCTTGAGTCCCTAAACACATCACTTCCATCAACAAACTTAGCCAATAGAGAATCTTTGTTTATCGGTCTGTCAGCTGCATAATATAGAACCAGACTGTAGTTTGGTTTAGCAGGAACCTGAAATTGATGACAAATTAAAAAAAAAAATCTCCTTGAGAAAATGATCTATACCATAAACAAATTTTCCAATGCAATATTTATATTTGTAGACATAAATTGTAGACAAATTATAGATACATTGTGAAGTTCAGAGATTGACTAAATAATAGAAAATATGTCACACAGTATTCATGATTTCAGTTGAATAACCTTTCACTGTGTCCCTCAGTCAAAGTTGGGAGCCTTGACACTGAGTAAAGCCACTCAATTCTTCATTCAATATCAGAGAATTACAAGTTACAAAAATAATATGCTTGCCGTGACTTTTTTCTTACTAAGTATAACCAAAAATCACGGGATTGTTATCTATAAATTTATTCCTTTTACTATTTTTGGTAATTTTCTGTCTATATGCTAAAGTTTAGGTGTAGTTATGCTTTTTTTCCTCCCGTCAGCTAGCTAGTCTACTATATATATTGTAATCTTTTATTCTGAATGAAAACAACAGAGTAATGTTCAGTACCAATGTTTACAACAACTTTAATTTCTTTACGGATTATTCTTTTATTAAAAACCCAAATAAGATTCGCAACATGACTGCTTATATTAAAGCTCAGGGAGCTCGAAATTTGGTAAACACTTAATAGAATTGTTATAAATGTTATTGTAAAAAGGAGTGTAGTATTCCAGTTGGCCAACTATGCTTTGATACCATTTCAAAGAACCATGTGATAATCAAGGACCTAATAATGGTTTTTTTACTATAACAAATTAATAACCTTCACTTTGTAGTGACGTGTGTATGCATGTGCATATGAAAAATAAAGATAATAATATCCACACCTGGAGATTAATGACAAGGATAAATGGAAGCTTTTTCCCGGCTTCTGACTGAAATTCAGAAGGAAAGGATTAGACAGTGTAATAATTGTAAATAATCAATTCAACCCAAAAGCTTAAGCTGTTGAGTGAGGATATATTAATGGTTTTATATATCTCCACACACCCCCTCACACGAGAGCCCATTGGGGCTTGAAGGATAGACAATGCACAGACCCACCTACCTGTGCGAAGAAACAAATTCCACTAGAAAGAAAGTGGGGGGCGGTAAGGATCGAACCCGGTACACCGAAGCTCTGATACCATGTAAAGAACCAATTCAACCCAAAAGCTTAAGCTGTTGGGTGAGGATATATTAATGGTTTCATATATCTCCACAATAATATAAAAGATTAACAATCTTAAAATCTCCAGCTTAAGGTTTCCAAAATTTGAAGTTAAAATAAATTATTTTCAACCATATAAACTTTAGCATGCACTGGATTAAAAGACTTAAAGAGCTACAACATTACATAGAAATTTGCAGAAAAGATGTAGCTTTGTGAAGAAAAAAATGATCTAGAACCACCTCAAATAGGAGAGGAAAAAGTAGAAGATCTTCTGTGATAAACGAAGTGTAGCCAAGGACACCAAAGGAGCACAACCATACAGAGACACATGATATGTTACATAATTGGCAAAAACAGTGAAACTATGCCAAACCAGGCTCAGAAACTCAATCTCAACAACTTGTATCAATGACAAACTGAACGATGAGGTATAAAAGTTCCATTGGAATGAGGATTTAATCAAGGTCCACATAGAGACACTGATCTCGTACTTAATTTCCAAAAAGTATAATTGGGGCAGAAGTAGGAAAATGAGAACTTAAAAACTTGAGCTGATTGATGGTTTAGCAAGAACATTTCTTAAATCAACATGTCCAAAGCAAATTGAGCATCTTTTCTACGACTCTACTTTACAATAATTTATCTGAATATTAAAGATTAAAATACAGGAAATTTAATGTTACCTGAACTAGACATCTAGGGTGCAGGGCTATTTTATCTACAGATTTACCCATTGTAAACCAATCAACTGCTACAAGCCTGAGAAGAGGATCTCCTCCGACTACCTGCACGACAAATTTTATGTCCATGACATGGCCAGAACAAAAGAAACTAACATATACATCAAAACTATGAAAAAATGTAGTTCAAAAGTTGAGAGATATTGATCTTTGAATTGCAAAAAAATTCGGCAGAGTTTATATGACCAATATGCCTGAAAACCCTAATATCCCTCCATTGCAAAGACCGAAATAAAGGGAAATTTGAAGGAGATTGAAGCACATGCACACTACTACAGCATTACTTATCATCCAAGTACAAAAGAAAAAAAGGTCTGTTGTCCTTTTCCTTTATAATTAAAGGACTTAAACGGTCAACTTACCTTAGAACTATCTTTAAGATAGGTCTTTCCTCTAATCATAAATCCTTTTCCACTTGGAGAAGTCCAACAGTTTGTGTCCTTGTCATCCTTTCCTTTTCCCAAAGAACCATAAAAGTCACTTGGATGGATTGTGACAGGATTTACATGAGGATCCAATTCTTCGCTTAGATCGGGAGCTGCATTCAATAACCAAGTATGTTAGGCTGAAATTCTGAATGACATCGAGAAATTAAGAAGTTGTACATAACTCGAACCATGTTACTTAAAAATGACAGAATGCTTCATTCATTTTTAATATTTGCATTTTTCTTTTTTTTTAACTCTTGTAGATTCGATATATGGATTGAGTATATGGATGATCATGAACCAACTCTCCCAAATGCATATGCTGTTAAGTGAAAGTACATCAATGATTTTATATCTAACACATCTCCTCACGCAAGAACGCTTTGAGCTTAAAGAGTGGACAATACATAGGCCCAACCTGTCTTGTGTTGAAACTTAACTTCTATTTACAAGAATCGAGGTAAAAAGGTCAAACTCTAGATCATATGGTTATAGAGGCTTTAATATTAAGTCTGTAACAACAAAGTGAAGATGTGGAACCTATGTAGCCTCAAGGTTGATGTCTTTGATGGTGCCACGTCATTACAGTTTTAATGATAACAAACAAGCTTGAAGAAGAAGATTCAAGTGCAAATCGACAAAAAACAATAAAAAAGAAACCAAGATACAATTCAACTAAATGATATAAAGTTATGCAAATCCAACAAGCCAAGTGAGAAGATCAGGATCCAAGTACCATGAAGCAAACTCCAAGATTATATTAGAATACAATTTTAGAACTTAGAATATGATTGTAATGGTATATGATAGATAACACTGAATGAGCTCAAGGCATTTCTAAAATTTCATATTGAAAAAGAACATGAAAATCATGGTTTGATATCTCAATCGGATAGGAACTATTTTAACATGTTTTAAACCTACAAAAACTCATTCTAAGTCCAATCACATGCATATGAGGTTAGAAATTGATTTAAATCAAAAAGGATCGAATTCTGCAATTTTGTATGCTCACTGAACCACTTTACTCGAGTAAACTGTTAGAGAGAGATAGTATAAAAACCATTGATGGACCTTCACTTCTCAACTTAAGTTTTTGGGTTGAATTGGGTTCTTCACTTCCAATCACATGCATAAGAGGTTAGAAATTGATTTAAATTGAAAGGGATCGAATTCTGCAATTTAGTATGCTCACTAAACCACTTTACTCGAGTAAATGAAACTTACTCGAGTAAACTGTTAGAGAGATATAATATAAAAACTATTGATGAGCTTTCACTTCTTAGTTTAAACTTTTGGGTTGCATTGTTCTTTACATTATTTAATTATTTTTATTAATAGAAAGTGGGGGAGGTGCGGATCGAACTCGTGACCCTGTGATCACCCGACTATAATTCTATGATAAGCAACCATCTCACCCAACAGCTCAAGCTGCTCGATGAGGCTACATTAATGGTTTTATATTTCTTTGACATACCCCCTCATACGAGAGCCCATTGGGTTTTAAGGGTGAATAGATGTTTTAAAACATTATTTGATTGGTTATCATTTCCTGAATATCTAGTATCCCACAATAATGTTAACATTGTTTTTAAAACATTATTTGATTGGTTAACATTATTTGATGGAATCTAGTATCCCACATTGACTGGTTTTAAGGGTGAATATCTGTTCACATCGTATAAATATATCGGAGGCATAAAGCCCATTGGTTTTATATCCCTAAAACATTATTGTTTTAAAACATGATATTAGAGAGGTACCATCCACTGCAAGGAGTGGTTATCATTTCCGCTGTATTAAGTTCCTAACTTCCTATGGGACTCCCTTGTATAATGTTTGCACTGCTTTCACTTAGTTTCTAAGTCAGAATTAGTTTTGTTCGTAGTTGTTTAAAGTGCTTGATGGCTGGTCGATTTTTCTTGACCTGCTAAAGGTGTTTTTGAGTCTTCTCTTGGTGCTTCACCACTGACCAAAGTTCATGTTGAATAAGTAAATTTTCATTAGATAGTCAAAATAAAAAGAACTATGTAGAGAAAGTTATAATAGATTGAAGTCCCTTTTTCCCTAGCAAATAACAAGAAATAGATGAAAAGCTAACCTGCAGTTCGCTTCAAAGCTAAGGTTGTGATGGCCCATGAAACATTCTTTAGTTTGACTCTTGACGCCTGATAAATCGGATAAGGTATTAAACTATAGAACTTAACAAAAAGAATACTTTTTCTTCGTTTCATACACACAAATAACAATCAGTTCTATTGTAGACTATTTTTATAGTTTGTAAGTAGAATCGAGGAAACCTTCAGATCAAGTTTCTCATCGTCACCACTTTCTTCATCTGAAGATGATGATTCAGCAGTAACGGCATCATAAAACTCATCCTGCACTTCATCTTCATATTCAGTGCTGCTAATGGAAACATCAGAGTTTTTGGGATGAACAATTGTGGTGGCATTTTCACGGTGGAGTGCTGGATTGGCTGCGATATATTCCTTCAGACCTGAACCAATATTTAACAACATATATCAAATTCCTCTGGATTCTGGAATAGTATTCACGTACAATTTGTTCAATATGAGAATACAGGGCACACAAACAGCACATGGCAAGCAACTTTCTTTTGTTGTTTTGAAATGGAAAGAAAAATTTATTAAGAGTGAAGTTTTCAAAATTCTACTGTAATTGTGAATATCAAGTCACAATTAACAAACCTGCTTTACTCACACCAAAAAAGAACTTAGTTTGAGAAAGACTTGAGAGCAACATTAAAATCTGAGTGACCAAGTTAAAATGACTAGACGACTAGAAGCAAGTAGTTTGGACCAAATACTTTTGATAATCTAAACTGCCAAAAATTCTAGACAACTCGGAGAGATATATAAAATGAAAACAGTAGTTCAAAGACTAAACCAGCAACTTGGCACAATAATGCATAAGGAATGCTCCTCTCAAATATTGAACATCGGTTGTTCCTCCATCGATGCCAGGATGCAGAGTGTATCTCTAAAGTGTGGGTCACAAGACATCTTGGGCTATTTGATGCCGTATGAGTGTTCAAATTTCTAATCTCCCACGAAGATGCTGCAGCCAAAATGCAATACATACGAGGATAAAATTAGTCAATGGTCCATGGCCAAAAATACAGAAGTCAGTGGTAATATTTTCTTTCTTCCAATCAGTTTCCAGAGAGTTCTGAAACTAAAGGAAGATTAAGAGACATTTTCCACCATAAGCAAACAACTTGTCAAAATAAGCTATAGAATTCAAGCAAGCAAACCATGAATCTTCAAGGCAGTAAAGAATGTCAATTAATCTGCTTATTTTCTGTAAAGCGTCAATTCAACTCAAAAACTTAAGCTATTGGGTGAGGGCCATTTTAATGGTTTATATTATTCTCTAACATGCCCCTCACAAGATAGCCCATTGGACTTGAAGTGTGGACAATGCACAGGCCCACCTACCTGTACTAAGAAAGAAATTCCACTAGAATGAAAGTGGGGGACGGTGAGGATCAAACCCGAGATACGAGGCTCTGATACCATGTAAAGAATCAATTCAACCCAAAAGCTTAAGCTGTTGGGTGAGGTTACATTAATAATTTTATATATTTCTAACATTTTCTTTAACAAGAAAGACTCTTATTAAGGAAGAACAAAGGATATTAATGGATTGTACTATTTTTTTTTTAAAAGAAGATACAATCTTTAGCCTAAAAATTTATCCATTATGAAGAAACAGAGGAAAGGTAGCAAACAGAGAGTTCCAAAAAATCTTCAGGTTGCCCAAAATTTGAACCAAATTGAAATGCACAGAAAAACAAGTAGACAATTCTGATTAGGATGTTGAAATTATAGGAAAAAAGATGAAAAAGAGATAAAGAGGCATTGAATAACATTAATTTAGGTGAGTAATGATATTTTGAATGTGATGAGATGAGTTGTATTCTAATACAAAACACTAACCAATATGCAATAACCTATTTATATTAACATTCTACGTAGAGTACTAGTGGACTACAACTAATACAAGCCCTACCCAATAACTAATTACATAATAAGATTCCTAAAACAATATGAACCCTAATATTCTAACAAAATAATGTCAGGACCCAGAAATAGGTAGACTAGTGTACAATAAAGAAAAATAAATATAAATTAATACCAACTACTCTATGTTGCTTTTGAAAAAATTGAATCTTCATATTCATATAACTGACTGCATGAATGAGCACAAATACCAAGCACCACTACAGTCAATTTAATGCAAAGAATTGCTATCTCACGATTAATTTTTGCACGTCGATATCCAGATCTTTGAGGCTTTTTCTTATGTAGAGCTGGAAATTGCAAGATAGCTGCATGAATTAAATACATAAAATATATCAGCATATATTGTTCATGTAAGACAAAATACAGCAAGATTTCAACTAAAACGGAAAACAAACCCAAGAATTACCGTTGATGATCCATATCGATCAATGTCAAAACAACCATCATAGCAATACCAAACTTCTTTACTAAAGAACTGAAAACATGTTTGCATAAAATTAAGTAACACAGATGCTATGCATACATAATAAGAGAAATTTCACTTCTGGAGAATTGTTATAAATTGATTAAGTGTAAGAATTTCTAGAAGATATACTTGAAAAATGGATGGAAAATATATTATTGAATTGTATATTACAACTGTACAAGAGCTCTTTATTTAAAGAGACTAAATGACCTAATGGCCTAAGCCCAAAGAAGATTCTAGAATGAAAAAATAAATAAATAACTAATTACAATTATTTACTACACTCCCTCTCAAGCTGAGGAATAGATATTTATTATAATCAACTTGCTAGTAAGCTCTTGAAACCTTTCTGAGGGAAGTCCCTTCGTTAAAATATCAGCTAATTGACATCCAGAAGGAATGTATGGAGTGGTGATCAACCTGCTATCAATCTTCTCTTTGATGAAATGGCGGTCGACCTCAATAAGCTTAGTCCAATCATTTTGGACTAGATTATGAGCTATACAAATGGCAGACTTATTATTACAAAGCAGCTTCATAAGTTCTTCACATCTTATTTTGAGATCATCAAGTATAATTCTCAACCACAATAATTCATAAATGCCTTGAGCCATAGCTCGAAATTCAGCCTTTGTACTTGACCTGACAATCACATCCTACTTCTTACTCCTCCATGTCACTAGGTTACCATAAAGAAACATACAATAACTAGTGGTAGATCGACAATCAGTCACGGATGCAGCATAATCAACATCAGTATAAACTTCTAAAGAGAGATTCCCAACACGCCGGAATAACAATCCTTTACCAGGAGTGGCTTTAAGATACTGAAGAGTTCTCTCAACTGTTTGCATGTATTTTTCTTTTGGATTATGCATGAACTGACTCACAATACTAACAGCATAAGCTAGGTCTGGTCTAGTATGAGCCATATATATCAGTCACCCAACTAGCTGCTAATATTGTCTTTTATCAACTGGAGGACTCTCCTCTTCATAACCCATATTGTGATTCTGCTCAATAGGAGTACTAGAGGGTTTACACCCAAGTTTTCCTACTTCTTTAAGATGATTAAAGATATATTTCCTCTGACTGATAAAAATTTCTTTCTTTGAATGAGCTACTTCTATCCCTAGAAAATATTTCAATCTCCCAAAGTCTTTAATTTCAAATTCATAGGCCAATTGTGCTAGTAGAACATGTCTCTCCGCAATATCATCACCTGTTATAATAATATCATCGACATACACAAGGAGCACAATGAGCTTCCCATCTTGGGAGTGCTTAAAGAAAAATGTGTGATCTCTTTGACTCTATTTGTACCCTAAGGTCATCATAAAACCTTAGTAAATTTCCCAAACTAGGCACGAGAAGATTGCTTCAATCCATACAAGGCCTTCTTTAACCTACAAACTTTATTCTCTCCATTCATAGAGCTTTCAATCCATACGAGGCCTTCTTTAACCTACAAACTTTCTTCTCTCCATCCATAGAGTCAAACCCAGGTAGGATTTCCGTGTAAACCTCTTCTAATAACTCACCATTAAGGAAATCATTCTTCATATCAAATTAATTTATATCCCAATTGTGATGGGCGGCAAGGGACAACAAGGCTCTCACAATATTCATGTTTGCAACTAGAGCAAAAGTTTCTTCATAATCAATGCCATAGGTCTGAGTGTAACCCTTGGCGACTAACCGAGCCTTATATCTCTCAAGAGTGCCATCAGAATTATATTTTAGGGCATAAATTCATCTGCACCCTACTGCTTTCTTTCCATCAGGTCCATCAACAACCTCCCATGTTTTATTTTTCTCCAAGGCATTCGTCTCCTCTTGCATGGCTTGAGCCCAATTCTCATCTTCTAATGCTTTATGTACTGATTTTGAGATTGAGATAGAATCTAGTACTGAAACAAAGTTGTTGTGCTGCACAGAAAGATTAGCAGAAGAAACGAAATGGGAGATAGGGTGTTAGGTACAAAAGGGAGAAGATCTTTTTCCTTTTCTTAGGGCAATGGGTGAGTCATCAAAAGTATCAATATTAGATTCAGAAACAAGAAGTTCAGGACTTACCAGTGGTTCAGACGATTGAGGTTGTTGGTGAAACAGTGTGGGTTGGTTCCTCCAGTGATATACCAAATCAGGTGTCACAATCTTTTGTATCTCTAGTGTATTTGATGGATCAGATACATGTGTACTTGATGGATCAGACAGAGGAGGAAGAGGTGTACGAGTAGACACAAAAGATCCAGACTCAAAGAAGGTGGTGATGAGTCTGCTGAAGAACTGCTCTCACCCTGAAGATGAGGACCACAGAAAAAGGACTCAGATTCATAAAAGATAACATCCATAGAAACAAAAAAAATTTGACTAGCAAGATGATAACACTTGTAGCCTTTCTTATCAGGGGCATAACCTAGAAAGACACACTTAAGAACCCTAAGATCCAACTTATTGCGATGTTGTTTATGAACATGGACAAATGCAACACACCCAAACACTCGCATTGAAGACTCTACATAACGGGAACAAAAGGAAATAAGGAAGTCATGAAATGAATAGGACGGGTATTGTTAAGGACCCGTGAAGATTAGCAATTAATCAAAAAAGTTGCAGTTAACATGGCTCCTCCCCAATAAGAACTAGGAACAGATGTCTGGAAAAGTAGTGCTCTAGCGACTTCAAGGAGGCGACAACTTTTTCTTTCAACAACCCCGTTTTGTTGACGGGTATCAACACATGTGAGCTCATGAATCATACCTATGGCTGAAATGAAGTGCGCCAGACATTGGTTGATGTACTCGGTACCATTATCAGATCTTAATCTTTGAATACTTTTACCAAACTTAGTCTCGACCATGTGATAAAATCGGATAAATATCTGTGGTACTTCAGACTTGTTTTCCATCAAAAGTATCCATGTCACCCGAGTACAATCATTAATAAAAGAAATAAACCACTTTGCACCTGAAACACTATTCACTTTAGAAGTGCTCCAAATATCAGAATGAATAAGAGAAAAAAGTTTAATAACTTTGATAGCACTAGAAGGAAAGGACACTTGATGGAGTTTTGCAAATTCACAAACATTACAATGAAAAGTCTCAACTGACTGATTTAGAAACAGAGAAGGAAACATTGAATAGACTAAATAGTGGGTGCCTCATATGCTGGTGATGGAACCAAATCATAGATTCTGCAGTAGAAGGATGACATGTCATCAATAGTTGATTTTTGGTATCTTTTGTAGCATGTTCTGGAAGGAGATAATACCTTACTCCTTAGCAACTCCAATTGTCTTCCTCGTGGTGAGATCCTGAATAATACAATAAGAAGAGAAAAAGGTGATAGAACAATTCAAATCAGTTGTAAGCTATGAAGATAAGATTAACGAAAAACTGATGAACATAAAGAACACTTTTAAGAAAAATGGAAGGTTGAATGTGAAAGTTAGCAGGACCAATAACTGATTTATGCGATCCATCGGCTACGACTATAGTATGACTACCAACAGTAGGATGATAAGAAAGAAAAGACTCAGCAAGACAAGTCATATGATCAGTTGCACCAAAATCCAAAATCCATGAGGTTTTAAAATCAGTGCGAGAAGCAAGAAGAGATGTAGAACGTACATTTTTACCAGACAAGATTAAAGAATTGTCGGATGACTTACACAGATTATCAATAGCAGCCTTAAGCTGCTCTAACTCCCCTTGCTGAATATTAACATATGAAGAGACATGTAGAGGTTGTGTAATAGTCGAATCACCATCGAAATCGACCATAATGCAAAGAAAAAGTCAAAATCAATCAAATGCATATCCAAACAACTTCTAACTCCGACGATGAACAGTGTTTTCGGCGATGAACAGTAACACGGTGAACAGTAACGTCCGTAGACTGATAAATCTAGAAAAAAAAGTCAAACAAAGGTCCTCTCGATCCAAAAAGTCCCTGAATTTTTTTCCAGTGATGGCTTGGTGGCAGCAAGAGGCAAACAAATAGGGTTCTGCTATAAAGGTGGCAGTCACGGAAGAAAAACCCTCAGAATCGAGAGCTCTGATATCAACTTGAAAAATGGAAGAAAAATATATTATTGAATTGTATATTACAACTGTACAAGAGATCTCTATTTAAAGAGACTAAATGACCTGATGGGCTAAGCCCAAAAAAGATTCTAGAATAAAAAAAGAAATAAATAACTAATTACAATTATTTACGCTGATATCTTACAATTTTAATATTATACCTTAAAATAGTTTAGAGTATCATAGTGTATCTCTTAGGATTGGTTTCCACATTTTCTTACATATCATGATTTTTTCCACTTATTTTAAGAGTTTACTTTTAATATAAATAGGGATTAGTGCTTTGTCTTTTGTATCATGTAAATATAGAATATTATTAAAAAAAATTCTTTCCTTCCTATCTAAATCCTTAAAATTTCAACATAGTATCAAAGCGGGATCATCTTTCATGAGATGTCTCATCAATATTCCGCTCCCGAGTTTCTTATAATCCAAAGGTTTATTTTCATGATCTATGCCACTTTTCCTGCAATTGTCATCGCAGTCGGTCGTCATGTCGTCTTTCCGGCAATCTTCTCTTTGTCAACCACTACTATCCATTGCATGTAGTCTTTTTGGCTGTCTCACATATCTTCTCTAACCACCGCTGCTAATGTCTGCTACCACCAAAAATTTTCTGACAACCTTTTCGGCCAGTGACCCACGGATCAGGAGCGGATCTTCTCGTCCAGCCCATCCCAAGCAATCCACAATGAACCACCTACCAACATTTCCTCACACCCCACTTCTTTGCTTTGGGAATCATCTTCTCAGGTGTCATCTCCATTGCGCTCACCCGCACATGCTACCGTGTTTCTAGCAGCAACCACCTATGAGGTGCTTGTCCTAGCCTGCTTTCCCCAGATCTGGTATTTTCTTCCTTCACCCATTGTATGTTGGTTGTTGCTCGTCCCTTTCAGTTGCTACCTAGGTAGCCCATGCTCTTCTCTCAGATCTGGTGTGGTCCTTTGGTTGTGCAGTACTCGTCTTTTCCTTTGCTCGAATCTTGATCCTTTTGGTCGTGGGCAGATGCAGAAACTCTTTGAAATAGCAACTTATGCTCTTAAAGTTGGTTTATTTTGCATGTGGACCTTTGTCTCAAGCCGCACAGTGTCCCTCTGTCTCAAGCCGCACAGTGTCCCTCTATGCTCGCGTCCAGTCTCTGTCCATAGTGTTGATATCGTTGTGTCTTTTCCAATGCCAAGTAGCAATGAAGAGGAGAAATTTGGAAGATGCACCATGACACTTTCAGTCTATGCCCCGGATGCACTTTAACCCTATTGAACTTTGTCCCAGTGTAGTCTAGCCCTGTTGGACTTCATCCGAATTGCAGTCTAGCTTGCCAGCTTGGCCTTCTTACAGTGATGAATGAATTGGCTGGGATTTATACCCGCCTCCCATTGTGAATCATACCAAAGGTGATTTTTCTTATCTTACTAAGTAGTCATGCCAGCAATAAGTTCTTCGTTCACACCAACCTCAATTTCAATTTTTTGGGTCTCTAAGTTTACCTATGGTTTAAAGCATCCAAACATTGTTCTTGATGAACTTGAAAGTTGTAGTTCTTGATGTGTTGCCATCCTAGCAATGCTCACCTCTCTAACGTCTCCAAAATCCCTCGGTTGTCTTTCAAACCATGTTTTGCTAAGCCCAAATTACATAGTTTGGTTGTTTTTATTTTTAAAAGGAGTCATTTATAACAAGCTTAAAGCTTAGTAAGCTGTAGCTTGAGGTGGAATGTTAAAATATCTAGAAGATATAGTATAATATTAAGATCATAACATAAAATAGTTTAAAGTATCCTATAAGATCTCTTAGGATTGGTTTTCATATTTCATGATTTGTTTTCTTATTTTCATAGTCTACTATTAGTATAAATAAGAATTAGTGCTTTGTCTTTTGTATCACATTCATATAAAATATTATTTTTTCTCTTTTTCCTTCCCTACCTAAATCCTTATAATTTCAATAAGAAGTATTATGTAAAAACTTCAATTACTTGAAAAGTCAACAGGCAAATTGAAAGACATAATACTACTATACTAGCACCGAAAGTAAATGAACTCATTCTTGACCATGACAAAAGTTCCAAGCACGTGATCACAATAACCACATTCTTACTGTATGTTCCATCTTGTCCACGAAACCATCGCCTAGAGAAGACAAAATCTTGCTTTGAATGCCACCTACCTTATGTTCTCCTTTGGAGAATTCTCATTTAAATAGTATGATATAATTACACAATCATAACTATACAATCATAACCTACACAATCTAGCTAATTAATTAAGGATATAATTACACAATCATAACCTACAGCTGGCTAATTAATTAAGGATATAATTACAAATCATAACCTACAGCTGGCTAATTAATTAAGGATATAATTACAAATCTGCACAAATAATGCCAAATATTCTGCTCATCAATTCTATTGACATCCCCCCTCAAATTGATGCTGGTGAATCTACAAGCATCAATTTGCTGACGAGGAAATTATGTCGTTGACGTGTCAAAGACTTGGTGAGGATGTCAGCTAGTTGAACAGATGTTGAGACATGAGGTAGAGTGATAATTCTACGGTCATAAGCTTCCCTGATTGAATGACAATCGACCTCTATGTGCTTTGTTCTTTCATGGTATACAGGATTTGCTGCAATCTGTATGGCACTTGTATTATCAGCATACAACGGAGTTGGTGTTGCTTGTGAATAACCAAGTTCTGAAAGAAGGCCCCGTAACCAAATAATCTCAGAGCATGCTGCAGACATGGACCGATATTCTGCTTCAGTGGAGGATTTAGAGACAGATTCTTGTTTCTTGCATTTCCAGGAGATAGGGGCATCTCCTAAAAACATACACCAGCCAGTAGTAGACTTCCTTGTGTCGGGACATCCAGCCCAATCAGCATCGCTGTATGCTTGAAGTTGTATTGTTGCATTTGTCGGAAAGAAGATACCACGGCTGGGAGTGGCCAACAAATATTTAATGATTCGTTGTACTGCTGTAAGATGCAAGTGTCTAGGATTTTGCATGAATTTGCTGACTGTGTGGACAGCAAAAGAGATATCAGGTCTTGTGATGGTGAGGTAGATGAGACTTCCTACCAACTTTCGATATAAAGTTGGGTCTTGTAGAAGGTCACCTTCATCCCGTCTTAACTTTACATTAACTTCCATGGGAGTGTCAACCATAGTTGCAGTGGTGAGACCAGCTAGCTGAATTAGATCCTGAGTATATTTGTGCTGAGTGACAAAGATGCCTTTTTGTTGGAATTGTACTTCTAATCCCAAGAAATAAGTGAGCTGTCCAAGATCTTTCATGTGGAAAGTTGTATGCATCAATTGTTTGATTGTAGTGATAGCCTCTTGATCTGAGCCGGTGACGATAATGTCATCCACATAAACAAGGAGAATCACAATTCCTTTGGAGGTCCTTTGTAGAAAAAGAGATGGATCATAGCTACTTTGGATGAAGGAAAAACCAAGTAATGTTGTGCTAAACTTTTCAAACCACACTCTTGGTGCCTGTTTTAATCCATACAAAGAACGTTTTAGCTTACAAACAGTATTAGGTAATAGTGAGGGCATACCCGTAGGAAGTTTGATGTAAACTTCTTCTTTGAGGTCACCATGAAGGAAGGCATTTTTGACATCTAGCTGGTGAATTGGCCAAGATTCAGATGCAGCAATGGCAATAATAGTCCGCACAGTAGTCATCTTGGCCACCGGCGCAAAGGTCTCTTCATAGTCTAGGCCATATTCTTGCTTATTTCCAAGAACAACCAATCTAGCCTTGTATCGATCGATGGATCCATCTGAACGCAACTTTATAGTGAATACAAATTTACTGCCAAGAGGTTTAACCGATGAAGGACATGGAACAATGTCCCATGTTTGATTTTCCTCTAGTGCAAGAAGTTCAGTCTCTATAGCATCCTGCCAACATTTATGCTCCATTGCCTGTTTATATGAAGAAGGAATAGGAATAGATGCTAAAGTTGCTGTCAAAGATAAAGATTCAGAAACACCATACTTTTCCGGTGGTTTACGAATGCGAGTACTGCGACGTAAAGGGGCAGGTTCTAGTGCATGCACTGGATCAGCAGCCAGAGAATGATCAGAAGGGGGCCTTGAAGGGATTGAAGTCTGAATTGGTGGAACAGTCGGACGTCTTTGGTAGACAATGACAGGAGGACGAGCTTGGTCTTCTGCAAAACTGTTAGGAAACAATGGCAAGACAGATTTGGATGTAGAAGATTGAGTGTCTTGGTTAGTAGCAAAAAAATATGTATCTTCTTGAAAGATGACATTTCTAGAAACCCGAATCCTATGTAAGTGAGGATCATAGCATAAAAAACCTTTTTGATGGGCTGAGTAACCAAGAAAAGCACATTTAACAGATTGAGCTGTGAGTTTGGTGCGTTCTGGTGGCTGAAGATGAACATAACAGACACAACCAAAGGTGCGAAGAGTTGAATAATTGGGTTGCTTACCAAATAACCTTAAGAAAGGGGAATCATTGTGCAAGACTGGAGAAGGCAGCCGATTAATAAGGTGGACAGCAGTTGAGAGAGCTTCACACCAAAAACGGGAGGGTACTAAAGAGTCCAACATTAAGGTACGGACAACATCAAGAAGATGACGGTTTTTTCTTTCAGCTATCCCATTTTGTTGGGGTGTGGAAGGACACGACCTTTGAGATAATATACCATTTTTCTGCAAGAACTCTTGAAACAAATGAGATGTGTATTCCCCCCATTGTCAGAACGCAGAGTTTTAATTTTTGATGCAAACTGAGTTTGAACATAGGAATGAAAAAATTGGAATGCAGAGAAAGCTTCAGCTTTAGATCGCAAAAAATAGACCCATGTGAAACGACTATAGTCATCAATAAAAGTGATAAAATATTTGTAATGTGCATGAGATATTACAGGTGTGATGCCCCATAAATCACTGTGAATTATGTCAAAAGGCTGATTTACATTTGATTGATGAACTGGAAATGGTAGAATTTTACTTTTACCAAGTTTACAAGAATTGCAATCAAATTGAACAGCACTAAAAGATGGGAAATGTTTATTGCCAAGAACTCCAGATTTCATTAAGGCATGAAGTACATTCGAATTTGGGTGACCAAGACGCTTATGCCATAATTGAAAATTAACAGTTGCAGAAATACAAGAAATAAAAGGCTGAAAAGAACATGGTGACAACAATGAATAAAGAGGAAAAAGACGTCCAACTTTAGGCCCCTTCGCGATCACCTTCCCTGAGTGTTGATCCTGCACATGACAACCAGACTTTGAGAATTCAACTTTGCAATCACTGTCAACTAATTGACCAACTAAAATAAGGTTACTGGTGAGATCAGGGGAAACATAAACATTGGTAAGAGATGAAGAAATATCACCAATCATCCGCAGTGTGTATTTGTAAATTACCAGAGTAATTTGTAACATTGGTAAGAGAAGCAACATTGTTGGTCATATGATTGGATGCGCCAGAGTCAAAGTAGCAAGGAGAGCTGGATAAAGAAACTTTACCTGAAAGACCCAAAGCAGAAAATACAGAAACAATCATTTGTTGAACCATTTCAGGGGTTAAAGTTGGCACAGAAACAGGCGGATTCTGATCCACAGAAACAGGAGTAGTAGAAGAGCCAACAGTGGCAGTGATGGCTGTTGCATTTCTCCGTGGTGGTCTGATTTGACATTCTTTGATGATGTGACCTTTTTTGCAGTAATTACAGAACTTTTTAGGACAGTTTGAAGCAAAATGTCCATGGCCTTTGCAGCAGAAACATTGGACAGTACTCATGTCTTGACCTCGTGGTTTGGCTTGTACTGCATACGCTACAGGAAGGGAGGCAGATTTCTGGTGTTCCATGTTTGTCTGAGTAAGGAGACGTTGTTCTTCACGAAGCAATTCATTTAGACATTCATCCAAGGAGGGAACAGGAGCCATGTTCATTAGGTTGGTGCGAATGCCCTCAAAAGTAGATCTCAATTTCATAAGAAATTGATCTCGTTTTGTGGTATCATGAACATTTTGGACTGCAGTTTGTCCTTCAGTCGACAAATCTTTATAGACAATGTCAGTATATTCAGCCCAAAGATTCATGAAATGAGAATAGAATTCAGAAATTGAGAGACTATCCTGTTGAAAAAGAGAAATTTCATGTTCAAGCTGGAACCTGCGAGCAGTGTTTGTTTGGTTATAAATTTTCTTCAAATAGTCCCACAACTTTGCTGCCGTTGTGAAGGGTCTGAGATTGAGGACAATACTAGGCTCAATAGAGCCTATGATCCAAGTCATTACCTGTGCATCTTTGGCCTCCCATTGGGCATGTGCTGCTTGGTGCGTAGTTTTGTCAGGAGCAGAATTAGTTCCGTCAACATGACCCCAAAGCTCCTTGCCTTTGACAAAGATCTGAAACTGAAATGCCCAGATGGAGTAGTTCTTTCCATTAAGACGAACAAAAAGAACATCATATTTTTCAGTAGACATGATGCTGAGAAAAATCGCGAGAGGAAAAAAAACAAGAATCGCGACGTGAACAGTACGCGCAAAAGACCAGAACTTGGGAACTCAGAGACTGTGAGCACAGCGAAAAATTTAGTAACGAAACCTAGACTGATACCATGTTAAACTTAGAGAAATTGGGATAAAACCTTATGTTCTCCTTTGGAGAATTCTCATTTAAATAGTATGATATAATTATACAATCATAACTATACAATCATAACCTACAGCACAATCATAATTACACAATCATAACCTACAGCTGGCTAATTAATTAAGGATATAATTACACAATCATAACCTACAGCTGGCTAATTAATTAAGGATATAATTACAAATCTGCACAAATAATGCCAAATATTCTGCTCATCAATTCTATTGACAGCATGGACATAAAAAAAAAAACCAATAAGTTAGCAATGTCTGATATAATGAATTAAACGGAATGGAAGTCAAAGTCAATAGGAAAATCAAATTAGCCAGAGTACACCCATCTCTATGAATGGAAAAAAAATCCATATTTTACATTCATAGATGAGAAATTACAGAAAATTAAACAAGATTATTAATAATGAATTTCACAGAACAGAGCATACCAATACAGCAATCCAGTTGCAATAATGTTATAATTTTGAAATTTAAAAAGGTTAGCATCAAATGATTACCACGATAGATACTTAGGATCATATGTCCCATAAACAACATCGAAGTGTCCATCATAAGAATCTACCATTTCCAAGTCACACATCAACATATCCCACCTGCAAAAAATAATTATAGGAGAGACTAATTTTCCCAATATGTCATCAAGACTCTCAAGCCCTTTTTATTGGCAACTTACTCATTTCTTTTTTGTGGGTCAGGGTTCAAAAGCACTTCAAAAACGGTATCTGCAGTTGCATCAATAACTCCAACAGACTTTGCAAGGACATTACCATTCTACAAAGCACAAAAAGTATCAAAAGCAGAAACCAGAGTTACTTATCTGTCCTATCATAATGAATTAAAGCACCGATTTCAATAGTTATAAATGTGACAAAAATAGAATGGAACTACAAAACAAGAACTTAAATATGTTAGATTTTAACATAATCAAGCAATGAATATCAGATGATTCATTATCGTGAAAGAAAGGCTTTTATTGACAGTATTTTCCTATTTGCATGGCAAAAAAAAGCCGCTCCATTTTCCGAATAAAGGACAACAGTAACACAAAGGTGTCCTTTAACCAAAAGCCAACAGAACAAAAAAAAAAAAAAATGACCTAGTGAAAACATCATGATAGTACTTGCACCGCTATGAACAGATACCACTATTTGCAGTGGCGGAGCCACGTTGAAGTCAGCGGTTGCCTTGGCACTGGCTTATTTAGCCACGTTTAGCTACAATTGAAACGTAGCAAATTCTGTTTCAATTTTTTTGAAAATTAGCCACGTTTTGGTCGTAGCCATACAACCGTGGCTATTTGGGCACTAGCTGAAATTTTTTGGCACTAGCTGAAATTTTTTGGCACTTGCTAAAATGCCATGCTGGCTCCGACACTGACTATTTGAAAAACTCTCAATGTCAACGACGAGTTTCATAATAAGAAGAAAAGAACATTGTTATTGTTAACTATTTGAGGAAGAACAGCTGCACATACGACTCCTGACTTAGGAATTCATTCCTTTGAATTCCTTTAGCCATATCAAATTTCACCATTGCTTTTGGTCATGGGATCTGCTTGATTTACTATTAATGACTTACAAATATGGTTCTGGTAATTAACAATCTATGTTACAAGTACAAAAAACAGTTGTCAATACACACATACACCCATGCACCAGAAGAAATCTGTGTTCAGCAAATTATGCCGTTCAGGCATTACAAGCAAACTATCAACATAGGGAAACAAGTATTAGGTAATAAATGAATCAGCAACATGTCAAGTATTATACTCTTACGACTTCTGTTAGAATAACAGACAAGAACAGAAATCTAACTAGTTTTCAAGAAATATGTTGATAATCAATATCACTGAGGAGCCCACGCCCACCCAAAGAAATGAATTGTTTACACACCTTGTGATGAGAAACATCCTCAAAAATTCTAATACCTGAAAACACAAACAAAAAGCATCAAGAAGGATAAAGATAGATCCAACTAAAATTTATTCTATCATAACTAATATAAACAAGAATTAAAAGTAGGAAAAACCATAAGCAAAAGCATTATTGTTTGTGTCAGAGTCTAACCAAATCATGCAAAGAAAAGGATAAAGCGTACGATGCTACTCAAGTTGCCCTATCCTAAATATAGTAATGATTTTCTTACTTTGTAGAGTTTCTTTTACTTTTCTTTTTCTTGATAAATGAATTTTTTTTTATGAGGCAAAGAAAATAAGACTACAAGAGTTAAGGATAATACGCTCCAATGTTTTCTCCCATGATAAACTCAATTGAATTGATTGCCACACAGTCCCATTATTAGTTCAGAGGACCCTGGCCACCACATCATCTTCTATTCTAACCCAAAAGTTATCATGATAAATTAATGAAGGATCTTTAATTACATGGTCAAGATAGACTTGCTATTAAATTAAATAAATTTATAAATATTAAGAAATTACTGAAAAGGAAAAGGGTATTAGAGCAGCAAAACACTGCCTTTAATAAGCTGCAACATAGTGTATGTCTGTGACGGAAGAAAAATACCAGCCACAGTAAGAACACATTTCCATTGATGTGCTTCAACTGCATCGCCACTGTCCCCTTCCAACCCATCTGGCCTACAAGCAAACCTTGATGATTGCCGTAACAGTGTCTCTGGGCCTTTCAGAATGAAAGAGCAAGAGTACAGTTAACTAGTGATAAAGAGAGAGACTCATATAAGGTTAAAAATGTTAATTCAGCGACCCCCCACCATACTCAGAGAAAAAAGAAAAGAAACATGGGATTCCTTGCAAAAATACAACGAACATTGATTCAGAATCATGCTTTCACAACTATCACTATTCACTCCACAATTTCTGGTGCATATCAACACTATGAAATTTGTCTCTCCTTTTGAAATAGGAAACAAAATGGATACTCCATTATACTCTGCTAAGATGCATAACAGGTGGATTTGTTGTCAAATTATACAAATTATCAAATGAATGCATGTGAATGCCTCAAAAGCAACCCCTCATGAATATAATTGACCAAACCATTTTTTTACCTTGGCCAATTTTTATAAGCTTCCTCAATCCATGGGCATACCGCCTCACTCTAGGCCGATGTCCTTCAAGATTGATCCTTCCTCAACATAAAGAGCAATGATATGTCAATTTATGATAAATCATCTAATAAAAGGACAACGTCTAAGGCAGAACACCTAATAGTGATCCCAACAACAACTATGCAGGTCTCTCATTCAGCATAACTTACAAAAATATTAATCTGAGCTGTATTACCTAACTGGAAGCAATATTCCTTGAACGTATAGAAAACTATCATTATTTTTAAATTTTGTAAGAAAAAAATGAAGGAAAAAAAGAAGACAGAGACAATTGAAAGGACCAAAAGCATTGGAATCCCCTGCTTACGTATGACACAAAAACCATTGTTAATCATTTACCAATCAGCATTGAAAACAAGACCATTCATCTAATGTTATTCTATCTGTTAGAAAAATATAAAATCATTAATGAAGCTTCACCCAACAGCTTAAACTTTTGGGTTGAAATGGTTCTTTACATGATATCAGAGCCTCTGTGACCAAGTGGTCACGAGTTCGATCCTCACCGCCCCCCATTTAATTAATAAATAATTAAGTATTGTGGAGTTTCTTAGTACAGGTAGAGGGTGTGTTAAAGAAATATAAAACTATTAGTGTAACCTCACCCAACAGCTTAAACTTTTGGGTTAAAATGGTTCTTTACACTAGCAAATATTAGTATGAGTGTACTTCAGGAGGGGGGAAAAGCATACTCGGCCTCCATGTTTAGTCTGTCTCTGGCACTACTTCCTCTTGACAGCTCATACTCAGCCTGCAAAGAGTATATATCCAGTAACTTAAAATAATACGCAAATTAAATACCAATATAGTTCCATGATATCCCTATGCTTTTAGCTAGCAACATGGCTACTCCACATTCTTTACATTCAAGGAAAACCTATATGTTCGAAAATTTCATAATAGGAACACCAATTCAAACCCCCTGCCACAGATTAAACTTTAAATCTCAATCACACTTGGGTTATAAAAATTACTAACACCAATAAAAATTGCAATGTTCAGATTACAAACGCAACCTTCCAGTTATTTTCTCGTACCTGTTGCTTGGCATGATCAAATGCTTCTATCCATCCTCGGGCTTCCCCAGCTGTAGCGCAAGCAATCTTGAAGAAAATTACATGAAAAAACTTATTTTTATACTGGAAAAAAGGAAAAAATTTATAACACTCATGGTATGTAGGGGTTCATTAAATTCTAAATAAATAAGCTCCCCAGTACAGACACATAGATGCAGATACATTTGCATGCAAGTGCAATTGTTGAATCCAAAAACTATATCGAGCCTTTCAAACCAAAATTCAAGGGCCAGTTTATATTATAAATTTTAATTCCAGGAACCTGGTTAACCATTTTGATGACACTCCCCACAACAGGCGTGGTAACAAATAGAATGCCCACGATAAAATCAAGGGAGAATTCTAAATAAGGAACTCCAGCTAAAAATTTTACTATGAAGAGAAAATAACAACTTGAAGTGATTATTAGTTAAAGTATAATATTGGACTTAAATTGGCTTAAAGAAAGACTCTGAGTGGCAGTTGTGATCAAATGCTTCATGGTAATACTTTTATCAAGAGTTCCTGTTTTTGCTTGAAAGGTGGATAAAGCACAGGCCCACTTACTTGTGCTGAGAAATTACACAAGGCTTGATTAATTATTAATTTAATGGGGGACGGTAAGGATCGAACCCGTGACACCGAGGCTCTGATACCATATAAATAACCCAATTAATAATATCAATATTCCCTTTGAATTCTCTTTTCATAATTTTAATCATTATTGTCTCTCTTTACCTTCTAATATGGTATCAGAGCTTGGGTGTCACGAATTCGATACTCACCGCCCCCACTTTCTCTTGTGAAATTTCTTAGCACAGGTAAGTTGGGCCTGATGCAATATCCACGCTTCAAACCCAAAGGGCTCTTGCGTGAGGGGGTGTGTTAGAGAATAATATAAACCATTAAAAAGGTCATCACCTAATACCTTAAGGTTTTGGGTTAAGATGTGGTGTCAGAACCACTTGATATGGTGGTCTTGCTTAGCCCATTGGTGGTGGTCCCCAACCACAGGCTTCCCCTAGACTCTCCTGACAGTGGTATTAGAGTCGGGTTGGGTTCAGGCTAGCCAAATATTTGGTTAGGAGGCGGGTTAAGTACTTTGAACCTGGGTACTCGGAAAGAGGGAGAGCATATCAATGTTAGGTTTCACACTTGAGGGAGAGATTGCTGGGATATTCAAATATGATGAGTCTCACATTGATTGGTAATGGGCTAAGTGAAGTGGATATAAGTGGATAGGCCCATGAACCCAATGCCTTAAGGTTTTGGATTAAGACATGATGTCGAATCCACTTGCTAGCATAGGGCTCACTTAGCCTGTTACCAACCAATGTGGGACTCATCACACTTGAATATTGTTGAGTGAGGCTACATTAATGGTTTATATATCTCTAACAAGCCCCCTCACAAGAGAAAGAGAATCGAACCAATTGGTTCTTTACAGATTTCTACATGAATTAAATTGTGTTGTGAGATTTGGCAACTTTTTTTTTGTTTTGGTAAGACCACAAGGTTTGGGACAAATCCTCCATCGGATGTTGGCTAGCCCTTGGCCACAAGGTGCTTCCAATGAGTTCCGAACCCCTGCATTGCAGGTAAAGTTCACCTTAAATGGAACTCAGTTTGCCTATTGAACCACTCCTTACGGTTGGGGATTTTGCACTTATTGCTTGATAGTATATTAACAAATTACCTCACTAGCATTTAACCTGGAAAATGCAATGGAAGTAAAGTAATTAAAAAATAAATAAATCAATAAATTATGTATAAAGAGCTTTGGTAGGGGTGTGCGTTTTTTTTTTTTAATAAAATTTTTAAGCAACTAGAATCACGTTTTCTTAAAAAGTTATAATAACTTAGCATGCAACATTTACAAGCTACAAAAGATGGAAGCTTATGCTTCTGTCTTATATTTAGTCGAGTGTAACAAGTTACAAGATCAATCTTGAATTCTTCATTAGTTATACCTGTTAAAAACCATGCTGCAAGGAAAGTAGCTTTCAATGTCTATCAATAATAATTAGAATAAGTACTTCAAAACTATAACTTACTTCTCCCTTTTTGGCCTCATCTAATCGATTGTAAAACCGTACAACATAAAGATCCTGGGGAAGAAAACAAAATATACTTAGCTTCAGTTAAATTTGCAAGGTAATCGAACATGTACACCCAAATCACACCAGATTTTGAGTTGAACCTCAGAGAGAATATTCCATCAAAACTAATATACAATCAGTCTAATGTAGTACACACGAAGAAATACATATGCGATGATATATACCCCACTGTTGACCTTTCGACGACCTAGCTCCTCCACCATAAGTGCGGGCCCTACAGCTCCCTGCCTAATGGGTTTCTGCACAGTGGATAGTTTTAGCATTAAATATTTAACTATTATTATCAACATAGAGATGATAGAAGAAAAGAAAAAACAGAAAACCAACAAGTGAAATGGCATTACAACCCACATTTGAAAAAAACTAAACTGTAAAATTATCAAAAGATTGTTCAATTAAAAACTACTGACTCATAATCTGTCAAACTAAATAATCTTTTGTAAATAAAAAAGTAAGAGTGACAATGAGGCTTGGCTCAACTGGTAGGATCAAACAGGGAACAGAGTCAACAAAAAGGCCTTGGCAACTAAGTTAGTTGGGTCTTCTTAGAAGGGTTATCTTTTTTAGTTACTTGGGAAACTTGAAGAAGGTTAGTTTTGTTAATGATTTGAGACCATAGATCTCATACAGGAGCGGTGTTACATAAAGACCTGCTCCTATTTCTTTCTGCAGTATCTTTAGCACAAAAGAAACTGAAAGTTTGATGAAAACCGTGCTATTTAGAATTGAAGCATAAATTCCTTCTGATGACAACTAGTGAAATACAGCAGTAGTTAGCCTTTGATCCAGCTTGTGATCTATATTTCCAATAACCTTGTCAAAATTTAGCTGACTGGATGAAGCATAAGCCTTAAGGTTTTAAATTGGGATAATCAACATTGTTTTCTTTTCTATCTCCATTCTGCCACTGATACATACTATCAAATAATTTATCAAATTACGAAGTTCCCCAGTTCTTCATCAAAAATAATTTCTAATTTCGAATGAGCACAGCAGTCATCACACACAAAATTGCATCTACCGAAACAAATGAACTCGAGCTGATTTTATTTTATTAATTTTAAAAGTGAAAAGAATATTATATAATTAATCCACAGTAACCGTAAATTCCAGGACCGCAAGATGAAGTACACAAAATTGCAAGTAAAAGAAAGAGAAGAAGGAACATACAATGGCAGGGTTATCGTGAGGATCACGCTTGTACATGGCAACATATTTCCCCCTAATGAAGAGGTATCGGAGATGACAGTACTCAAGGCCAATGGAATTGACTCCTAAGTGATAAACCCAACCAAAGTACTCAAATATCCCTCTATCTTCGCTGCGCTCAGAACTTCCACTACCGGAATTGTTCAACGACGAAGCTGCTGCTGCTTCCATCGTAAGCTTTAGATCAAACTCATCTGATTCTTCTTCTCTCTTCTTTTTATTGTCATTATTTTTTGCCTTAATTTCTCCGATTCAGTGCACACGGAGTTTGATGGTGTGAGTGGGTCCCACTTTACTTTTTGGATAGTGAAGTCCGAATTAGTTGAGGTTGAGCTTATTAGCTTAACCACGCCATTGCCAGTTGGTAGTTGTCACTTGCCACCTATGATTAGCTTTTTCTTATTCTGCTTAGTGCTTCCTTGTTAGTGGAGTGATTCTTCTTGTCTACAAGAAAATCAATGAAATTAAATTGTTTTGTTTAATATAAATAGTTTAATGTATGCATATAACTTGTTGCTTGTGTAAAGTGACTTTTGCTTTGAATTTGGATGAGAAAAATAAAAAAGAGGGAAAACAAACTTTTAAAAATTTAAGAAAATTTCAACGAGAACATTTTTGGCCTTTTGTTTTTGGAGTAAAATTAAAAGGGAGGTGATTTTTTTTACTAAGAAAGTATGTTCTTCACTTCTTCGAATATATTGTTTAAAAATAAATAAGTTGTATAGTTAGGTTGTTGCAAGTGGTCCTCGAGTTTCCTTGGTTTTAAGGTTAACGTCCATTATGAAGGATGGACTAATATTTGGCACCATTATGAAGGATGAACTAATATTTGGTACCATTATGAAGGATGAACTAATATTTGGCACCATCTAGCTAACCCAATTCAAATTAATTAGATTCAAAATAACTATAATTTTTGTTCCAGGTGGAATCATTTGTGTTTACTAATAATATTTTTAAAATGTATAAAAAAGACAATGTAAAAATAAAGAGTAAAAGATGTATCTGGTAATACAGTCAACTATAAAATCAATTTTGAACAGTAAAAGAGTAAAAGCTGCATTGAGTTATAAATACTGTTGAATCACATTTCAGTCAGCCTCCGTAAATGCAAAACAAACCGGGCACGGATCAGTGGAAAGAAAATTAAAAACAACGATTTCAGTTGACATGCGGATCTGCAAAGTTTCTTTTTTATTTAAAATCTAGGGTTTTTATTTTCAATGAATGTTGAATATAAAATATTAAATGAGAAGAGATTTTGAATTTGAAATAAAAAATAAAAACAAAAAGAATAATTACGATATTATTTGAGCGAGAATAAAATAAAATATTAAGTGATACTTGAAAAAGCAGTCTAATTTAATAAATATTCACATTGATTGAAATCAGTGTGAATATCTTCCAAAATCATCACGGCACTCCTTTGGTAGAAAGGAAGAAGCAATTTTACAAACCTTTCCTCGGCTTACGTATTACTAAAATGTAAAGCGAGCGTACACAGAATTTTTAGTGTGGTTTTTAAAATTATCTTATATTTTAAATAATATTTGACAAACAATTAAACATAAAATCAAAAATTTTAAGTCAACATTTCTCATGATATTTTGACCTATTAATAATTTTTTAATCACACTTTCAAAAAATTCATTTTCTCAATATAATTCTAATAATCGCAATGAATTTAGATGAGGAAAGCATCTAGATTTCAATGAATATAAATATTTTTTAATAAAAATTACACGTGTATTTTAAAGAAGCAAGTAAACTATATTTTTTTCTTTTATTGTCACCGCGATGTTTGGTACATGGTATTATTTAGGAATTCTCGAAAAATGAGATTGAAAAATTATTTTTCCGCATTTGGCATAAGGAAAACTAAAATTTTGCCAAGATAAATTTATTCCCATGATTTGATTTTACACTACCCATTCCTATTTTAAAATGTCATCCAATACATGGTATTCTTTTTGGGTAGGATATTGTAACAATCAATTAGTGTTACTATCCAAGTAAGCACGGACACTTGTAAAAACAGGGAGAGTCGTGTCCGACACGCTCCGTCACGGCGACACGCTCTGACACGGTGTCGGACACGCGGTCAACTTTTTTCGACACGTTGACCATTTCGATACGCGAATTTGATCGTGTCCGACACGGTCAAATGGCATTTTCGTAATTTTTTTTTAAATTTTTTTAAAAAAAAAATTAAAATATATTAATAAAGCTTTCACATGATCATAGCAATTTTATTTTTTTGTCTTTTTTCTCCTTAAGTAGATAAGAGATCATCTCAGCATCGTTGTTGTCAATTCCTATAACGCTCTTATTGTATCTCCTTGTCTCTGATCTCTCTCTAATATGATTTGATCTCTCTATTTGATATTATATATCTCTGCCATCCCAGTTCTTATTTTTTTTATTAAATCTTCCATCTTTATAACGTGTTGATGGGTATTATTAATTTAGTTTCATTTTTTGTTAAATTATTAAATATTAAATGAAATATACACTATATAAATTAAAAATATTATTCAATATTAAAACGTGTCCTAACGTGTCGAAATCCATAAATTTTTAGGATTGACGTGTCGGAGTGTCGTGTCGTGTTGTGTCACGTGTCGCATGTTGTATCGGTGTTACATAGTTAATATCAATGTTACTATCAATCAATTTCACCGTTATATCGATATGTTGATCTAATGGTTATATTTATTTTCATCTTTGTATCGTTATAATTCCTCATATTTAATGTGAAAGCATTAAATATGAGAAATCATATACAAAGGAGAAAATAAATATAAAGTATCAAATCCAGAAAATCATAACCATATAAAGATGAAAATAAATATAACCGTTGGATTTATAACATAATCGATCTAACGGTAAAATTGATTGGTACTAACATTGATAGTAACACTAATTGGTTGTTACAATATCCTTCCCCATTTTTTTCCGTTGTAGTGAGAAAGCAGACACATAATTCTCTTACTACAATACCATCATCACCTATGTTTTGTGTTTGTGTCGCCATTCATCTTGTTGGCAGTTTCCCTTTCTCTAGAAAATGAAAAGGTAAAGGAAAAGGATTTTGATATAACTTAGGAGGAGTTGACTTATCAATGCAGGAGAAACATATAGGGTGAATAACAATTCTAGGCAGATAGAAACATAAACTAGTAAAAAATGATTATAAATAAAGGGAAAAGAGTGTGTCATTTTAAAAGATGTAAAGTTGTGTCATTTTAAGCTAGAGAAAGTGATAGATCATGGGAAAGAGAGTGGACTGAAAAAATAAAGGTGTGGGTCCCACCTTTTTGTGGGAGTGAAATGACACAAGTTGTGTCATTTAAAAGAATAAACACATTTTCCATAAATTAAATGTTACCCATGAAGCAAGTATGACAATGAAGCATGTCCAATGATTGTTGAGTTGAGCGATTGAAGTGTGCGAACTCAGAAAATCAAGCCATCCTATCTCTTCAGTTATTACCTGAAAAATAGTATTCTGCCATAAGAATTATTGACATTTAATCTTAACAGAAAAAAGGTATTTAACATCTGCATTGCAAAATTAACAGTGACTAATATAAATATTGAACCAAAAGACAAATAAAAACCTACAACAAATAATAATAATAATAAGAAGAAGAAAAAACTAAAATCAAAATATTACATTTGCCCACACGTGGGTCTGCCAATGGTCACAATGACATTCAACCATATGCCAATGTTGAAACTGTTGCCACATGCAACTACATGCAAAATGAATGTACATGTGTGTTGAAACTTGAATATGTTATTACAGATGGATTTTCAAACCCCGGCCTATTAATTATATTTATACTTATAATTGGTTGGTGGATATTAGTGAGTTCTTATTATTTTTGAATTGAACTCATTTTTCTGTAATATCATTAATTCATCGTCAAAGAGATAGAAGGTGAGCTAGGGGAAACTTGAGAACGTGAGCCGCGAAAGAGGGGATACAACATCAACCTCTAAAACAATGCACTTAGTCCCACACTAACAGCAACCTCAAAAAATTCCTCACAAACCACCAAAGGGAGCCGGTCCAAGCAATCGATGAATACAAAGGTGAAAAAAAATAAGGAAAAGCTAATATTTTTTATCAGGTAACTATTATACTTTTAACAGAAGGTACAAAGCCCTTTTATGTGGAGACCACCTTTATCTACGGAACGATAACAAACCAAAATTTAGTCACTTATGCACTATTTATGATGAGATTTTTTGTTTAACATATAAAAAAAAGAGTAAACACCCTTTTTAGTCCCTGTCAATATTTACGAAGTCCTTTTTAATCCTTGGCAATAAAAAAGGACCAAATTGGTCCCTGAAATTACAAAAAAAGGGTCATGTTAGTCCTTATGTCAACTCCCAAATATGTAGAGTGGCCCTTTTCTTGTACTTTTAGGGACCAATTTGGTCCTTTTTTATTGCCAAGGATTAAAAAGGACTTCGTAAATATTGCGACTAAAAAGGGTATTTACTCTAAAAAAAAAAAAAAAGTTGACTTACCGAGATTGATTCATGTTATACAATGGACACTAAATCACTTTCTTTTCATGCTTTTTTCATTCCATTCCCCACAATGCATATCTTCTACCAGTAAATATTCTCTGTTAAACTGAAGCACTGCGCAAGATGAAAATCACTGTTTATATCTCTAATAGCAACAACTATTAGTTGGCTTGGTGTTGTCTCTCAACATCATGAGCCATATAGGTAGCAAATGTTGGGCTTTGCACAACACACTAACTTTTCATTCCAATGTTGCGTTACATGCTCTGATGCAACTCTATGTTGTTACAAATAAATTGCTAATTCCTCTCTTCGTATAGCAGGTGTGCATTTTGTTTCTTGCAGGTTTGACTTGTTCAGGGAGGAGCGTTACCGCCATGTTGAGGAGCATATATAGAGATGCTAGGGTGCTGAAGAGCTCTCCTTCTTTGTCCAGTAATATGTGGGTAGCAGCAAGCCCAAGGAACCAACCCTCGTGGCAGCATGTGAACATAATAGATGGCAATAACAATTATGTTAGTGTAAAGTTGATGCATCCTTTTCAGCCATAACTTCATTGACTGGCTGGAACATTAATAGCTAAGGGCATGTTTGCTACGATGTATAAGACCTGATAATATAAGTTTATACTATATATTATGACATTTTTAATTGTTTGGCATGACCATTATATAGTACAAAGATTACTTAATACATCAAACTGATGTATAACTTAAACAGGTACAGAGAGGTGAGATTAGACCTGATAAGGTTTGATGTATTAGGTCCCTTATTTTTTTTCCAGTCTAACCCTTCCATTTTTCCTCTACTACGACGTATACGACGTCTATTTGTCCAAGGTTCCAAGCGATTTGAATCTGAAATTCCTCCTCCTCCAAACGACACCGAAATCGATCGTGGTCAACGAGGACTTGGACCTGTTCCTTGCCGAGAAATCGACCAGGGGAGTGAGCTTGTCGGATGGCGAAGAGGGGTGCATGATGATAGGACGGAGGGGACGATGATTTGGATGAACCCGATAGTGTGTTGTGCGGTGAGGGTTTGTATTCGGTTAAGGATTTAAGGAAAATGTACGATTTTTTCAGATTGAGGGTTGCCAGAAGATCTCTGTCGTTCAATAGTTCCTTGGCAAGTAGATCGCTGAACCCTACACTGACCCAATTCGCTCTGCTTTAGTGGCAGCTTAGGTATGCGCTCTATATCAACACAGATGCTATTGATTTTTCGTGCTATGTTTTCAAATCACCATTCGAATTCGATTTTTCTTTTTGAGTATCCACTTGACATGTTTTCAGAATTCCTCGTGTTTAATTTTGAAATTGATTTCTTTCAATTGTTGCTTTGCTTTCGATTAAGAAAATGGATATTTTAATTTAGGGATTTATGCGAAGGAAACTATGTGAATTGGGACCTATGAATAATTAACTTGTGACTTGTCTTATCACACTCCCAAATTGAAAATATTAGGGCTGATTTTGATTTGAATGGGGATTTTATTATTCAAAATTGTCATTTGAATCTTCTTGCCATTTACAACTCAAATCTTGATTTAGGTTATTTTGCCATGGGAAACAAAGTGGGGAAGCAAGAAAGGGAATATGTGATATTGCTTAAGATTGTACCTCCTTTGGATCAAGCATATGTTAAATGGCTTGCCAAAGATGTTGCAGGAATTCAAGGCTTTACTCCAAGATGTGTTCGTGCAGTGAAACCACCATATCATTATGTTGAATATATGAAGTTGAATGGGTGGTTGGATGTGGATTTAGATGATCCTGATATTGCTCATTTGTTCAAGTAGATAATTTTTGTATGCCATATAGACAATTCGCCTGAGTTGTTGCAGCTGTATTATGGTCGTATCAAATTGTGTGTGAAAGAGATAAATGGCGGGCAATTCAAAAGTGGTACTTGTATAATATAGAATTGATGTTAATTTTTAATTTTGCTATTACATATAGACAATTTTTTTACCAGTTGTTGGTTTTGTACACTTGGTGATTTTACTTGTTTTGTGCTTCGGTAATTTTTTTGTCAAGATCATAATGTCTTATGAGCTAATGTATTCCCATATATTGTACTTTTGTTTTATGTTTAAGAAAATAACATCTAAATCATTAAGAGAATTTGATGAGTATAAGAAAGATCTTGTTATATTTGGTGTTTCTTATGTTTTCATCCCTTTTATTTAAGTTAAAAAAAATGTTAATCACATTATGAACACTGAAACCACAATAAATTTGTTTTAAGTTAATATATATATTAATTGTGAATTTTTTTAATATTGTAAGATTTTTATTTTTACAAAAATTATTTTATCTTTTTGACATACTGATCAATAGATTTTTATAAAAATTAATATCACATGACATATTTGTAAAAATTATATAATTTTTTTATTAAAGGGTACTTTTGTCAAAAGTATTTATTTTTATCTTATATAGTATTATACCATGCATTACCAAACACTAGATAGTATTATCTTACACAATACATTATCTTATACAATGGCATGCCAAACAATGGATAGTATTAAAATTTAATCAAGTCTTATACAATCAGACTTTATACTATCAGATCTTATACGATCAGGCCTTGTCATATACTATACATCAAACATGCCCTAAGAGGCAAGAATAATTTTCTTTGTTTTAGGCTCTTATTCCTAAAGTCACATCAATGCCTTAGGACCTCAGCCAAGAAACATCTCAACCCCATAAAGCCATCTCAACCACCGGTGGACCATCTTGGTTACTAGCAAGCACCTCGACTACCAACAAGATTAGTTTGTAAGCACTATATACACGGTTCTTTCTAAAACCCCTATTATTTTTATCATAACAATTTTACAATCATTTAACAATCTACAGGTGACATATTCCTTGCAAGTTTGCATGTTTTATATTTTTTAGGGTGCAAGACATCTATCAAGTTCTTAATTCAATGACAAAGCAATCACAATCTGGCAAGAAACATCAAGTCCCAGCATGAAAATCAAAGTCCCTTATTGCTAGCCATATCTCCTTGGGCACCCGTCCTTTCCTAGTCGGAAGTAGGAAAATCAAAATCCTTTGTCGCCAGTTATGGCTCATTAGGCACCCATCCTTTTTCCAAGTCAGAAGCAGGAAAATTAAAGATTTTTTGTTGCCTGGGTAAAGGCACAAAGGGCACTTGACTTCAATAAGCCAGAAGCGCGATCATAAAGCATATATAATTACCCGGATAAATGCATCCGGGTAAATAAAGTAAAAATGAATGAAAAATAAAAGAAAAAAGATCGAGATTCATCAGAAGTCGAACACCTAAGTCCTTATGATTTTGAATGATCCTGACCAACACATAAAAAATCATCATATAGGGTTCTTATACTCTGGTCAGGTATGCAATAAACAATTATTGTTTTAATTTGTTTATAGGTCTAAGTCACTTCTTAAGTTATTATCTCTGACTTCAAACTTGAAAGCAAGTACAAACCCAGAGACGACTACGAGCAACGAACAACTCGACAAAGCAACCTGGACCCCGGAAGCAGTCACAAGCTGAATTTTCCCAGCATTCATATCATTTTGCACAACATTAAACACTATTTGATAGGCACAAGGGCTTTACTTTAATCCAGGCATTCCGACTTCTCGCAATGCCAGGCTGGGGGCTTATGTTATGGACCAATTAAATGGTCCTCACTAGAGATGTTAATGGGCCAAGCCGGGCCGAGTTTTGATCTTAAAAGACTAAGCATGTGTTTAAATATGTCAGTCTAGACTAGCCTGTTACCTGTTATGAATATAATTATCGGTCTGTGACCTAGCTTATTTACAAAAAATAAAAGTCTAGTTTAGCCTATTAGCATGTTAAAAAAAATAAGATAACAAAATTTATCCAAACAAAATATATGATCAACAACGCTAATAATTCCACAAAGATTCATAAATTCAATGTATATCCAAACAATATAATATAGAAAAAAGTTATTCAAAAAGTCTGTTTAACTAATAAAATGAAGTGAAATTGGTTGAGGAGAGAGGGCTATCAAAAGAAGTATAAAAAATATAAAATAAAAATAAAAATTGGTATACTAAACCAGCCTGAGAGGCTCCAAGGCCGGGCTTTTGAATTGGAGTCTGAGGCCTTTTTATTAAACGAGCTTTTATACAAGTTCAAGTTTAGTTCTAAACACTAAATTTAGACGTGTAAGTCCAGACCTTTACAAGTCGGGTCAAAGGCCCCTGATTCGTTTACCACCCCTAATCCCCACTTCCTACCACCACTACATGACATGCACTGAACGTCTCATTCCACTACTCTCTCCCAACCTTCATCCAATATAAATAACCACTCACTAAACATTGTATAACACCACTAAACCACCTACTAAACTACCCACAATATACACAACCTCATAGTGCACTTCATCTATATATTACAGACACCCTATAACTAATGAGTGGATCATCTTATAACTTATCTCAGTACTCACAAGGCTTGCCACCGTGACTATAGCCTCCACATTTGTGCCCAAAGCACATTCGATCCACTAAGTAGGTGACTCACACACCTCCTATCCATACCATCAGACTTTGGCTTGAGGTATTGGACTTCCTATTGTCAGTTATCTATTCCATTAAACCCATAGAAATAAATACTAGCTATCTTGCTAGACATTGATATTCACATTTGAACAATATATATATATATATATATATATATATATATATATATAACTCAAAAAAATCAATTTAAAATTTATAAGAAAATAAGTTAAAAATTACATATATCATTATTTAAAAAATAACAAATTAGAACATAAATTTTTAGGATTTGAGAAAAATTTAATATAAAAAGTAAAAAACTGAACGTCATTATTTAAAGAGTATAATTGATGAAATTTAAAAGTTAAAGTATTTGAATGTAAAAAAAGAGAAGGGTTATATTTACAAATTAAATTATTTATAAATTATTACAACCAAATTTTAATTGTTGATTTTCGTCAATCTAACTGTTATAATTTATTAGATCATATTTATTAATTAATTGTTAATTTTCAATAAATTATAACCATTATATAGATTGACAAAAATCAACGATTAAAATTTGGTTGTAAGAATTTGTAAATAATTTAATTTATAAATATAACCCATCCCATAATTTTTTTGAATGTGGTTAATAATTTGAATTTTTATTAAAAAAAAGCAAAAGAAATGTGTTAAATAATGTTAAATGCGCGTGTTTTAGAAAAAAAAAATATATAACAAAAACCTAAATACGCTTAAGAAGAGGGTAGATTGATTACTTTAAAGGCATCATGGCTATATTGTGGGCAGCAGCACCATCATTTTTCTTTATTTGTCAATACGTGTCTTTTTTATTTAGCTTTCTTTATATTTGTCTGTTATTTTTGTTGTTGTTATCCTTATATGTTATTTTGCTTACTAAATTACGACTGGTTATATTTATTATTATTTTAGGTTTGTTATTCTTATTACTTACTATTTGATTAATTTAAAATTAATGCTTAAAAAATAGGAAAAATTAATTATTATTGATTTTAAATTGATCAATCGATAACTAATTGAATAATAAGGGTAGTATACTAAAATGATAATAAGTATAACTTTATCCCCTAAATTAATTAATATTTGGTGATTTTTTTCTTTAAGGTTATTGTCGTAAATGTGTGTGTATATATATATATATATATATATATATATATATATATATATATATGGGTTAGGATCATTTTACACCAGTGTAAGTTACACTCTTAATCTTGTCCGGTGATTCCACTTATATCTAACAGTTCAAATTTTTTAGTAATGTGAGCCATTCGATACAAGTGGATCAATGGTCAAGATTGAGTGTAAGACTTCTAACTCTTACACTGGTGTAAGAATATCCTGCCTCTATATATATATATATATATATATGACAGGATATTTTTATATCAGTGTAAGAGTTTGAAGTCTTACACTCAATCTTAATCATTGATCCACCTGTATCTAATGACTTAGTTACTAAAAAATTAGAGCTCTTACATATAAGTAAGTGAGATCAAGGGTCAAGATTGAGAGTGTAACTTACACTGGTGTAAAATGATCCTGACCCTATATATATATATATATATATATAAAAGGATCCGGTAGCATCAAGGCCGCCACTGCAGGGGCGAAGGGGGATGGCCCGCCCCCCACCAACTCCTCACCCAAAAATAAATAAATTTGAAGACTTTTTTTTTTCTTAATGAGATTATGTCTCTGGGAACTATCATCGAGAAGTGAAGGTACTCCATTGCAATCGCCATTTGCAGAGCAATATCGAGGTTCCGTTTAAGCTTCTTGCCATGGAAGCAATTTGCTAGATTCGGTGCGGGACATAATCATAAACCAACAGCAACCCCAAATTTATTTTCATTCCCTCTATTTTCGCCCCTGGTGATAAACAATTCTGGCTCCGCTAGTAAATCTTTAATATTTAATATTGTTTGTGGCGGAGCACAAACATATAAATTATTGCACAATCCAATTTCTTAATTTTTTGGAAGAGTATTGATTTGCATATTATGGTAGATTATAAATATTAAAAAATTGATATACACAATCTTAAGGTAGACAAGATTTATCAAATGAAAAACTTAAGAAATTTCTATACGTATAAAATAATTTGTGCAATTAATCGGTGCAACTCAAGTAAGGTGTTAATGGACCGAACCAGATTGGATTTTGGTTTTAAAAGATTAAGTTTGTGTTTAAATATGTCAGTCTGGTCTAACTTGTTACTTGTTATGAATATAATTATTGGTCTGTGGCCTAATTTATTTACAAAAAATAAAAGTCTGATTTAGCTTGTTAAAAAAATGGAAAAATATTTGTCCTTTTTTTTTGTAAATAATATTGTGTCATTTTAGATTCAAACTGTTGATTTTCATCAATCAACGGTAATAATTTATTGGGTCAAATAAATAATAAGTTTGATCCAATATATTATAACCGTTTTGATCGACGAAAATCAACAGTTAGATATAAAATGACACAATGTTATATCTTTAAAAGGACAAATATTTTTTCAAAAAAATGAAGACAACAAAAAGTTATCTAAACAAAATATACGATCAATAGCACTAATAATTTCATAAAGATTCATAAATTCAATGTATATCTAAATAACATAATATAGTACAAAATCATTCAAAAAGTCTGTTTAACTAATAAAATGAATTAAGGTCTTAAGGAGAAAAAGAGAATTATTATGAGTAGTATAAAAAATATAAAATAAAAATAAAAGTTCATAGACTAGGCCAGCGTGAGAGGTTTAATACTAGACTTTTGAATTGGAATCTGATTTTTTTTATTAAACGAACTTTTATTATATAAATGTAAACCTAGTTTCAACCATCAATTTTTGACTTATATATCAAATACATCTAAAAAAAAACCCTCATTCGTTTGGCATCCTAAACTCAGGTAAATTTAAGTTACTTAATCCATGTCGTTTCGTCTGCAGTTTAGTTAGTCCTTCCTCCCTCTTCTCATGCAAAAAAGTAACTTAATTTCCAAGTAATAAATTGTTATATAGTCCACACGCTATATCAGCATTTGGTTGGTGTAAATGGCCGACAATTCCCAATATGAAAGTAATATATTAAAGAGAAAAAAAAAGGAGTGATAAACCAATAAGAAACAAGCAAAGAAAAACAAGATAAGCATGAGTTAGGTGCAGGCAACAATTTTATATGCAGGTACAGCTCAGATCCCATGCACCTTTGAAAGCAACAAACTTAAAGGCGGTTCAGACTTGAACCACCTAACAAATCGTCTTTTCAAGTTACCGACACGTGTCCACAGTGAGGGTGCCATCGTTATTTCACCCAAAGAATGTCCCCAATAATATAAGCTTGACCCTTTCAAATGTCCAATCAAATCACACCAGCGTAACCGAGAACCTAACCCGCGATTAAGAGCGGTTCGGGTCACGTGATTAATAAGAATTCATATTCAAACCCTCTGACACCACTATAAATACGATATCATTTCTTCCCTCTTATCCACATTCAATTGTAATAAATCTTCTTTATCTCTTCGTAATTGTTTGCACTTTTTCTCTCTCTAGAAATGGGAACTGCAATAATTCGTTCTCACGATTGCCTCCAAGGTCGGTTTTTCCGCAACGATACCTTAGCGATCGCCACGTCACATGTCAGATCGCGGAGAAATTCCAATAATAACCCTATTCTCAATTCCTATGCCTACCAGAACCGCCGGCGAAAGCGAAGTCCGGTGGCCGCCGTTCAGGCCAACTGTCATTACGGCGGTCGGAGACGATCCGGAGATCGATTTACGGCACCGACGAAAGTTCCAGCCACCGCGAATATTGTCATGGGACAAGTTAGGATTCTCAAAAGAGGCGAGAAGTTGAGCCCGGAGAATAGCCACCGAGGACTTGAGGTTGCTGTTCCGGCGGAGAACCGCAAGGCGAAGGTTAAGAGCGAGGAGGATCTCCATTTGTTCTTAGGCTCGACGCATCGGTTGGGTCCGGATCCCGTGACCGTGCAGAAGCAGGTTAGGGTTTCGGATTCGAAGGATGGGATCTATGCTGGATCAGCGTTTGTTGCGTCTCCGCCTCCGAGCTCCGTTCCGGTTCCTGGATTTTTGGGGAAGAACGGCGCGGCCACCAGTGATTTGAGGCGGTTGCTGAGGCTTGATTTGGAATGATTAGTTGATTTCGTTGTTTTTGGAGTTTGATTACTTTCTTCCTAAGTAGATGATGGATGGTTAATTGCTCGCATGGTCTCTAACGCGCTTCCTTTATTTTTTCAAGAGGATAGCCGTTAGGTGCGAAGCACATGAAGAAAACTTTGAAAGCAAAGCAGAAGTTGTAGGAATATGAAGATTTGATATTCAGCTCCTGAAAGGGGGCTTAGTCAGTTAGGTACCCCACCGTTAGTTCATATGTTTAAGACAGAAGGGTTGAGAGAAGAATGAATCTCTTGTAAATTCCCCTTGCCAGTCTTATATACGCGAATCTATCTAGTATTTGAATTTAGAATGTTTGTTTCTGTAGTGTCGGTGTTGGATTTTCATATGGAAGAAGGAAGTTTGATGTGTGTTGTTTCTTTCAACTAGTTGTAATACAATAAAAAAACTTGTGTCAGCAACACTATTGTTAGTTGCTTTAATGTCAGATATTTATATATTATTACCTTTTGATTATCATCCTTTGTCTGAATATTACACATCGCGTTTTAATCTCAAATGCATGTTGAATTGCTCGATTATTTCCAGGGTTGTCTGAACTCTGAAGGCACCGATTTTCAGACATACAACACAAGATCTGATTAGTGAGTTTGGTGTTTTTGGAATTACCATAAGAGGACGTCATTCATGTTTAATGCTTTTGATTTTATTTCGCAACACAGGCATTTTAAATTGCATCTGCTGGAGCAGACGAACCTAACTTGGCGTTGCCACTCGACTTCTCTACCTGAATTGCTAAATCCAAAGGAAGTGAAAGAAAAAAGAAGAAGAAGAAGAAGAAAAGATTTGAATACAGATGGTGAACCTTTATCGCGGAACATCTCTTTTGTGGTATTACCAGCGAAGAACAGTTTGGTTTCTCATTTTATCTTCTTCATCTGCCTGATTTAATTCATATGTGATCGGTGTATGGAGGGTAACTGGATTCTGTTCTGTAAAAGTTAATAGTGTGAGTTTTTCAGGATTCCTGTTGCTAGAGAGCTTTAGTTCCTCGCTGGAAATACTAGTTGAAGTATCTAAGTATGCAACTTTCGCTTCTTTCCTCCTCCTTTGGTTATTTTACCTGGGTATAGGTGAAGTTAGATTCCTAGTTAAATGATATATTGCTTTTGCATTGATCTTGCAGAATTTTCAGCTAATCACTGTCTTTTATTGCATCTTCACAGAAAATTCATTACAAAGTTGCTGTTTTGCGCCATAAAGGCTAGGAGCATGGGAAATTAAACTGGACCCATAAGCTCTGTCCTTTGACCAGGCGAGCTCTCCAACTTTTTGTGTATAATTGCCGAGTACTTGAGTAATTGGGTGTCTGCTTTATTCATTTTATGGCTTGGTTCAGTATTTTGCTATTTTTAGGTTGAATAGAAAAACAATCGATATAGATAACTTTAGATTGAGATTCTTTTTTGCATAATAACTACTAATTCACTATTCTCATTTTTCACAAATACATTAGACTTTTTTACGTTGTCCTTCTGAACAACTAACTTGCTTTGTAGCTGTGTAGTTTACTTAATTACTGCATACGGAGGGGAAACTTTATTGGTCTCGATGAAATTTTCAGTTCATCTTACTTAAGTTATTCACTTCTTGGGGCCTGTCATAGTTAAACTGCATCACCTGACTCCTTGGAACTTTTTACCATACCATCTGTTGCATCCGGCAGTATCCTTTTCCAGAACCAGTGTCTCCTCCACATGAATGTCATCTCTTCAATGGGAATTCCCTTTGTTTCAGGTAGGAACACAAAAACAAACACGGTCATGATGGTAATCCAGCCAGCAAAAAACAGGAAGATCCCAAACTTGAATGAACAGAGAAGGGAAAGGAAGGCCTGGGCAATTATGAAAGTTAACAGAAGGTTTACAGCAACTGTGATACTCTGCCCTGCTGATCGGATTTCTAATGGAAATATCTCACTTGGGACAGTCCAGCCAAGTGGGCCCCATGACCATCCGAAAGCTAGAACAAATAGGCAAATTACAACTACAACCAATATTGAATAGCTTTTCGACAATTCTTGATTTTCTCCAAACTTGATCCCCAAAATTATGGCAACAATGACCTGCTCATGTGAAGAATGAAAGTGTAATCAATTGGTTTGCAAATATGAAGTAAGGTGCTCCTCTGCTTTGCAAATTGTATCTGAATACTACCATTTCCTCCCGAAATTTCATACTCATTATAAGGGAAACTACGTTTTTAAGAAAACAAGTTCGTTCATCTACATGATTTCTGTGGTTATGAGTCAGACAAAATGAATGGTGCATTTGGTTTGATTTAGCATTATTTCCAAAGGTTATGCTTCTAGTAAGTAAGCATCATTGGAATTTGCACTAAACAGATTTTTGTTTTTTTTACCTGGCAAGTGATCATTTGTATTCCACCACTGATGAGTAGGGGTCTCCTGCCCAATCTATCTACTGTTGCAATAGAAATGAATGTTGAAAAGGCAAGAACTCCTCCAGTCAAGGCTGAGGAGTAGAGAGACGCATCTCTGCCAAATCCCATGCTTTGAAATAGTACTGGAGCATAAAAGAGAATTGAGTTTATGCCGGTCAGTATTTGGAACGTAGGCATGAAGATTGCCATAACCAACTCTGGCCTGTTTCTTTTTTCAAGGATGTTCCGCAAGGGGTGCTTTATTGAGTTTGCCAACTCGCTTGCATCAACCATGTCTTGGAACTCTGCATCAACATCATTCGTTCCTCTGATTTTTTCAAGGAGCTTCCTTCCTTTATCCTTTGATCCTCGTTCTATTAAGCTATTTGGAGTCTCCGGAAGAAATATTCCTCCAACAGTCATCAAAAGTGCAGGTATTGCAGCAAGGCCAAGGGACAGCCTCCACCCCCATGGTTTAATCTTTTGTGTTCCATAATTGATCATATTTGCTGTAAAAATCCCAAAAGTGGTTGCTACTTGAAACATCATGTTCAGGCCTCCTCGAAGGTGGGTTGGTGCCATCTCTGACAAATAAAGCGGAATAGCCTTCAAAAGAACCATCAGGAGTAGCTATAGTAATTTTTCAACATTAAGATATAACTGGATTATCTTCTATCTCAAAACATATTTTATTGGACCATTGACTGTTTCCATCACATTACTACCTTTTTTTTTCCTGTAAAATTTAATGAACTTACGTTAACATTTACATTATTAATGTTGTCACTCACTTTTCAAAGCCATTTGATACTTCGGTTAACTAGACTCTGGAGCTTGGTTCTAAACAGGAAACAATTGTTTTGCTACTTTTCTACCAAAAAAGCTTGTATTTGCGTAAGAAATTGATGAAAGGTTATAGGAAAATGCTACTACCTGATTTCCAAATCCAATGCCAACACCAAGCATGATCCGACCTATGATAAGCATTCCCAGATTAGCAGCTGAGGCATTCAGAGCCGATCCAATGAGAAAGCTGATGCCACCCCCTATGATACTTGTTCGTCGACCATACTTCCTTGTAACTGGAGATGCCATCAGGGATGCAACTAAACCAGCAATGTATAGAGAAGAGGTGAATGCTGCAAGGACCTGATTATCATACTTGCAGTAGTTGTTTTCATGTGCATGTATTTTTTGTTTATATACTGAAGGGAAGAAATCCTGAAGAAAATCATCCATGGAAGTAACTCCTCCTGTTAACCATTACACATGCATCAAAGAAATTTTCTGATAAATGACTAAAAATATTATAATTGTTTACATGTTCTGATAAGGAAGATTAAAAAGAGAGTTTAAGTGGGTTCCAATTGTTATTCAATGGATAACAAAGAAAGAGTGTGAGTAGTCGATTTGAACAAAGAATGTAAGTCTATAATGACTCATCATAAAAGCATGAGTCGTTGAGATAGTTGTTCATCCACGTCTTCTCACCAAACTTAATTCAGAACATTTGCTATCTCAGTTGGAGCGCAAGGGTTGGGTGATAACAAGACTTTATGATTTACTGGCAGGGAGGGATGTGATTCGATTTGGAGCAACAGAATCAAATTAACTGAGATAATGCAATTCAATGTGGGGATATAAATTTACCATTACAAAGTTATAGCTAGGCATTTGAGATTTTATGAAGAAAAACATGATGGACCCGGTTTCAGTTATATTACTGAGATAATAATTGGGAATTGCATCTTACAATCAGGGAAGGGAGGGTTTAAACACTTCAGATTAGAAAATAAACAAGAGTGCAGAGTGAGACAGAACATAACAGATTGAAAAATTGTGTACTCTTGAATTTCTAAGACATGATCTCATGTCGTTATCAGACATGAAAGAGATTCAGAAATTTTAAGTTTTTGGTCTTCTGTTAGATAAATTCAACACATGCAGTAGCTGTAGCTGTGCTACACATGCATTTCTTCTTTGAGCTTTCAATCACACTGAGAGTTGCTATATATGGTGTGACAAAAAGTATCTGAAACCCGACCGTAGAAGAAGGTGAAAACTACAAAATAATGAAAATAGTGATTGAGAGTATGGATTATTGAAGAACCTGAAATCCCAATATCATAGCCGAAGAGAGACCCGCCAGTAGCAGCAACAACGCATGCGATGATGACATGGACTGTGACTCTTCCCTTATACTGCTCAGCCCTCGCCTTAGCCACACCACCTGTACCTGTTGTAAAAGATCCACCTGCCATTTCCTCAATTCTTCTCCTTTCTCAGAGGCATATATATAAAGGAGAGTACTTTTTGGCCTTCAGCACCATGCCATGCTGCTTGGAATTTATAAATATCTCAAGCTAAATGAGACTACCAACCTATTTGCTCCAATAATGGTAGATGATAATTATTTTTTAAAAAAAACAAAATATTTACCTCCTTTAGAAAATTCCTTCCTATTAATAGGGGAATTTATTACCTGCAAGGTTGCCTATTCTGATGACCGCCTCTTAACTGATGTATGATTATATTATTATGGATTATAATAATAATAACCCTTTAGAAGAACGAGAAGTTGAAGGTGAAACTGATGATATTTAGGTAGGAGATAAATGTTAATAGAATAAATGAGAAAATTTGGATAAGACTTAAACTCTTTAATGGGAAAAAAATATGTCTCTCTCTTCGAGGGGATTAGTTTCATCCTTCCTCCGGTAGCAAAGCTCAATGCATTCAATGAGGAGCTAGCTTACATGGCCGTATCCCAAGAACAAGGTGACCGGAGGAGGTTGAATGGAGATACTCCAGGTTATACAAAAAAAAAAATATATATTTATAATTCGTATTAGAATTAAGATTATTTTGAATTTTTATCTTCTAAAATATATGAGACTCATTACGTGGGTCTCGAAATGAAAATCCTAATTAGCATTGAGATGTAAGTAAAATTAATGGATAAGATTGCATAACAATTATAATAGTGTAAATTGATCTTGTTCTTATCATTATTATTGTTATGTTCAAAAGAATTTAAATATAATTTCGAATATAACTAAATTGGTTAATATTAATATTAAAATGCATAACTAATAATGGTGTTAAAAAAATAATTTAATAGTGGATTAAAATTAAACTTCAATTGAATATACAAATAAATGAATATACTTAATTTATTTTTAGTCTAAGATTTTTATATTGTCATTTAATTATGTTGTATCGTGCCATTAAAATAATATAATAATAGCAATAATTTTTTTAATGATACAGAGATATAAATAAAAAATAAATTCTTTGTTGGTTCCTTTAGTTATCATTTTTGTTACTTCTTTTAAGCTTTTCAAAAGAATGTAAAAGGTATCTTTATGTCAAAATAAGTTTGATTCTTTTTTTTTTTTTCTTTTTTGCAAGTGAGTTTGATTCTTTTTAAGAAGAATGCTTTTGAGTCATATTTTTTCTTCTTCTTTAAATTGTAGTCTTTGGGTGATGTCGAAATATATCAAATAATCTATTTGGCGGTACCCAATTTGATAATGCGTTTAATTATCTTCTTCGGTTTGGATTTACTCGCTTTTAATGACTTTTGGCATCATATATGAGTCAGGTCCAATTTGTCTGCTTCTTAATTTGATTCAGAATCTGTGGTCCCTTCTCCATTATTCCCAAGTTGAAATAGGGAAGCAACCATATTGATTTACAAACAGAAAATAGGGCGATAAGTTGAAGCTCTGTTTTTAGGAAGCAATTTGTATGTATTTGGATTAGCAGAGACAGGGCCCTCATGGCTAACGTGTGCTTACATTATTGCTTGAAATCAAACTTCACTAAGATTTTAATTATTATTTTTTTTAATAAAAAAAGTTGAATCGATATAAAATGATTGATACTTTCATATTCTGAAAAAAATTTAAGTATAAGAAAATATAATTGCCTTAGATTGTATATTTTCTATGCACTCAATATATTATTATTTTATTAATATTTTTAAATTTATTACATAGATATGTTAATCGACATGAACAAATTAAAAGATAATTAACATTTCCTTATTTTTTAAAATAAAATAGATTTAAATATTATATTTAACTTTTTTTATATTTATTGAGTAATTCACTTTGATGTTAAAATATGATTTAAGTTATATTTTATTTTTCAATAATTTATATAAAAGGCATTGGTGTTTTTTTAACTTGTGAAATAATTATTATCATAATTAATATTGGGTTCACTTTTTCTACAGTTACTGCAGATAAGTTATTTGCAGTAAGCCCAATGCGACGTCGTTTTGGGACGAAAATCTTGGTATCTTTGTAATTTTAATTTATTTCAGGATTATTATCTTCTTTATAATTATAATGTTTTAATTTTTCAATCTCAAAACGATGTCGTTTTGGGAGTAAATGCAGATAACTGTTACTGCAAACATATTTGTCTGATTAATATTTTGACAATATTATCATCCATATTTAAAAGTGTTGCAATTGAACTTCATTTTTATTGTAGGAGAATCATATGCTTATATATAATAATAATATTCCACGCCAATTTTTTTAAGAGTAAATACCATTTTTAGTCCCTAACAAAAAATGTGGTTCCTACTTTAGTCGTTTATAAAAAAAATTAGTCTCGAGGTCCCCTAACAAATTTAAAGTGGACCCATTTAGTTGAAATCGTGATCCCTTACAAATTCAAAAAAGGTCCATATTAGTCCCTCAAAAGGACTAAAATGGGTGTACTTTGAATTTCTTAGGGACCTCGAGACTAATTTTTTTTTGTAATGGACTAATTTGGGGACTATATTTTTTGTTAGGGACCCAAAATGGTATTTACTCTTTTTTTAATTTTAGAAACCCACTTAAGAAACATTTTCAACTTTTAGAATAAAAAGCCAGTTCATTCATATTGAATTTGTAACTCAAATGATAACGTCTTACTTTTTTTAAAGTAATATAAAAAAAATATGAATTTTCTCATGTTGAAAAAAATATAATATAATTATGTGAATAAATCATAACTATTTAAAAGTAAATCAAAGATTATAATTTTATAATAAATTGTTTAAATATTTTTTCTCTCTTTCTTTATCATCATTAAATCATCTTTATATGAATATGATTTCTCACATTTTTTTTTAATATGAGAGGATCTTGATCCAAAGAACTAAGAGATAAAGGTAATGTTTTATCTTAATACTTATTGTCTTGTCTCTTATTAAATTTGTCTATAAACAATTAATAATGTCTCAAATAAGATCAAGGACGTTGGAATCCAAGTCCATACAAATAATGTAACTTTAATAAAAATAAATAATGCGAACCATTATTTCTCACATGTTAAATGAGTAATGCCGCAACGATTGGCCATTTAAAAGGAATTTATCCTTTTTTCCGAGACACGGATCTTTTTTCAGGATAGCTCATATTACACTAAGGTAAGATTTTGCTGTTTAAGAATTTTCTTCTGAACGACGCAACTCATTTTATTCGACTCACCATTAAGGTTCATTATAGATGTTACACACTTACACCCGTATATTTTATCTTAATAATCGTATTTTAAGAGTTGATCTTGTAAAAATGTATTCAGATATAATCTATTTAAAGATAATATTGTGTATTGAATTATTTTAATCAATTATAGTTGTTATAGTGATTTATAAATAAGTGAGTGAATAATATAATTTAAGAGTAAACAAAATACATAATTCATTTGAGTTTAAAATTTACATATTTTTTATGTAAAATTTTTACCTTATTATTCAGGATATTAATTATTAAAAATTAAGATTTTCTAAATATCTCTTGTAATAATCAAGATTTTTAATGATTTAACACTAAAAGATTGGATAATAATGCGGAAAAAAAAATCAGAATAACAATGTATTAAAATTAATTCTCATTTTTACCAAAAAAAAAATTAAAAAAATTCTCATTTACTTATAATTATAATCATTTGTAAGGCAAGGTATACTCTAGTGAGTGAAGTCAATAAATATATATGTGTGTGTGAAGGAACTTATCTTTAAATCTCGTCACTCTTATGCTTTGTGTTGCCATATTTTTTTTTAATATCAAATTCCATTGCAATTATATATTTGCGACGGAATATACCAACACATGTTTGGCATGATGCAGTGTGGTTTAGTTTCAATTCAGAATACAAATGAAAAGCACATAAGTATGGAACACTTTAATCATTTTTCAGCAATTTGAGATAACTTTAAAAAACCCATAATTTCTAATAATTTAAGATAAACCAAGTACATGCGTAAAGTCTAATGAAAGCATTAATTTTAGCTTTTTTTGCTCAATAAAATAATTATATCGTATTTACATCTTATTTAGGAAATAAAAAGAAGAGAAAGTATGCGTGATCGAATGGTGATAGCTCAGTTAGTGCATGTGAGTTAAGTAAGTTGAGATGATAGCATGTGTTCAAATCTCTCCAGTACTACCTTTGGAAGGGATTTAAAGTTTTAATCCTAGACCCCCTAGAATCGGATTAGTTGCGAAGCAATAAACCGATTGAAATATTTCAAAAAATAAAAAAGAAAGTATGCGGGTGTTGAAATGAGTATTTTTTATTTTATTTTCAAACAATAGTGTGAAAATGAGATATATAAAAACTTTTCATGTTACATAAAAAGTTTCTCTTCTACCATCCCCGTTTCAATATCCGTGTCACTCATTTTTTATTTTTTTTAAGGTCAACCCCACTTATTTTTCTCTAAATACAAAGCCTTCAACTTCTCATGTATATAAACAGCAATTATAGGGGGACACCACAAAAGTCATGAAAAAAAGGTTTCTCATATTTACATCATTATATAAACGATTAGGTGCTGTCCCAGTTGCAGTTTAGGTAGGAGATGGATTATCTTTTCTTTATTTCCTCGAAATCAAAGTTGTTGAATCAGAATATGTATTATGTTTAATTTGGTCGATTTTTTATATCATATATCGTATCAAATCATAAAATACAAAAATATAATAAAAAATATTTGAAAATATATATTTAATTATTTCTTTTATTAATACAAATTTTTCAGATTGATTTTTTAAATTAAATCACAAATCAAATCTTTATTTTCTTTTTCTTATTAATAATTTTTTTTTAAATTTAAATCAAATCAAAATTTTATTTCTTTTCTATATCGTATGATACACGATACATATAGTATCATATGATATTATGATATAATATCATATCATCCGATACGAACTCCTTACTGATACACCTTGTGATACATATCGCTAAACTTGTGAATCATATCCTATCATATGAATTGTATCATGTATCATATAATATTGATAAATATACTCAAAACCATAATTAATTGGAACAAGGATAACATAAGCTGATCACATGACTTCCACATACACATGTATTTCGGTCAACCGTGCAAATCATGAAGTTGTCTCTTAGCACTGCATGAATTCATCCGGTTCAAATCTTATTCTTATCTTCTTATAAGTTGATCCTACTACCTCATATATATGAAAACAGCGTCGCACAATACACCATAATAATAATAATATCACTACTCACCAAGTCGTACCATATGATGTAGTGTAAGATTTCCAGAAACACCCACCATACCATATAGTTATCATTGCAGCTAGTTGCCCATGATTATTTTTGAAAACTTTAGGTTTCCAATAATAATTGGTGCCAAAAAAGGGGCAACTATTTGTGAAATAGTGCGATAGAATGCAGAATGACCAACGGGGTAAACCAACCGTATGAATAAAATGAAATTGTAATTTTGGAATGCAAGGCCATGAAGATCTGAATTACATTCCCCAACATCAACGGCCAAGTACAGTATTCAGAATGCAATGATATTACATCTAACAATGAATTAAGCAAAACTGGATAAAATTATTTTGTTATAAAATTTACTACGTTCCCTAACAAAATGAACTGAAATAAAGTAACATGTAAATTGAACATTTCCAAGGGTCCTCCCGATAAAAACTGTACTCTGCAGAGCTAATTCTTGACACTGTTTAAGTCTTCAATCCAACTTGACCGAAGAGAACAAGTAATGCACGAACCAGAATGAAGAGAGGAACCCAACTGTGCCTGTAGCCAACATGATTGCTAGAACCATGAAGAGTGAATATCCCAAGTAGAGAGTTGCAGAGACAGGCCCACTCAGATTCTTGAGATCAAATACAAGATAGTTTATGGAGTATAAAAAGATGTATATGGCAACAGAACCGGAGGCAAAGAATGATTTCCACCACCATCTCCAATCCTCCACACAGAGGTGCATATAGGTTAGAACAAGAGATACCTCAGCACAAACCACCACGAGTAGAATCAAAACAATGAAGAGAAATCCAAAGACATAGTAAACACGACCCATCCAAATACTGGACATGATAAAGAAGAGCTCGATAAACAGGGTACCAAATGGAAGTGTGCCAGCACCTAGAACTAAAAGCCATGATGGGTACCTCTGCTGGGGAATTTCTCGAGGTATTTGATTGGTTCGAACTGGATACTCAATGTGAGGTGCCCTAGCTCCAAAGTACCCACCAACAAGGGTAAGTGGAACAGAAATGCAGAACCAAAGCAAAAGCAGTATAGCAAAGAGTGAAATTGGAATGGCTCCTGTGCTGTGGCTTCCCCACAATAGGAAGTTCAAGGTTGTGAGGATCAAAAAGGCAATACCAGGGAAGAAACATGCAGCCTTCCATGCAACTGAAACCCAGCCCTTCTGATCACCACAGCCAATTGTCCTCCATAGCCGAACTGCAACATAACCAGCAGCAACACCAAGTATCATATAGAAAAACAGCATACCTGAGATAAGTGTTCCACGAGAGGCAGGTGACATGAATCCAAGTGCAGCAAACAATATTGTCACAACCGCCATCCCAAGAATCTGAACTCCATCCCCAACCATTATGCACAACAAAGCAGGGTTCGATGGAGCACGGAAAACATCCCCCACAACAAGCTTCCAACCAGATAACTCTTCATTCATCTGTGCTTGAGCCTCCTTATCAAGCTCCTCATAACGGGTCAGATCCCTCCTAACGGTTCTCAGGAAGATAACAAGAACAATACCAGCAAGAAAAGTGATCACCATAAGTGAATTGAGGATAGAGAACCAATGCACTTTGGCTCCCTCCATTTTCAAGTAGGCATCCCATCTAGATGGCCACTTGATGTCACTCTCCTCAAAGGTGACCTCATAGGTGAACACAATTGGCTGGCCTTCTTTGACAGGCATTGCCACAGTGGATGGATCACATTTGATAGGAGATGGGTATTTGTTATACATTTTCAAGCTTTTAACAGAGTCAGCATTATGCATAATACTGCAAGGTATCACCTCAAACCCAACAACCATGTATCCAGGCTTGTCAGATCCCTCCTTACCAACTGGCGGGATCATCTCAGCCGCATCACCAGTTCCCATAACACGAGCCACATTGGTCTCCTCATACTTATGAACAAGAACATTGAACTTGAGATGGTTAAACAGATAATACACATCCTGAATCTTGATACCAACAGGGTACCCAGTCCATCTCAGAAAGTACTCCTCCTTCTTGGTAAACCTAATGGCGGGTAAATTATCAAGTATCAGATTAACCTGATACATCTCATCAATCCTCTCCTTCAAGATCTTGAACTGATCTGCTGACAACTTATCCACTTTACACAAGAATACCTCAGACTCATTCGTGTACATCTTAAACTTGTAAGGTGAGTTCTCGATCCGATCCCCCATGAGAAGCTCACCAAGATTCTCAGCACTGTCCTTGACACCACCCTCAGGCTTACAAAAGGGTAAACTATAATAGCTAAAGGGCATCTCTGTTTCAATTGAAGTAAGAGAATTCACCTTAACCGACAAGTCATCCCCAATAGCATACTTGTGGGGGTAACTACCCGGAAGGTAGAATCCATACCCAGATTGAAATATCAAGCAGAAAGCCAAGACCCACAACCTAAATTGATGAAAAGATTCCATCTTTGGACGATTCATATGGGATTTGCGTCAGATCTGAAAGACCCAGGTAGCGAAAATGTCAATAAAGGAAAAGTAAAAGTAAAAGGAAGGGCAAGCTCTAACTAGTTTCTCAGTTCAGGTAGCATGCAGATGCAAAACATGGAAGCAACTAAACAACTCAAAAGACAAAATGCAGATATAAGCAATGAACAAGCAAATAAAAAGCGTTTTCGAGAATAGGTTCTGTGAATTTTACTCACCTCAGGGAAGAGAAAGAAGATCTGCGTGGGAATTGAGTTTGAGGGCATAAAAAGAGATCTTCGAGCACTGGGAATCTAAAATTGATGGAAAAGAAATGCGGAAACCGTGTAATAAAGGCGGTGAAGCTGGGAACTGCACATTTCATAGCTTGTCTTTCACTGCCTTTATGACGAGTCATGTTCTTTTTCTCAATTGACTATAACACCCCATCAATTTATTTTATTTATTTATTTTTTGGTACATAATTTATTTATTTTTTAAATTATTTTTGTAATACTAGTACACCATTTTATCATTAGTTGTATTTAATTTTGGGTAAATCAAATATCATGTTATATCATATAACATGATATTTTTACACACAATTATATGTGGATTCCATTTTCTGATTTCTTTTCCCTCTTCTCTCCTTTTTTCTTTTTTTGAAACTGATCCTAATTATCTCTTTGAGGCGAATTAGAATTCTTCAGTATTCCTATGGGTTCGATTCTTTGAACCGCCTTCCTTCTCAACTGTATGTGTAAGAATATCATATCATATTATATAACATCATATTTGATTTACCCATTGATTCTATTGGTTTAAATAGACTTAAAATAAAAAACTCAAAAACCCCATGATATTTGATTTGTTTATTTCACTTCAAACCCGAATCAAATCAATTATTATTGGTTCAATTCTTGAATTCATATTTTCTTTTCTTTTTTTCAATTGGAAACCTCAATTTTTAATATGATCATTCTGATTTTTTTTTTTTATTTATTTCTGAACTTTTAAAGTTATGCGTTTTAAACTTTAACAATTAGGTCTCTCTCTTTTTTTATTTTTTTTTTCCCCCACATCTTCTTCATTCATTCTAGTATATTCACGTTATGCTCCAACCATACCAAATCTGTTTGATTATATTTACTATCTAACTTAATATTTTGGGTAAAGAAAAATTGAAATATAACAATTAAAATGTAAACAAATTTAAGTGTTATTGAAATGTAATATTAAAGTTTAGAATTATTTTGCTTACTATCTTAGATCATGGATAAGTAAGCAACTAATATTTTATCTTTTAATGGATAAAATACTCAAAATTTTAGATTAAAAAAACAAAAGATGAGAATAAAAATAAAATAATAATTTGTGTTTTTTATTTAACATGACAACCGATCTTGGATAGATTAGTTTGGTTCGGATTTGTTGAATTTTTTTTCAAAAATCAAACTAAATCAACCTAATTAAACTTTATTGGTTTAAATATTTTCTTACCACAAATCTGAGCCGTGTAATCCAAAATACAAACAAATCCGTGAACACCTGAATTTGACATATGCATCTGAATTCACGGTTTAGTCGGAAAAATTTGACACCAACTTCACTTTGCAATTGGACATTTTTTTTATTTGTTGTTCAAATTTAGTGGCTAAACTTAATTACATTTGCCTTATATTTTGCCACGGACGTACTTTTATAAGCCTTGTGCATAGAGCTTCCACCGTAACTAAAAAACAAAAGCTAATACCATATTAAAATGGAGAATAATAAAAAAGAGCACAGAAACATTATGTAATACCTTTACGTAGACATTGTAGCAAAGAAAAAAGTACTGATGAAAATTGATGTATATGTTTGAGTATGCTATTATTTAGCACAAATTATAGCTTCCAGTTAGCATCAAAAAATTGTGATTCAAGTTACAGAACGTGGTTAAGTTTCACGGCATCGTGATCCTGGACATCCCTTTATTTGATAAATGTCTTTGAAGGGACACTAACGTAAAGGGTAGGCCTTACGAAACTTCAGCATGCAAATACCTTAACTCTAGATCTAAATGGGGGAATACCAGAACATGGAGACAAATTAAAAAAATGCTCGTTTGGTAAACGTGACACCCTGTTATCTTATTTGACCATTCGTATAGTGCTTCCATACCAATAAAGGAGAAAGATCTTAGATCTAACCCTTTTTATTGACCAAGTGAATTACATTATAAATATGTAAGAGTAAATTAAAAAGAGCACCAATGCCATTTAAATAATTAAATCCTTTAAAAGGGAAGGGAAAAATGTTTCCGCAGATAAGTTATCTGCATTTATTCCCAAAACGATGTCGTTTTGGTGTTGAAATCTTAAAAAATTATAAATATAAAGAATGTTATAACTCTGAAATAAATTAAAATTACAAAAACATCATGATTTCCGTCCCAAAACAATGTTGTATTAGACTTACTGCAAATAACTTATCTGGCAGAAAAAAGGAATCTTCTAGTTTTTGTGTCTGTTGAATTGGATATATCATGCACCATACACAATGCCATACTAATTACCATTGAAAACGATAATCAAACAGCCGAGTGGTACCATTTTCCAAATGAAGTTTTCGTTTCCTCTCTCTAATTTAATCCAAAACAAGACAGGTTTAAATTGAAATTTGAAAGACATAAAGACCCTATGATAACGAGAGATTAACCAAAGCATTAAAGAATTAAGGTTTACGAGAGAATGCCTTTAATGACATCATTTTCATGGTGTCTAGTAGCTTTCATGATTTGAGAACCGATGTGGTCATATTATCTCACATTTTCCTCAATTTGGATCCACAGGTTTAGTAGACCCTTCCTGTTTCTGAGTCTCACAAAATTTGATGTTTTCGTAGCTCATCCAAGTGATGAGTCTGATGATTATGTCCCATGTTTTCATTTATTTCAATAACGATTGAAGATGAGCACTGGTGGTAAATATCATCAATTGAATAAAGAAATAGGCCCACATCAAATAGAGGAAAAAGGAATAAAGAGAATGACATTTAATTCAAGCTCCTCAATCAGCTCTAACAAATGCGAAAACTAGTTATCATGAGATCAATTAGCATGACTTTGGTCCTATTACACCGTTATATTCCAACGTAAAATGCCTGCTTTGTTACAAGATGAACAAATCCAATATGCACGGCTTCAGTATCATTCGAGCTATTAAAGAAAGATAAAATTCCAAGTGGTCATCCAAGAGCTGGCCATATTCAACATAGGTATCTTTCTTGAACATAATTACATGTCATCTACAGGACTGAGTTTTTTTATTATTCCAAATAAAAAAAAATAGAGCCAATAAATACAGCATTTGAACATGGTGACTAAGGGAGAATCATAAGATTTGAGCCAATATACAATTAGATAGGAACACAGAAGACAAACGACATCTAAGTTAACTTTTGGCCCCTAGTCCTTGCGACTTCGGTAGCCTAACAGCGGTCAATGGAGCAGTAATGCCTTGTGATGCTCTACCTAATCCAGCACCTTCAATAAAGCCCATCTTTGCCATCATTTTTGATCCAAAGCCTTTGGTATGCTTTTCAAAAGCACCAATTCTTGAAGACTTACTCCTAGGTGGCTCGGTAGCTGGCTCAGTAGGTGGCTCAGCAGGGTTGCTGGAGAATTCCACACCCAAGCCAAGTGATTTAGGCCTTCGGACAACCTCAATGGGTTCTGACATACCTTGACCATTTTTCCCCAATCCTCTTCCCTCCATGTATCCCATTTTAGCCATCATTTTTGAACCAAAACCAGTAGTGTGGACCTCAAATGAGCCTATATTAGCAGAGCTGGTGATACCCTTTTTATAAATATCATCAGTCTCTTCAGAATCAACAGCTGTAACCTGTACAGCTTCTGAATCAATTATGCCGCTCGATACAAACGACACAGGCTGATTAGCATATACACCCTTTTGTCCACTCCCTTTCTTGTCCTTCACATTACTGCTGCCTCGGCTGGCTGAGTACTTTGATGTCTTATTCTGGGCAGATTGAAGTTCTTGCCGTCTGAAATCATTCCTTTTAGCCTTTTTCTTTCCCAGTCTTGTGTCTCCACTCACAGACTTCTTATTTATATAGTCAGTGACAGAAAAATCAGCATCCTCATCATCAATCCCCATCAACTGAAGTTCATGTAACAATCAGTCTCAACTATAGCAACTTACAGTACAGATTATACCAAATATGTAAGATCATGTATGTAATGCACAAGTAAAATAATCTCAAGTTTCGAAAGAAATATCCAATGATTGAAAGATCAAAAGCTTCAAATTAAGATTTCAAAGTTTCAATCCCATTGACCTGGAAGAGTGGGAAAAAAAATGAGAGGAGGATGGGCCACTCTATTTCTCAAGGACAGGGATGAAAACAGGAGGAAAAGCATAAATGATGCAATGCACAAATGAATTTCACGATGTAATTAGTGACACTACAGAACCTTTTCCAGGCGCTGTCTACCACTTGAGGATGGCATGGATGTAGTCTGCGTTCGCATCACTGTCACAAATCTGACACCACAAATCCAGACTAGATTTATTATATTTGCAGACACTTAGATTAAATTCCATAAAGGTGGGAAGATCATCCTCACCTTTTTTTCCCAGAACCTTGGCTGCTACTTTGCAAATGATAAATTGCTGCTAATCGTTGTACCTATATTCATTCAGAACAGAGATCAATACAGGACTAAGATGGTTCACGAAAAACAATGAAAAATTATATCATGAAACAGGTATGAAAGCCTGACGGTAGGTCAAGTGAGCAACATGGCATTTAAAGATCTTGAATCCAACTATTATATGAAAGCAAAAACAATTGACATACAACTGTTCTCTTGGAGAAAATCAATGGTTGTGGTTAACACACAGAAATCTTGAAAATCAGTAATATTTGTATCCGACACCAGAGCAGGACAAATTAATTACTTTTACCATCCCAAACTCTTCCAATGTTCCAAAGTTATGCCACTAATGTGACTTCCCAAAATCAATTAAGATCAAACCACAAATCAAGCACTGAATCCATTCATGACTATTTTTTTACAAACCCCAAATTTTTATTTTTTTTATGAAAAATTCTTTCTGGCATATTCAAAAGGCACTGATGTGAAATAAGCTTATGAATAATTCTTGGTGTGCTTATTCTTTTTTAAATAGCAACACTTTTAGGCCATACCATTTAGGACGCTCATAAGAGGGACCGGTATACGGATAGGAAAGGATACACACCTGTGAACAATCCCGAGAATGCATAGGCTGAAAAGAGAAAATATCCACTTCCTCCAAAACAATCTGTTCTAGTTTCTAGAATCCACAAAAAAAAAGAAAAAAAATGTTAAAGATGAGATGTGAATGGCAAGAAATTTTTTGAATATTCATAAACTACCTCATCTAAGTCCTACATGGTTAACTTTGAAATGATGAAGTTACGTTCAACAAAGAAAGATATGATCAGTATATAGCAATAGATCCAAAGTCTCAGATTACTGTGTATAGAACTGAAAATGACATGTTCAGATGTAAAAGCAAAGTAGATAAAGAAACATCTTCATAAATCTTTTCGATCTGGTGCTGTCATGCAAAGTACAATACTTAAAAGCTTAATTGATAGGGCCAAAGAGTAGTTACTCAGAATAGTTAGGCAGTTAAAATTGTAGGTGTAGGGAATTATCTCAAATAGGAGAAGTGGGTTCAGAGTAGGGGATTCAGATTTGTTAATCTGGAAAAACAGAGCAGTGGCTCAGTGTAAGGGGAAAACTCTTGGAGGAGATTTCTCTCCTTTTCTGATTGATATTCAATCATTAATAAAGATTCGTTCTTTTTCTTTGTTTTGTATGATTTCTCTATTTGTGTTTGTGGGTAATACTTATATCAATGAGTTAGCAAATCTTTATCATATCATATAGCTTTTTAACAATAATTACAAACAGCAAGTAGCCTTCCATCCAAATATAGAACTTCTACATGATTAGAAAGGAAAATTGCCTACAACAGGATCAAGTGAAGGGTTATCAGATGTACGCAAAAACCTTGTAGAATCAAGCACAGAATAGTAACAAGTAAAAATTATAAAAAAAGGGTGCCAAATTTTAACACTAGAAACCAGAACTAAATCTCATTAATTTTGTTAGATATAAAACCCTTCATGTGCTTTCACCCAACTTAAGCTTTTGGGTTAATTGATCCATAACATGGTATCGAAACCCCTAAAACCATGTATTATACTAGCATAGACTATAGAGTTCAAATCTTGTTATCCTCATTCTTCTAAATAAAAGTTAAAATTTCAGCACAAGGTAAGGTGAAAAGTTAAAATTTCAGCACAAGGTAAGGTGAACCTATACACTGTCCACACTTCAAGCTCAAAGAAAAGTTCCATGAGAGGGCGTATTAGATATAAAACCATTCATATGTATTCACCTAACAACGGAGACTATCTCCTTACAGCAACACAAAGACAACAAATTGAAATGCAGAAACTACAAATTACAGAAAGAAATAAGAAATAGAAAATAGCAGAAACATGAAATGACCGAGTGGTCTGCCAACTTGGAACCTCTATTGCCCTTTCCTAATCATTTAGCTTAATTCATGCCTCCCATGCACTATCTATAATTCCCTCTTATATTCTCAACTTTTTTCTAACCGAATTCACACCTCTTCCTATTCCTTGCCAACTCAGCATTCAGTTATGTCGAGACTAACCTAAATATTCTCTTTATTTCCTATTTTGTCCTTCTCACTCTTTAAAAAACTAATAAGTGAGTGTGAAAGGTAAAGCAAGGGGTAGCGAGAAACAAAAGAAAACTATCCCGAAAATAGTGAGGCCATAAATAACAAGAGTATATCATTGGAGATGAAAAACAATTTAATTTTTTATCCCATACCAAATTAATTTTCGCGAGATCAACCCCGCGATGCAGCATTCTCTCTCTTCGCTTGACAGCAATCCTTTCTTTACGAAATTTCTTTTTTTCACCTGCATAGAATCTGCGTTAGCAAGATGAAGAGGCTGGAATTCCATACTAACTCATCAAACTTAAAGATAAAAAAAAAATGAAAAAATAAAATGCATCTTTTTTCAATATCGACGATTTATTCCACAAGAAGTTCAACCATTTACGGTATCAAATTTCATGAATGGGAAATCCCCAGAAGCTTGTAACATACTTCCATAAACTTGGAAATTTTTATAACAGTGTGCAATTTGACATAGTATTATTGGAATTCAAAGCTCAGGCATCAAGCTCAAAGATGGAGGCATACACAAATTAAACATATTAAACATACACCTGTTTCCCAAACAGTTATTCGCCAAGCCCCACCGTATGTTCCCACCACCCGACCAAAATAAACCAGAGATTGAAAAGTGTACAGGTAATTAATGATACTAATGCAAGGAAATCCGTGACTACATCATCACTTTGACTGGGAAACTCAAAGCTTTTGAGGTTAAAAAATTAGAATGTAAAATTAATGAGGCAAAGAGATTTACTTGAAGTAAAAGCTTAGAACTAAGAGAACATTAGATATTTGACATGGGTGGATGTGGGATAGTGGTACCATGAATTCTTTTGGAAGCTTTACTCTTTTGAGCATGCGAAGGCCAAGAGTGAGGGAGCCGAGGAACATGCTTCTTTCTAGCATAAATGGTTCTTGGATCCTTTTCCAGCATTACGTCTTCCAAAGCTAAAGATCCAGAATTACCAGAGCGTTTCTTCCATTTTTGGGTTTTCTGAATGCCATAATCCCTGGAGGCTTCTTGAAGGGCAATACCACTCAACTTCTCCAAAGCCTCATCATAACAACTGCTAGAACTATCATCATCTGACTCATCCAAAACAGGTTTTAGCAACCATTTTGCATCCATGATGTTGTCACTACCACCAACTCCTTCCATATAATCTTCCGCAACCTCTTCATCAATGTCTGAATCACTGTCAGATGTTTCTTCAGAATCGTTGCTTTCAGATGACCCAAGCAATTCTTCTGGCTCAGAAGATACAGAACTGTCCTCATCTGGTGACTCTTCATCATTATCTTCTTCACTTCCGTTATCTGAGATATCCTGAGTGTATAACTTAAGACCTCCAATTGATAGAAACCCTGAATTTCTCTCAGCAGACACCTTTGATGGCAAGTACGCTGTCATCTGATTGTTTAACTCACAGTCGATATCTTCATCAGAACCAACATCCTTCTCAAAGGAGGATGAATCTACAACAGAAGTTGATTGGGGCATCTGTTTGGATGATGTGCCAGTGCCACTTGGGGTTTTGTCATGTTCAGCAGGGAAGCCTAATCCTCTATGAGAGCTGTCACCCAAAACAAAATCTGCACCATAACCATACGTATATTCCACACTGTTGGGTTTTGAAGGTGTTTGGTCCATATGAGCAATAATTTGACTCTGCTTGGAATCCACCAAAACAAAAGGCTGCAGCTGATTTAAATTACTATCCTCACTGTTGTTCCCAGTCCCAACACATGAGACCTCCTGGTAATATACGACAAATGCAAGTTACTTTGAAGCAACTACGGACATAACCCATCTTATCTTTATGAAATTAAATGCATATTTAACCAGAGACATGTGATGAAACTATGCTGGGGCCTAGGGGATAAGTTCGAAGATGAGCGATATGATTTTCAACTATTTATCAAGTTGGAGATTCCAACTCTATCTTCCTCCAGGACATGTGCACGAGTAAATGCACTCACAAACTTAAGCATTCGCGTCATGAGTGTTTAAAAATGTATTATCTAACCGATGAAGTAGAGTACATCATTTTGCTTGCTCATGAAAAGAGAAAAAAAATGCATTACAGCCCAGGGCAAAGCATCGCTGAGAACAATTTATGTTGTAACCTTATTAGTTGGAATGTTTCAGTAACCTTATGAAATGTAAATTCACACTTCATGTGTCAGATCAGAACCTTAACTAAAGTCATACTAGTATGCATAACGAGAGTGAAGGCAGAACAACTAAAAAATAATTAACAAAGAAGAGATGCAAATGCTCCTACCAAAAACCATCTATCTAAAGTAAAACTGAAATTGACAAATAATGATTTTTAGATGGAAAACTCCTGTTCAGCTAGCAATCTATTTAAACCCTTCAGATTTTTAAAGCCCAAGCCGAATCTCAGTGTCTCTATTTCTTCCATTTGGATAAACAATGAAAAAATGCATAAAGGTAAAAGCTTAATAAGGCATGACAAACCGGAACACCAGGTGAAGGATAACTGTAACCAATAGAAGTTCCAGAAGATTTTGCAAATCCACTTTTAGAAGCAGAGGCTTCTGCTTTATGTATGCTCCCTGATTTGTTATTCGAGCTAGCTTTTCTACCTGCAACCCAATTGCAAAGGAAACTCCAAAAATGAGCATAGAAGAACCCAAATTGAACCAAAAAATTGGATTTTTTTTTTTTTTTTTATCATATTAATACAATACAGGATTTATAATAACTAATTTTGATAAAAATAAAATTGTGTATCATTTCTGCCTCACATTTGTGAGCAACCACAAAGAGAGAGAAGAAAGGAGGACCTGAATTTTGGGTTGGGGAGAATGAGGGATTCCAATCAGACAAGAAACCCCCTTCGATAAAGAGTTCAGATTTAACCGCTGAACCTCTTTTGCGAGTTTTGGTGCCGCTGTTGTTGGATCTTCCTCTTCCTCTTCTGCTTCCACCGCCCATAGCTTACCGTCTTTGCTTGGAGTGGTGAACAATTCAAATTTGATTCGAGGATTGTCTTTCAATGCAGATTGCAGATTGCAGATGCAGCAAGGAGAACGAGAACAAAATGGAAGACCCACCCACCGATATCTACCCGGGTAAAACCCGATCCAATAGGATATTCCCCGCTCCAAATCAAATATGCCACACGTTTCTTGGTTGGGCCTAATTTTTAGGCCCAGTTCAATCCCACGAATAACAAAACAATTGGAAAAAAAAGAAAAAATGGCCATTGTTTGACTTTGACTATTAAAATACAAATGGCGTGGTGCTGCTGGTATCTAAGTAAGCGAAAATCATGACATAAAACTGGGCGTAACGCCCAAGGAAACTTATGTTATAATTGTTATAGAAAGTGGAGATTGATGTTCTAGAACGATGGAAAAAACAGTCGAATCTATTATATACCTCCTATGATTATACACGAACGAGTTGGCATAATCTTAGACACAAAAGCGTTTTTATGTCGTCATGGTTGAGCACTTGAATTCCTTGAGATTTTTAATTTCATAAAGGAGATTGACGAAAATTAATGAAACCTGATGACATAAAACGATTTTGTGTCACATTGTGACACGTGATCATATTCTTGACATGCATATTCTTAAACGATTAAAATTTGACATTTGATCATATGTTTGAATTTTAATAAGGTAAAAAATTTGAAATTAAGATGTAAAGAATATTTCTATGAACTCGTGAAATGAAATGCCTTTGATGAAATGAGGAATGAATTAGTCAATATGCACATAAATTAGCTTGACTTATTAAAAAAAAATCAAAACAACTCTTTTTAATTTATCACTCACGTTTTAAAGAAACTGATATACTTTTTTTTATTTTATTTTAATTGAATCCGATATTTTGTCCCAATAAATTCATAGTAGGATGTTTTGGTATATATATATCAATATAGTGAAGAACTATATATCACATGCAATTGCCGGTGAATACAGAAGCTGGCTAATTAATGTAGATAACAACTACAACCTGCAGGTCCTCAATAAACTCGTAATCTATCAAATAATAAAACTAATATATATATATATATATATATATATATATATATATATAGGGTTTTGTATCTATCATTTAACATGACCACAACAATTTTTCTACACACAACATTTTGTGGGACCCACAATTTTTGAAACCAAAAAAAAAAAAAAACTCTGGCACGCAAAACGAATCTCTATAACATAACACAATCACTTTTCCTACGACATAACTCTTATTAAACCCATATATATATATATTTATTGTCTTATTAACAATCTTGACTTGTCATCCGAGCTAAGCTGGTTGGCATTCTGACAGATTTCATATCATTCAATATGATAATCCCAATTTGAAACAAACGTGCCACAATTTTTCTACCGAGAATCATTTGAGTGTAGATAATCGTTTAGTCATCACAAGCCTAAGTTATTCCATTAGCTGCAAAATGTGCTTCTTTCTCCCTCGTTCCATTAAGCCATACCCTTTTTTGCAGGTGAAGGTTGTTGTTGAAATTCGGAAATAAAATAAAATAAAATAAATTTGGCACACTTTGCCTACAACCACTGCATTATATATTTCCCTCCATTTTTATTCATTTTAACTTAACGTGTATTTCTCCCTAATCAAGAATATCTTTAGAAAACTAATTCAAACCAGTCTTATTTACTTCCTCAACAAGAAGCAATCATCGCTTAATCATGCACTTAAGCAACCAAGGCTATATCCTACTTCTAGTCTGGAATTGGCCCCAACATATCACCGAGAACATAATTAAATACCATTAATTTCTTTTTTTCGTAATATTTACTTATCTTGAAGCAAAAGCTTATTCCTTTTCCATATCATTATATTGTTGTATCTTCTGTACAAACAAATTCTGCACGCTTCTCACCTATTGTGGTTGCATGATATATGGTGGATGCTGATTTCTATATAGACTATTGTTAGATAGTATAATTTGCACTTAAAAATTCACACAGATAAATTATTATTATTTTTTGGAGTTACCCAACCCTAATTATCTCTTTGAGACGAGTTGGCTCCCTTCGGTATCCCCACGAGCTTCGACTCTTTGAACCGGCTATGAGACTAATCCGGAGTGCGGGAGAACAGTGATGCACCGATAAATTATTATTACTAATGATTAAAATAAAAAACTCTATACTTAAGTCTAAAAGTGCACCATAAGAGTTAGAAAGCGATTTTGCATAATTTGTTTGTTTCTAAGCAGAGAAACAAAACAGTAACAGAATATTCCAGAGGCGTAACAAAAACCACACTACCTTCAAACAAATTAACTTCGATACCATTCCTCATATTCTGCTCCCTAAAACTTCCATACAAAACCATCCGATAATTTCAAAGAATCTAAATTGAGTTATAGGTAGGTACGTAACAGTGACCACCTCGGAGGTTACCCCAATCCAATAATCACAAAGGACACCAAAACTACACAACCCATAGAAAGGGCAACCAAAGTCATAACGTGTAAAACACAAACACTACAAATGAAAACAAGGATTGCTTTTTGGAGTACTACCCATAATTCCATATTCGTACAGCTAGAAAAAAGAGACCAAATTGATTTTTAGTTAACCAAACACAAAAAAAGTCCAAAATGAAAAAAATTGTTTTATATGGTGAAGGGAAAAAAAAAAGGAGGAAGGGTATTGAATAGGTAACCTAAGAGTGTCTTGCGGGTAACATTACCCCATTTGGTAAGAGTTTTCATTTCTACTAACTGTTAGCTGCTTAACTAAATTCTATGTCGACATGGCCTAACATTATGTGTGCCTAGTCCATGAATTTAATTGACCCCACAAGACACGGTTCCCACAATGCTGCAATGAATGTGCCGTTTACCCACAACTAAAATTTGTCCCTCTAGCTTGCATTATTTAATTAACTACCAACGCATGCATGGTACTATATAAATGCCCTATAAAAAGGAGGGTGCACATTGACATCATCAAGCTAGCTAGCTAAGAAGAGAGGTTAGATACAACAACATGGCCACCGCAGATGGGCTTTTCCGGTCAGTGTATGAGGGTTGCATATCTGGCTATGACAACCGTGTTGAACGGAGACCTTACCACCGTAACTGTGGTTGTGCTCTCCATAACAAGTCACCCAAAAGCTGCACACACAAGCTTCCAAGGTGTAACAATGTGTCATACCCTATGAGAAGGGCATGGAGTGAAGGGAGCTTGGTCTTGGCAGCTTCTACTCACTCCTCTTCTTCTTCTCCTCCTTCTACAGTTGCAGCTGGGAACCAAGTTTGGTGTAAACCTTGAGGAGGAGGAAAATAATAGTTGTTTTAATTAAGGTTTTGAGAAGAATCTGTTTGATTAAACTGTATTTTGCTCCTTAATTCTTCTTTGATTTACTATTTTTTATTCCGGTTGAGGTCTGTGTTAAATTAATTTTTGTTTTTTGTACGATTAAGTTGATTTGTTGAATGGTTGCCAAGCGTTTGTATCCATCGACGTACGCTATTTTGATCCATGGACCAAGCAAGTTTGTCATCAAAATGTGTCTAGTCTAATCGCTTCTGTATTAGACAACTCCAATATTTCTTGGAAATTGTAATTATTATGCTAATGGAATTTCTTTCATATATATATATATATATATATATATATATATATATATATATATATATATATATATATATTATTCGATTCCGTTGTTGTATATTGAATACTGAATATTGATGCAAACAAAGAAGCTGGGCCGCGTAATTGTTCCTGGAAATCTTTCTTGATGATCTAATGGAACACCCATGAAGCCTCCTCTGTTAGAAATTTTTATAATAATTATGGGCTTCAATCAATTGTAGTTTTTTTTTTTCTTTTATAAAAAACGGACTAAGTCATGATCTATATGGGATGCAGTATAAAGTCCATTTAATCAAGTGTGGGTAACATAATGGGAAGGGACTAGGATTAATAAGTTTGGCTAGGTCCCCTCTGCATTCACAACGTGTTAAAAAATCGTTACTCCACAACTTGCCCCATCGACGATTATGATAAGGGAGTAGTGTGAATTGCAGAGGAAGATTCTAGTCTTTCCAATCTTGCAGGAGCATCACATCAAACAAGAGCAAGAAAGCTTTCAAGAAATCAAGAATCATGTGAATCATGTCTTCAACAAGTAAGCTTAAAATTTTTGGTGTTCTAATGTCATATAATCTTATTTTACGAAATTTCTTCCATCCTCAACTAATATATTGGCATTGTTTACGAGCACGAGATTTCTCAATTTGGTTTTGATTCGAAATCGTGATCCAAGAAAGAATCTTCGAATAGTTTGGAGGTTCTTATATATGATCATCTTATCAAAATATAACAATCATATCAATAACACATTTTTCAAGATGGGTCATGATCATCCCAGCATGCAGCTGCTTTTTTTTTTTTTTTTTAATTTCAATCCCTTTATGACTTCGCGACTAGTTTGATTCGTGGTGGGTCATGAGATTAAGGTTTTAAATTCCAAAGATGGTACTGGAAAGATCAAATACATGCTCTTATTCTTACTCAATTCTTCGACGCCAACTGAGCTACTATCATTTGGCTGTTTTTTAACCCATTTGATGTAAAATAGGATTGACTTAAAATTTAAAGATTTTATAAAAATAATATAATGAGATATGTATGGAGGTTGTGTGTATTCAAGTTACGCATTGTCGTCGGATATATGCTAAGTTGCGCATCATCCTAATACGCGTGATTTAAATGCATACACCCTAATGTGCGACTTGCAATGCTTGTTACATGACAAATATGCCTCAGCCCCATGCACAAATACTTCAGCGGTGGAGCCATATTGTGGCTAGCTAGTGCCTTGGCAATCCAATAGCGGAGCCACCCTCCCAACTCAACTAGGGTCAAAGAGAATTTAGTTAATTTCAAACCCTAAAACGTGGCTAATTTTTTAAAATAAACTAGGGTCAAGGCACTCCCTCCACCTAGTATGACTCTGCCACTATTCGGCCGTAGCTAATTTTCAAACTTTTTAGAA